GGTGTCTCGTAATAGTGCAGTCTATACTGTGAGGTTCGGTAAGAAAGGAAACTGTGGTCTCGATCAGCAAGACTGGTCTATCGATTTCACAACCGACAAACCTGTCGTCTTCTCCTCCCAGCTTTCGGACCATGTTCCGCAAGGAGAACACTGTCCCGAATATGAGCTTTGCATCGTCCTCTGCGCTTAGCACAGAGCGTGAGTGCGGCCCGCCATTGACGTATGTCTGAGATGACGGCCTTGAGGTTTTGCCAGTAGTTGAAATTGCTGGAGGAAGCCACTGCCGCTTGTATATACACTCGGCTGCAATCATCAGCAAATCTCAACGGAAAAGGTCAGGCCTTGCCGTTGATCTGGCTCTCACCATGTCTATCGAATATATAGAAAGAGTAGACAACCATTGTGACGGTGAGTGCTGGTTTCACACTCCTAAGGTTTGGGCGGGGCAGACACAAGCATGAGACTGAATCACTCAGCAGTCCGATCAGATGAAAACAGAAGAGACGTGACGGCTTCTAGAACTTGATCGCATATTTGAACTTCAATAGGAGGTCGGATTGTCTCGAATGAGGGTTCGTTGCGTGTGGTTGGTGGTCACTTGCAGTTCGACAACTCAGCAATGTGAAGCCTCCGAAGAGCCGAGAACAGGCAAGTGCAGCGGAGAAATTAATCCACTTGCCATGAGCCTTGACCCTCACCAACCCCAAGGCCCTCCAGCGTCATTCTTCGCTGGCGACCGTCCCTAGCCAAAGCTGAGCTCATCGGGGCTCCGTATCAAGATATCTGATTGCCACCGAGGGAGGCTTTCAACTCAAATGTCGACGGCCTCATGGATATCGTCGCGTCGCCTACGTCCACGTCGGCGGAGGAAGCTTTTCGCTTTCCAGTAAGCAATGCTCAAGATCAACCCCGCGATCGACCACAATCACATGTGAATGCCCTGCGCGAAGCTGCCAACGCCAACGACTCATCCGCCTCGCAAAAGCCTCCTGTGTTCAAACACTTGTGAGTAGTGGACACCTAATAATCCGCGGCTGGTCCAAAGTGTCTGACCAGAGCTGCAGGTCCAGCCCAGAGTACAATACACCTTCCCGCCATCATCGCCGGACGCCTTCAGCCGCCAGACAGGTCAAGGTATGTAACACCTCCTGGAACCGACTATATAGGCCTACTGATCTGGCCTCTGCAGGAATCCCTCAATGCACGATCCGAATATGTCACTAGCAAAGACGATGGCGTTGCAGAACATCGCATCAATCAATATATCATCAAGCAAGAGATTGGGCGCGGATCCTTTGGAGCAGTCCATTTAGCTATTGATCAGTATGGGAAAGAATACGTGAGTCTACCAAATGTATTAAAACGCAGAATATTTGCTGACCTGCTTACTTAGGCTGTCAAAGAATTCTCCAAAGCCCGGCTGCGCAAGCGAGCACAGTCGCACATCCTCCGGAAACCTTTGTCCCAGCGACGTCGTGGAGCATTGCAGGGCTTTAATTCTCCCCTACATCGAAATGTCGGCAACGAAGGCGAGTTACAGGCCAGTGCAATAGACCTGATCAAAGAAGAGATTGCCATTATGAAGAAATTGAACCACCCAAATCTAGTATCCCTGATTGAGGTGCTGGACGACCCGACAGAAGATTCGCTGTACATGGTACTGGAAATGTGCAAAAAAGGCGTCGTCATGAAGGTAGGCTTAGAAGAAAGAGCAGATCCATACCCTGACCATGTCTGTCGATACTGGTTCCGAGACTTGATCCTGGGAATTGAGTATTTGCATGCACAAGGTGTAGTGCACCGCGATATCAAACCCGACAACTGCTTAGTCACAGAAGACGATGTTCTCAAAGTGGTCGACTTTGGCGTCTCGGAAATGTTTGAAAAAGACTCAGAAATGCGCACAGCAAAATCCGCCGGCAGCCCAGCGTTCCTCCCGCCGGAGCTCTGTATTGCTCGACACGGAGATGTGTCGGGGCGCGCGGCGGATATCTGGTCTATGGGGGTTACTTTGTACTGCTTGAAGTACGGCAGAATCCCATTTGAGAAGACGGGCATTTTTGAGCTCTACGAGGCTATCAAGACCGAAGAGCCAGACCTGGGCGACGAGATAGATGAAGACTTCCGGGACCTCATGAACCGCATCTTGGAGAAAGATCCGCATAAACGCATTAAAATGCGGGAGTTGAGAGTAAATAGCATCACGGACGCTTGTTGCAAATGCTGACCTGGTTCAGGAACATCCGTGGGTTACGAACAAGGGCACTGACAGGCTTCTTCCAGAAGAGGAGAACACCGCTGATCTCGTCGAGCCGCCGACAGAAGCCGAGATGAATGCGGCAATAACCAAAAACGTGAGGAATCTTATGACAGTTGTAAGCTTTCGAGATGGACCATTAGAATGGACTCTACTGACAAATTCCCTGCAGGTAAAAGCCGTGAACAAGTTCAAGTCCCTCGTAGGCAAAGATAAACCCAAGGGAATTACTTCAATTCTGGGTGATCAAGATGGCGCACATTTCTCTCAACCACCGGCAGCCATGATCAAAGACTCCGGATCCCTTCCCCTGAAGTCTCACAGTTTCAGTGTTTTTGGGCAGGAGCACACAGGCGCAGAGCCACGGATTGAAGAGCTTTCTCAAGACATGAAGAAGCTGAATGTACGACCGGTACCAACGCTAAGTATAGACGATACGACGAAGACCGAAGACCAAACAGGAGTGGACAGAAGCAGGGATTCTAGCAGTCCTTCAGGATTGCTAACTCACACGCTCACAAACGCAGATGACTCGCTCTCGAGAGTTCAAAGCATGGTGGACATTGAGAAGCTCGATCCGATGAAGTTACCTCCTTTCCGATCGCTGAGACCACATGCAAACACAGCAGACGAGATAGGTCACCGGGGCCATGCACACGACCCTCTGGAAGACCAATTGTACCTTTATATTGGTCCGTCCACCTTTTCGGGGGTCAGTTCTAGCAGCGATAACGACGGGACGTTCGTCTCCGCGGACGATGATGTGCCCATTGTTAGTGAAAGTCCAGGAGCGGCGGATGTGGACATTTATGAAACCGCGTATCGTGACGAGATTGAGCGCATAATGGCTCGAGCCAAAGAGGAGAAGAAAGAGCCCAATGTCTACCTCACAAGACGCGTGGATGCCAGATTGCTGGCTATCAGCGGACTCGCAGGAAAATGGGCGGCGAAAGGCGAAGAAGCCAAAAATCAGATCAAAGACTATACGCAATTCTCTGCTCGAAAGGCACGGGTGACCGAAGTCAGCCGCGCACTTCGGCAAGCCGCAAGAGAAGAGTATGAGAGAAGGAGACAGGAGCACCGGGAATGGATCGCGGCCGAGAAAGCGGAACGAGCGCGAGCCAAAGAAGCAGACTCCTGCAAAGCAAGCACACCTCCGCCAGCAGGAGCTGGAGGTGAAGTAGAGGAGAACACGCCGACTAGTCCCAACTCACCGGGCAGGCACTCGTCCGTCTGGAAAGGTAAGGCAGTAGATGCTGGACGACAAGCAAGAACCTCTCTTATGGGGTTTGTGGACATGGTCAAGAGCAAGAGCCGAACACGATCGAAAGACGAGGTCGGATGATCCAGCAGATGCGGTTGAGGGTGATTACTCGCCATATCTTGTGCATTCGCGCCGCACAGGGTGTCTTACACAAGAGGGTCGATGTCTGCGACGAGAAGAAGTTGCAGGCTGCGGATACGTCGTTTGTCGCATTTTTGGTTGCATCATATTCCAGCCCTCTCAATGACCACAGGACTTACAAGGCTCATATTTGGGAATTCCGTGTCTGATTATGCCAGATACCACCATCAAGGATTTTTGTTTTGGGAGTAAAAGGGACGGCTGGGTTAATAGACATAGCGAGGATTCGCGAATATTGTGGATAGACAGGCAACAGGCGAGAGTGGTGACCCTGGGATCGACGCAGAGGGAGACTATCTCGACAAGGAGGTGACCCCATCATGGAGGTGTTGGAGATGAAAGGCACATGTTGGATGGGTGAGTTTGATGACGGTTGCCAGTTTTGGTTGGATAGGAGGAAGGCATAGTGCATGCGAGAGGATACGTGGGTGATGATGTTGACGGCGGTGATGATGATGGTGATGGGGATGTTGAGGAGGAGAACAAGGTCGCTTGGTAAATGACAATGACTCTTGTGCAGGGCTGAGAAGCGGAATGTTGGAGGATCGGCTTGGCATGGGCTTATCCGGGGCCATTTGGTGGTGGACAAGGGAAAAGAGAGAGAAGAGAGCGAGACAAGAGCGAGACCTTGAAAGGAAATTCATCTTCAGCCTTTTGCCCTCTTCCCCTTCTCTCCACCAAACCCCCAAACCACCATCTGCCCTTTCTTGGAACCCGAACTCCCACATCTTCGTTTTCTGCTCTTGGTTGGTCCTTGGGCTCTTTTCGTGAGCGATTGCTGCCGGGATCCCTTTGTTTATTGGTTACATATTTCGCTGCCTTGTGCCTGTGCCTGTGGCGGATATGATGGGAGGAAGCCACCACGCTATCCTGCCCTTTTGAGTGTTCTTCACTTACCGCCGCTCTATTGCTCTTGCTCCGTCACCTGGTCCTCGGTCGCTGCAGAGACAACTCCAGACCATTCACTGCTTGAAGGAAAAGAGAGAAAAAAGAAATCACTGTGCAACTGCGAATTTATGGGGTGGTAGACACCTCTGCCCCTCGTTCATTCATAGACCACCCGACGGCTTCGCTACTGTCCCATTTCAACTCTCGAACGTTGGGCAATTGACGCAATCGGCACGCGCAGTTGAAAAGGCCATCATACTGATCATTGCGCTTGAGGTCCTGGATTGTCCGGTGGTGAATTGCTGCCGTTGGTGGAGCTCCATGGTTGTTTGGCTCGTATCGCCCAGATGCCCATGAGACCCCGTGAAATTTCTGCACCACCTCACTTCTGCGTCGGCCTGGCGCCAACTCATCGTTCGAGTCTCCAAATTCATCGCAATCATCGTCCAGATGGGTCGACTAAGCAGAGATTCGTCCAGACGGCCGTCTACAGATGAGCAAGAGATGGTTGAGGTCAAGCGCGAAGAGTCGGTGGACGCTGAGCTTGCTCACGAGCTCAGCACAACCCGCGTAGCCACCATCAACCATCAGAGCTCGGCGAGCCCCTCGGCTTCACCATCTCTGAAACCAGTCCGATTAAAGTCCTCCCGCTCATCCTCTGTATCGACGTCCTCTTCAAATCGCCCTCCGGCTGCTGATCCTGACACGTCAACTGCCAAGAAAGAGCCGAACGAGGCAAATGGTCACCACTCAACCTCCACCTCGCCCGTCAAGCCTGAACCCAAGGAAGCCTCGAAGCCCGCAAAGACCTCCCGAGCCACCTCTAAGCTTCCACCCCGTGTCGCTCCTCTCTTCGACCACCTCCCGGACGCAACAAAAGAAGCCACCTCGACATTCACCGTCATTGATGCGTGCACTTATCAAAACAAATACCTCGGATTCAGCGAACATGCCCTCGACTGTGATTGCAGCGAGGAGTGGGGTGAGTTTGGCTATCATCTGGATGGTTAGATAATTCTGGCAGCGACTGACCATGTGTATCTAGACCCGTCCACGAGGCAGAACCTTGCCTGTGGGGAGGATTCCGACTGCATCAACCGCGCGTGTAAAATGGAATGTGCCGATGACTGTGGCTGCGGTGTTTCGTGCCAAAATCAAAGGTTTCTCAGGCGTCTCTATGCCAAAGTCTCGATTATCAAGACCGAAAAGAAGGGCTATGGCCTTCGCACCGATGTCGATCTGCGACCGCATGACTTTATCTTTGAATACATTGGCGAGACCATTCCCGAAGCCACTTTCCGGAAGCGTATGCTGCAGTACGATGAAGAAGGAATCAAACATTTCTATTTCATGTCCCTGAGCAAGGGTGAGTTTATCGATGCGACGAAGAAAGGGAACCTCGGTCGGTTTTGCAACCACTCCTGCAACCCCAACTGCTACGTTGACAAATGGGTGGTTGGGGACAAATTGCGCATGGGCATCTTCGCTGAGCGCTATATAAAGGCTGGGGAAGAATTGGTCTTCAACTACAATGTCGATCGATATGGCGCCAATCCACAACCTTGCTACTGTGGTGAGGCCAACTGCACAGGTTTCATTGGAGGCAAGACCCAGACGGAACGAGCCACTAAGCTATCGGCAGCCACGATAGAGGCCCTGGGTATCGAGGATGCTGATTCTTGGGACACCGTGGTTGCGAAGCGGCCGCGCAAGAGGAAGACAGCAGAAGACGACGAGGAATACGTTGATAGCGTCGAAGCCAAATCGCTGGACATCGACAGCGTGACCAAGGTTATGGCCGCACTCATGCAATGCAAGGAGAAATGGATTGCCGTCAAATTGCTGCAACGCATCCAACGGTGTACTGATGATCAGGCGTGGCACCGCGTCGTCAGATTCCACGGATACCAGATCCTCAATTCGCAGCTCTCGGCATGGCGAGACGATGAGAACATCATCCTTCAGATTCTCGACGTCCTGGACCGCTTACCACGGCTCACGAGAAACAAGATTGTCGATGCAAAGATTGACAAGACAATGGAGTCTTTGACTAACCATTCTGACGAGAAAGTAGCGATTCAAGCCTCGGCGCTTCTGGATGCTTGGTCGAAGCTCGAATTGGCCTACAGAATTCCCCGGAAGAAGAGGGAAGACGCAAACACGCCCGTCAAGACGGAGACTACGCCGTTCGAGAGGCGAGAGTCTGCCCAGGGACGAAGAAAATCCAAATCGAGATCAAGATCGCGATCCCCACCACGAGGGCCTGCCTCGCTGAATGCACCGTCGGGTCCACGGTCACTTCAACGACCGGGTTCTTTCTACTCACGTCCTCCTCTACCTTTTCACCGCGGGCCACCTCCACTACCACGAGGCTGGTTTACGGCTCAGGACAAAGGCAGAACATATTACTATTCTGTCACCGGGCAGACAACGTGGGCCCGACCCACGAAACCCGCAGAAGAGGCCCCTCCTCCGCCACCACCAAAACAACCGTCGGAACGAGATGTGCTCAAGAGTATCATCGAGAACATCGTCACGTCCCACGACAAAGACACCAAAAACAGCACGCCGGCCACGCCCGAACCTGCTAAAGTGAAGAAGGAAGAGAAGTGGAAATCGTACGACATCGAGAAACAGAAGAAGCTTTACGAGAATACTGTAAGTACCGCTTTGTCTTTTGCATACTACGGGCCATGTCTAACCGGGATGTCCAGCTCTTCCCTCATATCTCTCACGTAATGAACAAATACAAGCACAAGATTCCCCGGGACGATCTAAAGCGATTTGCAAAGGAGATTGCAAAAAAGCTGGTGGCATCAGATTACAAAGCGGGCCGAGTCAAGGATCCCACAAAGATTGACGAGCGACAACAGAAGAAAGTCAAGGAATTTTGCAAGCAATTCTTTGAAAAAGCGTATCAAAAACACAAGAAGCACGAAGCCGAAAAGGCGGCAAGGGAGAAAGGAAAGAAAGGGCCAGGAGGTGGTGAAGGACCGGTTGCGTCACCTGCCCAGTCTCCCGCAGTATCACCTACTGAGGCAGACGCCACCGTGGATCATGAAGACATGAAAATGTCGGATAACGAAGACGACGACGCGGAGGCCACGCCGAATTTGAATACACCAGCTGAATCCAATGGGGTTGGCACATTAAAGCGTAAGCGACTCGAGACAGACGAATCCGTCACGGCTGAAGGAGAGGACGAGAGAGAACCGATTGGGTCACCAGTGAAACGACTCAACATGGATACTGAGACTCCTCCGCCGCCACCACCGCCACCTGCGCCGCCAGCAGAGTCACCGCCTGACGGCACACCTGGTGAAGGTGAACATGAAGGCGCGGATGTGGTGATGGGTGGAGAAACAGACATCTACGCCGACACCAGTTTCAAGGGCCAGAGCATGGCGGATGTGCTCGCTCAGGCGCAGGCGGAAGATGCAGAGGAAGGGGATGATATGGAAGACGTGGTCATACGAAACGGGACTGCAGTGGAGGCGAAGGGGGAGCCGAGGAATCCCATGGTGGGTGATCAACCCGTTGCCGCCACATAGGCAGGCCGATAAGGGCTGTTACCATGGAGTCGGGGCTTGTATTGCATCACGGGCTTGTCAGGTACAGGGAGCATTCTTGGAGCTAGTTGGGCATTTTTGTGTACATCAACCTGGTATCCCATTTATTGAGGAATGGGAAGACGGAAACCGTTGGCGAGGTCTTCCAAAGCGCCCTTGGGCGGGGGAGGGCTACTAGGATTGTGTCTTGGTCTTGGGACACGGCCATCTTCATGCCCATGTTTTGGAGTCAAGATCCATTTTACTTTTATATTCTTTGCGCCTTGACAAAAGGAGTGCGAGAATGCCTGCCATATTGATCGCGTAGTAGCTAGCACATGCGCACGCACGGTCTGATATAGTTTTACTACACACACAGACAGATACACGAGCGGTTTCTCAAGGCGAAAGCAAGATCTAGAGTGAACGAAAACGAGAACGAGAATACAAACAAAACATGTCAAAGTCCAGCATTGATTCAAATATTAGGTAGATGGTCGAGTTTCTGAATCATGTATAAGTCGTATCGACGAGGGCGGGGGATCGAGGGATTGAGGACAGAAACTTGAGTGTACTCTATGTAGGTAGGAAGGTATTTAGTAGGTACTTGAGTGTGGCTTTTTGAACGTGTATGACCTTTGCAGAGCGCATTCGATCCCATTCATCAATCAATCAATTGATGAATCACTCGGTCATTATTTTTGATTTTTGGGGTCCATTCCCTACGTCCTGTTCCTGCCTGTCATACCACTCGTAGTTCTCCTTTACCGCCTTCATTGCCTCATCGTTTGTGTCCAAGTGTCGGGCACATCGACCGTGAGATCATAGCCTTGTTTGTGAAAAAAACCGATCAAGATCAAGATCAAGCCCAGACCCGTTCGCAGCACCTCCATACTCACTCAATCGCGCATGGGTGTGGGCTGGGTAATGATGTTGAGTTGTGCGTTCGTGGGCGTCCATCTGCTTTCACAGGCTGACCGGACACTCGGGAATATCTCTCACTCCAGCGCTCCTGCGCTTGTGCTCGTGCTCGTACTCGTGCTCGTGCTCGTGCTCGTGCTGAAAGCGACCGGCCGAAACGAGAGGCGACAACCTCCAGTAGCTGTATCTGTATCCGTCCATATCGGCGCATGTGACTTCACTCTCGGATGGGTATGCACAGCCTCTGTCAATGTTCGTGGTTGGTCAGATCCAAGCACCTGCACACCAGCACACAGGTCGTGATGCGGATCCCACCAGAGTTCATGGAAAAATGCGGGATGGAGAAAAAAGTAATCCGCCCAAAGGGGCGTCCCACGTTCCTCGTCCTCGTCGTCAGCGACTAACCCATGCAAAGATCCATTTAGCATGGGGAGGCAAAGTATCATTATAGACGAGTGAAGGGTGTCGATCAGTGTCCAGTATTCCCAATGTCCAATAAAGAGATATTTTGCATAGGTGAAGTAAAATCCAAGGGCTCAATAGAAGCTCTCGACAATGCTCTCCTTGTTGGCCTTCATCCTGGCATCCAGTCCACCGGGACCGCCTTCGCCCAGTCTGAAGACACTCTCGATGACGCTCAGTTCTGTAGCCGTGGTGTCCATACCCGTCACGGCCAGCCAGTCGTTGACAACCATGCCAGCACCAACGACAGGGCTGCCTCGGTTGACACTACCCGCAACAAGCGGCACTTGTAGTAACGAACTCAGCTCGTCTTGATCTTGAATACTTGTTTTCGGGTGGACGATGCCGCCTTGGTTCGAGAGGGACATGTAGGACCCGGTCAACACGTTGCCGGCAATGGTTTGGCGGAAGACTTCGACGCCCAGGGTGTCTGCGATGATTTCTTCGGTTTCTCGTTCGAGGTCCGGATGGACGAGGGCGACGTGGTCATCTACAGAGTGGCATTGGTGTTAAAAAGACGATCTGCACACCACTTCGCAGTCCAAAAAAGGCGCCCACTTACTGCAACACACGACATTGCCCAGCGCCGATAATCTCTCCTCTATCCTTTCGACCTTGACGCTATCTGGCAGAGTATTGCGGATGTGTTGTAATTCCTGGTCGGTGGTGGACGTAGGGACTAGGAGACCATTCTTGTTGCCTGAAGTCAAGCGGCCAACGATGCGGGTGCCGGCGATGGTGCAGTGGGCGATGGGGATGAGATCAGCGAGTTCGGACTCGAAGATGGAGTAGAAGTTCTCAGAGGCCCCGACGGCGACAAGACAGTAACTGTTGGTGAGGTTGGCGAAGACGCCCACTTCATTGGAGTTTTCGAACTGCGCACGCACCCAAGACATTAGAATTCCCTCTTGCAAAAGAGGGAAAAAGCGACGAGAATCTCTTACCTGTGCTCGTACAGCCATGTTCACTCAATAGCCGCTTTGTTTTGGGTGGGTGTTTGTGTAAAGAGGGCGAGGGAAAAAGGTTGACGACAGGGTATGAAAGGGAACGGCGGGGTCGAGCGCAGTTTGTTTAGTGAAGCGAATCGAGGGGGAAATGGCCGCCTGGGTGCGGGTGTTGCTTTATATTCGTTTTCCGAGAAGCGGTCGACAACAGGATAGGAGGCAATTTGTTTCTTTGTCTGTCTGTCTTTTCTCTAGTTCTGGCCTTGTTCGGTGGTGAATGGCAAGGAGGAGGATGTGTGAATCATTCCCAAATCCGCTGGTGGGAAAATTGTGTAATCGTGCATGGCGCAGGCCGGGCAAAGGTGAGTTTTCCTCCAATCAACAACGACGCCCGCCACGCTGGGGGAGTCATCAGGCAATTCCTCGTACGGCGACAAGGGTGATTAACTGCTTGTGAGGATTCTTCCAGCTGCCATTTACGTCTCCTTGTGCCGCCACCAGCCCCAAAGTCAAGCTTTGATTCAGAGTCACCGTGGACGAGGAATGGAATGACTATGGATGATGGCCCGTGATCGTCTGGTCCAGACTGCCAGACTAGGTCCTAATCCACGAGCCCTCGAGCTCCAGTGGAGCTGGAGACATTTCACCCAGGCAAAACTCGCTAATATCCAAGACATACAGGACAAGTAGTACGGGGATGCTGTGTTCACCATCCCAGGTCCCAAACCACCACAAGAACCCTGCTCTCAGAAACCCGCCCCTCTCACCCCGAGCACAAGGTCAACTTGATATTGATCGAGTCGGAACAAGTCCTCATCCCCTGAAAGTCGTCGTTGTACTTGTTGTACACGTCGTTGCAGTCCTTGTCTCCTGGCCCACAAGAGGCGCCACGACAACTTGCAAGACTGAGACTGGGATCTTCCGGGTCGTCGACGTCCATCTCGAAGCCCTCGTGGACAAAAGGCGCCCCTGCGACGTTGCTGACGTCGAAATACGTCTTGCCCTCGTCCTGCTCCCAAGCGTACTCGAGCTGCGTGACCAGCGGCGTCGACGCAGAAGGGTCGCGTGTGCACATCATGGCCACACCGGTGTCCTGCGGGCTGTCGAGGAAGTGGCTGGTCAAGACTGTCCCGGCTGGTTGACTGACCCATTTGACCGCTGGCCGCTCCGACTGGGGGGTAGGGTCGTTTGGTTCGTATCCCACCACGACGGCGCACCACACAGGGTATGGACAATAGTGCACCACATCGGCACGAGCAGCGACAAGCCCCAACAGCCCGAGACCGGCGAGAAGGATGTATGAGAGTCCAACAAATCTCATGCCCATGCCCATCAACGCATGCATCTTGACCAGATCCCCGACCGTTGAGATTTGCTAGACTCTGGTTTTCGTAGATTTGGTCAGACTCCACGTCCTTCACTCATCACCCTCATGTTCGACTTACAAGGTCTGGTTTTCGCTGCTGGCCGTACGAGATGTCTTACCTCGACGTCGCGGTGAGTTTCTTGTTGGTGGTGGTGGTGATACTGTCGTTGTGTTTGTTGGTCTTGTCGTCGTTCGTTCCACCCCTTTAACAATAGACGATTTATAGCTGTATAGCTATAATATAACGGTATCCCTTGGTGTCCCTTGGTGTCTTTCCCTGTCTTTCTTACTTTATCTTTTCGGAAGCGAAGGAATGGATATCAAGCTCGGCAAAATCGTGGTTTCTTCTTGTCGTTGTTTCTGTTTCTGTTTCTGTATCTGTACAGAGAGACATTTCAAGAAAGTCTCGACCACGACACCGCTTCAAATGGGTATATTTATACCTACCACACCCCTCAAAGCCGTCTGTCACTGGAACTCAGCGTCCAGCAGAGAGCGGCCAGCATGACCTCCGGGTACCGTCGCGCATTGCCTTGCACCAGCTGAGCCGCCTGCTCACATGTCCACATATCCCAGCATCAGAGGGCCCGGTTCCCCACGAAACGGAGTCCATGCTGGACCGATAACCGCTTCTGGCCGCATCGGACGGAACCATCTTGAAGGCGATATTACCATGTCGCGAACAAGCCGGGTCGGAAAAGAAAGGGGGCGGCGGCGGGTGTGCGGGCTTGCGTGTGTGGGTGTGTATATCATATGACATGATATTATATGGTATTTTATGATGTGGTATGTACATTGTGTTTCGTGGGTGAAGAGAGAAAGGTCACTGCCAATCAATAAAATAATCAAACAGGCGGAGCAAGTGAGTGAGTGTGCGAGTGACAAGGGGAAAAGAAAAAGAGGAAGAAGTGCAAAAAACAAATAAAATCATTTCACTTCACTTCACTGTAGTGGTGTCGGTGGTGCGGATCGCAATGAACAAGCAAACAAGCAAACAAGCAAACAAGCAAGCAAGCAAGCAAGCAAGCAAGCAAGCAAGTAGCAAACACGCTCGTGGATGTATATATCCACAAGATCAAAGCAGGCCGTATATGTCATCAAGAACGTCTCTGATTACATGGTATATAGTAAACACCTCATTTTATAAAGAAATCAGCATCAGCCTGACCGTATATCGTAACGTCGTTAGCCTTCAAAAGCACAATCATTCTTCACAAATTCCTGTGTCTAACGCCGCCAGACTCGCCTCGTATCTGCCCGGACTGTGATCGCCAAACATGTCCCGCCCGAATCTCAGCTCGCCGAACCGCTTCTCCACATCTCGTACCAGCTTGAATTGCACTCTCGTGGCGGGTCTCCCGAGTGCCCTGTAGAGCTTTTCCGTTCGGTCGTCCTTTGAGTCGTCAGGTCCAAAAACTGCCTCGCGTGCTACGTCTGGCTCCAGTCTGTCAAAGACGCGGGTCGTTTCCACCACAAACACTTCTCCAGGAGGAACCAGTTTATCATTCACCATTGCTGCACGTAGCGTCTTCAGTGCCGACCATGCCCAAGTGTCTTCGCCGAGGCCATCGCCTGCAATGTTTTCTGGCGGAGGCGGCCCCCTCGGGTTGTTATAGAATGCGGACTTGACGGCATTTTTGAGACGAATCCAAACCCGCGTCTTGAGAGCACCAAGAGCGTCAGTCGTGTCGTGTTTGAGGTGCAATGCAACGGTACGGAAGTCGTGCAGAATGCCCAGGGAGAGGCAAGGCACAATATCCGCGTGGTTGACAATGGTCGTAATGAGCCCACGGGTGGCAACACGGAGAAGCTCGGACATGCATGCGGGTGTGCCATAGGCGTAGACGTGGATTGGTCGGCCTGGTGGAAGACTGATGGGAGGGATGTAAGAAGTAAACGACTTGTTCGTGGATTGATGGGTAAGGAGTTTAGGTTTGCTGCCGGTGACAAACGAGGTCTTGGATTCGTCAAACGATGGTTCGGCAATGAGGATGGCGAGTATGGCCGCGACAGCTCCTCCCAGGGAGTGCCCACAAAGAACAAGGCCATAGTCGGGATATTGTTCAAGTGTCGCTCTGATGGTGGCCATGATGCGGCTTCCACTACCACCTAATAGTCGTCTTGCCGAAGCATGAATGCCTTTATGGACTTTGTAGCGCTGGCCTTGCCATAGCAAGTCGTCGTAATCGCATGTCATGTCGGTCAGAACATCTTCAAAGCCAAGTGTCCCGCGACAGGTCAGAACTACGGCTTTGGAATCGTCATCGATCGAGATGAAATGGATCAATGGTGATATGGCCGAGGGCGACCAGTCAGTATTGCCGGTAACTCCTTGGGGATCAAAGAAGGACGACAACAGAATTGTGTCAGGAGGCAGGCCTGTATGGCTGGAAAATGAGCTGTGCTCGTGGTGGACGTCAAGGGTCATGAGCTCCGTCGACTTGCTAAGCTCATCTTCTGCTGTTGTCAGGCCCATAACCCGCAGGAAATTCGCCCCATACGAAGCCGATGCGAACCTCGCAAATCGTCGAACTGTTTTGACAAGATGACGATCAGGAAAGATACCAGGCACTTTCCCATTCGTGATGAGAGCAGCTAATATACTGTGATCCTCATATATTGATTTCCGAGGTATAGGGGCCTTCGGCGCTAAGAGGATGGCCTCCGTAGAATCCTTGGTCCCCATCGAATACAGACTAGGGACAAAAGACCGAGAGCGTCTATGATGGACTGTGCCTGTGGTTGGGTCGACTCTAGCTTCAGTCTCGTCTAGTGCCAGTCCGAGTTCCGACCTCGTCTGTGTCAACTCGTTCACAACTCGGGTCCGAGTCCTTGTGAAGGTGGGGGAGCTTGGTCGACTCTCATGCGAATGGACAGAATATGTCTCTGTGGTCTGCGAGACAATAGAGTCTCTTCTCCGGTCGTGCACGGCAAAATAGCTCGTTGATGACTCGGCAGCCCGATGTAAACTCGGACTTGTCAGGGGCGTATTACCATGGGTCAACGAAGCATAAGTTCTCCTTGATGTGGCATCTTCGCGATTGGCCGAAGGCGCCCTAGACCTGGGCGACTGTGCTGCCACTGAGGTCGAAGCTTTTGATTGCTGTGGTGGTACTTTTGGGAGATCCTTTACCGCCGCTGACGACTGACTCGGACTCAGCGTCTTCAGTGCTTTCTTGATGACGCCAGCTTTATCACTCTTCACACCTGAACTTGATTTGTCCTTTTTACCTTTGACAAGTGGTATACGACTGGTACTGCTTGCATTGGCAGATGACTTGCTTGAACTGAGAACTGGCCGACGACTCTTTTTCTGATTGGCAACAGGGCCTAGCAATTTTGGAGGAGAAGAGGTTGGTGGTGAGGATGATTCGATTGCCGACTCATCGCGGTCCGAATTGGAGAAAGTACCGTTATCTATCTGGATCGGTTCATCCACGATAGAAATTCGTTTCGGGGCGGTAGCCATCATGAACAAGTCGTCGGTGTCGTGGTGGTCTTGACCTAAGCCGGTATGACCGGTCAATCGCAGTGGCTCATTCGACGATGGTTTCTCCCTACTGCTCGATCTCTTCAAAGACGTGCGAAATATGACAGTTTGATGAGGTCCAACTTGGTTGCCGTTTGTCGAGCTTTCATGGTTCAGCCTTTCTGCCACCATAATGGTTCCCGGAGGAGGGTCAATATGGGCTGTTTCAGCGTCGTATATGTCGACACGGATCGTTTTGGCGGTGATGGTTTCGGATGTAATCACGGCTCGAGCTCCAGAAGGTATTTGGCTCATGATCCGCTCACGAATTTCTTCGTCGGTCAGCTTTGTCTGGTTCTCCGCTGACAGTGCGACTGCTTGAGCATCAAACACTGTTCCCCTCTCCAAGGCTTCAAAATCTTCATCGCAATCTGGAGAAGTAAAGGTGACTGGCGGGCCACCAGTATTGGCGTGGATACTGATCATGCCTTTCTTCCGCGTCCCCACGACATCGGCTCGAAAACCCTTGTCATCAATGACCGCGTCCCAAATAGTCTCTTCACCACCAGCATCCCGGAAATCCAGCTCCGTCTTCCGTCTTCCCCACCTCTGGAGCATCACAAAACCGATGGTGGCAATAATGAGGTCCAGGTATGTCACCACCTCGCCAGTTCCCCCGATCTCGGGCTTGTTGAGTTCATCTCTGATCAGCGTGATGATGGCAGCGACGGCACGGGAGGACTCAGTAGAGCCGAGGATTGCATTCAGAGTAGCCAGTCCTTGTATAGATAGACCGGATATTGAGTTCATAAACGCTTCTGTGAGGTGGAAGCCCGTCGAGGCGACAAAAGACGTCGTTGAGATGGTCGAATGCAACGCGGAGATCTGTGACGATGTTAGCCCCGTGTCATGTATTCAATACCGATACCTCAAACGTACACTCCTCTCCAGTAGATTCTCAGCTTCCGCCCGCCCCAGGTCGCCATTGCTTCGCGTAGAGACATCTCGTCCCGCTGCAATCAGAACAGACTCCAGTGCACTGCGACTGACGGAAAGTGTTTTGAGTGTAGCCTCTCTGCCAGCATAAAGTCCCCAACCGCCAATCTTGGTTGCACCACGAACATAGAACGAAGTCAGGCCGGTAACGCCACTGACAATCGCGGCCGCGGGCGCAGGCAGAAGGGTCCGTCCCGGTTGCGGCTGCGCAAAAACAATTTCCTTTGGGGCATCGTCATCCGAGTCCCCAACAGTTTTTTCATCTTCAGAGGCAGATGCATTCTCTTTGTGCGAACTCCAAAGCATCTCGCAGGGCAGGGCGGCCGGAACGACAGGCCGAGAAGGCGGTGTAAAGGATGCGAGGAGGAACGCGCTTCACGTCGTGCTCCATGAAGGATCGAGGGCGACAGTCATACACGGTTGGGAAGATAAGAGAAGAAGAGCACTGGGGAGCAGGGAACCAGGCAGGATGGAACGGGTAGGGAGGACGCAGGTACGCGTCCGGGTTCCTGACATTAAGGCGGGCACATGTGCCAATGATAGAAAGTGATCCAGGTGGAGTTGGAGGTGGAATAATCGATCATCGCAGGATGGCGTGTCAAGGTCTTCTCTGACTTGCCCGCCATGACGGTGGATTTTCACATGTGAAACTTCTTGATCAACTCGTAACTCCCGTCCATCCAGGCCACGTTTCTCCCGACGATGGGAGTTCAAGATAGTCCGTCGGCCTATTTGAGACGGATCTCATTGGTGAGTCAAGACGAATCGATACCGAGAGCCTCGTAGCTCTGGGCCCGAGCGCACCGCAAACGTGACGGCAAGCTACACGAAATCTATTCTCCGACCACGCCGACCACGCATGAAGAAAGGTATTGGGATCGAAGAGCCAGTTTTGTTACGCCACAAAAGTTCCACTATAACGGGCGATTAACTAGAAGACAATGATGGAACACTAACAATGACAGATGTACAATAACAATGCGATTCGCCCTCCTTCGGGGTCCTGCTCCGAGGAGCAAAGTCATGCTAAAAATGCTATCCAAACGAGCGCCATGCTCAAAGGCCCATTCTGTGTAATAATAACATCGTTTTTAAAAATCCTCCATGTCCAACATGACCTCGTCACCTCCATTGTCCACGAAGGTTTCCTAAACACCGGGTATAAACTTCTCCGCCGGTATAGCGCCTTGCGCTTTCAGCTCCATGAAGTTCTTCATGGCTAGATCGTAGTTCCAGTTATTGGCAATGAGGCACTCCTCCACCGCAGCCAGCCTCAGTTTCGTCTCGAAACTGAACTGCAACCCCATCTTCTCGCGTTCGAGGATTTCTGCAGGCTTGTCTGCTTGGGGAATGCCAAAGAGAGAGTCTGCCGGTATCTCGGGGTGCGGCAGGCGGCCGGCCACCACCGGTACTGCTTGTGCCGGGAGAGGCAATGGTGGGTTGGCTTGGAAGGGCGGCTGTTGGACATTGGGCGCTATGGGTTGATTGTCGCCGACGGGGAGGTTGTTGAACAACTGCAGCTTTGGATACCACTGCCGCAGGGTCGGCAATGTATCTGGGAGATCGTTGACCGGGTTGCCCTGCAAGATCAAATGCTCCAGATCACGAAATTGGTTCTTCCAATACTTCAATGAATCCATGCTCGCAAGTTTGTTGTTGCCGAGATCGAGATTTCGGAGGCGCGGAAAGGTTCTTGACAAAGACATGATCTGTTCCACCGTGTCAAGACCGTTGTCGCTAAGTGTAATGCTGTGGACCGACTCGTCACGTTTGCTGGGGGTTTCGAAAATTTTGGTTTTGCAGAGAGTAAAGATAGCCTCAAAGACTTTCGCAGGATCTGAACCGAGTATTCCAGGTATTTGTAGGAGTTCCTCATCGGCACCGAGGGCGTTAAGACTTAGGAGTTTCAGAGAAGGGTCGTAGCGTCTGCGTAGGACGGAGATCATGGTATTTTCAACTTCGTTTGTGAGAGGGTCGTTCTTATTGCTGTTATCCTGTGCACCAATGCGTGTGTTGTTTCGAGGTTGGTTGTAGTGAGTGTTTCCGCCGCCTCGAGGTCCGCTGGGTAGCTGGTTGTAACGACCGTGTGGTGTTGAGCCATTCTGGCCAAAGGCAGATCTTGATGGCTGAGATGGTTGAGAGGGAGGGTGGTGATTTGGAGACCGGTCATGGGCCTGGTTTTGCTGGAATCGATTGATATTGTTGGTGGGTGATCTTGAGTCCTCGACAGTAAGAGTACTGCCAGCCCACTGGAAATTGTTTAAATGGTAAAATCGATCTTTGTCGTTTTCATAGACGGTGATGATGAGGACGTTGCTCGCGCGGCCGACGACTTTGTTGGACAATATTTGGCGATCTCCAGACTTCTTGCGGAGGAACACCAGTAGCGAGGCAACTCCCTGGTCTGGTGTGGATGCGAGTTTCGAGTTGGTCCATCCCTTGATCGCCAAGTCCCGCGTCGCCGCGGACTGATTGCCTTGTGATGGATCCCCGGATCTACCAAACGCCATTGTGAACGCTCTGACCCAGAACGACCAAGCGAACGGCAACCAAGTGGTGAATGGATGCTGTTGGTAATGATTCCGATGGCGTAGATGGTCCCAGTCTTTAGACAAATCCGAACTTTTGTCTTTGAAATGTGGCCGAGTCGAACGAATGAGCTGATGATGCACGAGAGGCGAGGCTGTTCAACAACCACTCGAAACCCCTCGGTAAGTAGACTCCCTCAACGATGGACTTGAAGGCAGCGTCTGTGCATGTAGCTGATCGAAATTCGGGATATTGATGCGGTAATTGGTGGAATGTGGCTTGAAGATTTGTATGTGGCGGATTATTTGCCAAGGGTATATTAGGTACTTGGTATGTCCAAGTGACACAGCCAAATGGTGAATATAGTCGGATTCGAAGAGTGACAGTGAGAGCGAGTGAGTAAAGAAGACGGTACGACAAAGGATTTGGCAAGAGATCAATCTACTGACAAAAGCGATGGTTGCCGTCGCTTGTTGAGGGAACAAGGGAAGTTTTTGTAGGCGGAATCAAGCAAAAAGGCGAGACCCACTCTCTCTGTCAGGCAGATTCACGTGATTTGAGCTAGTCAATTTTAGGAACGGTTGATGCCTATCCTTGGCAATCGTCTTTGGTAGGCTGGGGTTTATTATTGGTCAGTTTTTAGTCATCATTGTCCATTATGCCCCTTTCCCACAAAGCCCTCAGACACGCAGACACTGTAAACAATGGCTCGACCCTTGGAGTCGTGGTTGATGCCGCATTGACCCGTTCGCATTGTTTTCGGAGGCTGTGCAATTATGAATCCAGTGAAACCCCTTCAAATAACTTTTTCATACAGTCACTTGCTTCATTCTTGGTATCCTATCGGTTGTTTGCTCGGTCTTCAGGAGGAGCAGGACTCGTGGTTTTACTACTGCCGAATCGACCTATACCCCCAAACCCACCCAGGTCCCTCTTGAAGAATTTTCCAATGTTTTTCAAGTTCTCATTCAACTTTGCCCCGGCCTCTGCACCGGAGAAGCCCCCATCGCCTGTGGTGTGCATGCCTGTTCCAGTTGGCGGTGGGCTTACTGCTCCGTCTCGAGGCGTGCCTAGACCGGGGCTGCTGAATCGGTCAATGATTGCGTTGCCCAGTCCAGAAGCATCGAATTTCATATTCGCTGGGATATTTGCCGTGCTCAGTGACGCCGCCGCAGAGTTACCCAATGCCGAAAGGTTGTGGAGAGCACCTGCTGGTGTTACCGCAGTCCCAGTGGACGTACCGGATGCTGACAGGTTCAATGGAGTAAGCAGAGGTGACTTCTCCACTAGTGTGTCCTTGTACCGTGGGCTGAACTTGTGCATCTGAAATAATTCAACCAAGTGGTTTTGTTCTGACTTTGCGCGGATGCCTTTCAATTCGAGGATTTTGCGGAAGTTGACTTCCGAGAGGTCGGAGATGTGGATCAGGTATGCTTGGACGAGGGCCTCTGGGGGTGATGGTCGGACTTGTAGGGTTTTTAATAGTGGCTCAATCTTGCCAAAAGCAGCAGTGACGCGTTTGAGGAAAAGTGGCGGCGGTGTACCCGGAAGTATCTGGGTGAGGGTGTTCCTGATGGCGTGGGTGTCGAGCAACATCTGCTCAGCGCCGCCTTCTGAGATGGGCTTGCATTGGGCAATGTTAGCCACATACGTTGACGCCAACAGCTCGACCAGATTATCTGCGAATGCCCGCGCATACTGTTGTTTGTGAAGCATGCCCAAGATCTCACTGGAACGGTCCTTGATCCGATTCTCCAGACCTGTAATATAGGGGCTTTGATGTTCTCCAATTTCAATCTTTGACCAGGACATGTTTCGCATCTCACGCCAGCTGGGTTCCAAGTCGACTTCCACACGACGGACCAGACCTCGGACTGCCGCACTCGCTATGCCCATGAAGGCATCTGCTTGGCTCTGTAGATCGACTTTATCCTTCAACGCATCGTCTATGCGACTCTTGATCTTTTCTTCCAGAGAATTCGAAGTCTGGAAACAGTAGTCCGCCGTGTTGAGAACCAAAATCACATCTTCGACAGAGGGTATTCGAGAAGGGGTGCCGCCTGTTGGTTTCTCGGAGATATAGAACAGCAGGACTTGTTGCGCATATTGGTCAAGATAGCGGCCAAAAACCTTGGCCAAGTCGAGCAGGGGCTGTCCCGTGGAGAGCTTCGCACATTGCGCGAGGGAGTGTCGGTAGAAGTTGAACAGCTCTGTCGACGAGGCAATAACATGTTGTGAGGAGAAATCTTCATCCGCAAGTTTGGTCGGCCGCTGCCTGTATTGCGGTATCAGACCCGCGAGTTCTTTATCCTGTGCTTCCACCCACAAGCTCAGATACGGTTCAAACGCGTCCGAGATCGGCTGGCCAAAGACTGGTGTGTCACTGGCTGATGCCATGGTGTCGATGGAGGTTCTTGACGTTTGATTGAATCTCCTTTCGAGAGCGTGCTCGAAGTCCAGAGTTTGCTGCAAACATGACAACAACAGCTGGACATCAATGGTCTGACCGTTGCGGGTAGTCCTAGACAAGATGCCCTTGTAGTCTTCTCGTGTTCCTTCAGCAAAGACGTTGGCAAGGATCTCGTTGACCCGCCAGTGCGGAGGGAAGATGGCAGCATGTTCCTCGTCGTATATCTTGAGCGTCTTTTTGAACCACGCGTACCTCCGGTCAATATTGTCAAGCGATCCCGCCTCCTGGTCCCCCTTGAATATATGCCGATACTGACGAAGTTGCGTGTTACAATACCAGGTGGTCAACCGTGACCGGGCGGCATCGCCGAGAGCATCGACTACCATACACGCCTCGTGAAGCAGTCCTCGTTTCTGAGCCACCTCTTCCTTGCTGAAGGTAATCTCAAAGTCCTCGCACACTTGTTCCAGTAACTCTCTCTGTATATCTGCTACATTCCTGCTCAACGTCGCGATCTGGTCGATTGACCGGTAGGATTTGAAGTGAGCCATGAGTTGGATCACCGCCTGCAGGAGCTGGGCGCATTCTCTGTACTGTCTCGTTTTGCTCATGGCCCGCAGTTGTTCATAGGCGGTCGTCAACATCTGCAGTCTCTTCAACGCTGTCATCGAAAGCGTGAGATTCTTCTTTGTATTGTCCAACTGCTTAATATCCGCCGTCATCTCGGTGATGTTTCGCTCGGTCCGCAGTGCCCGCTCCCGGACACTCTCGATGCGCTGGAACAGCTCCGCCAGCTCGGCTTTTGAGGCTTCCATTCGCTGCAGACATTCTGCGTTTGACTGGATCTGCTCGTCTTCGAGAGCCTCGATTTCGTCGTCAAGGTCATCTTGATAGGCTTGGAGGATTTCGAAGGTCTGGCTGACCGACGAGAGGGTCGAAGGGTGTGAGAATATCTGATCGAGGTGTTCGATAGGGTCATAATTGTCTTTCCACAGGTCAGCACAAGACCACCATAAGGACCGCTATGACCAAGTTACCTGAATCTAGCAAATCCTCCTCGTGCTGAACCCCATTGACAGGCATATGGGCTGCGAGAACGGGGTTCTTTTCGCCCACGCTAAGTGCTTCACTGGCCGGCAATCTTGCGCCTGGCTTGAAACTAGAAAAGCCGAAAACTAGAACGAAACAAGGCTGTAGCCAAAATGCAGGCGCTCAAAGTGTGAGGAATGGGAAAACTGGTCGACATCAGAGTGCCGCATGTGGAAATGCCACATTAGACGTGTTGGATTGTTTAATTAACCGGACTTTGCCCGTTGACTTGCGACAAGGATCAACCAAGGATTGACTCTTCCCGAGCCACACTTCTCAGCTAACATTCCTACGTCAGTACTTGTGTCTCTGTGTATTTGTGGACCACGTTATTTGACCACGTTTCTTTCCTATGCATATTCAATGATCCCGTATCGCGATCTGGTGGGGTTCCTCATCTATCCACTCGCTTAGGTAGTCGCATGCACTTCGCACCTTCGGCTGATGAGAATCCCGATCTACGATGATGGACAGCGAACAACGTCTTGATTCAGAATAGAACTTGTGTGCGGACGGTAACTACCTGGTGGTCTTCCTCCAGCTCATGGGAACCACGCCCTGCCTCGCACTCCTTACCCGCAGAACTCATCAAGACAAGGTCGGGCCGGGACGGGGACTCTCTAACTCTTACGGCATGTTATCACCCTTCTGTCTCTGGATTTCCCAGTGCTTCCTCAAATGATCGCCTGCCCAACCCCCAGCCTCGTCCTCTCCCATGTCGGAGTAGCCTTCTGGCCAAATCGCCCAAGCTTTACCGCCAACACTCGGGTCCGTAGCGGATCTAATTATGGCATCGACCACATCATCGATGCTAGCCCACGACAATCCTTGACCTGGCTTCAACCCTCTTGCCTCCAACGCGGGTAGGGCTGACTGAACGAGGGGCGTGTTGATCCAGTAAGGTGCGAGCAGGTTGACACGGACATTGAGCGCAGCAGTTGTATGTCGGAGCCCTCGGAAAAGGCCTCGGACGCCAACTATCACACTAAGTCAGTATCAAAGCTCTCATGCACTCATAACAGCGAGTTGAATCGCTTATAACACGTCATTCGGATTCGCTCTACAAAAGAGTCTTGTCGTCTCGCCAGTGGGGGTAGGGCAGCAAGTAGACGGACCACGCCTCATTCAGCAATCATTCCATCTCACAAATTTGTGCAGCAACTGTTGTAACAGAGAAGTGTACTCACACTTTGAAGCATTATAATCAGAAGAGGCTGGCATGTCAGCATAAGCTGCCAGAGAAGCAGTAAGGATTATTGATTTTTGCTGTGTGTTGGTTGTCGGTTCGACTTGCGAGGGCAGACGCATATAGTGCAACGCCAACCAGCAATTGTCATATACTCCCAGGAAGTTCACAGCGGCTCCTTTGCGGCTCGGACGGGTTGGGATAACGTCGGGATCCAATGAAGGCTCAGGAGCTGCCAGCACTTGGTCTGTCAAGCTACCTCTGTCGCCTCCTACACCAGCATTCAGCAAGGCGACGTCCAGAGATTTGTTTGGCCCAAAGGAAGCAGCATGTTTGAATGCCGCCACACTCGATTCCCAGTCGGTTGTGTCACAGTGGACGAAGGAGACATGACAGCCCTTGGCGTTGAGATCAGCAGCCGCTTTGTTTCCGAGAGCATCTTGAACGTCTGCGATGGTGACATAGGCTCCACCTTCCGCGAAGCGTGTGACGGCTGCGAGGCCGATGCCAGAAGCCCCTCCTTGTAGTTTTCATCAGGGTTTTGATACGACAGAATGCGCTGACGAGGAATTACCTGTGACAATGACTGACCTGTCCTTCAGGCTGGATGCATCTAAATGCCCGTTCATCGTGACGGCGACGTATTATGCGACGCAACTGTTCTCTGCGCGGATGTCAATTCTGGTTGCCTCAACACATGCAAGCTGAATAAGAGCGACTTCTATATTCTTCCTGAGAGAATCTCTTGGCTGTCAACACAAGCTGCCCTCTTCTGAGATACCCGTATCCTTGCGTCGTACTTATAGGAGTATTTCAGGCCCCATAGACCGTTTCAAAGATACCTCGCTTCTTTGGCTTCACAGGCGGCCTCCTCCCCGCTATCCGCCGGTAGTGCCGCTGGACCTAGGCAACTCGATGCATTTGGTAAAACCTTGGTTAAATACCGGGGGCGGGGTCGCATGGGCGAAAGTGCAACCCGTCTCAAACATGCACAGTCATAACAGGGGTGCCGTGAAGACATCAGTCCCAACAACGAAGTCTTCCTGCCGTTATGTTAAGGGAGTGAGAGGATTCTTGTTTCTGGCGTATTGCGTACCCAACCCGCCACTTTTCATTTCCCAGTGGCGGCAGAAAAGGGTCAAAGGCACTGGTCGACTCGTGAGTTACTTAGGACTTAGAGTACGATCAGATGCCCTCATGCTTTCCTGATGTCTCTCAAGAGGAGCGCGGGCGCGATGTATGTATAGCCAAAGCTCGAATCGTTCCTGTGCTCCCGCTGCGAGGTTGAGATGCCTCTTCAAGGTCTTGCCGATGATATTGTGGTTATAGAGTGGGTCAGTAAGACGTCTGAGCACAGCTAGATGGCAGGGAGGCTCTGTGATGATTAGCTGGAAGTCTGGCTGAGAGCAACGAGTCGCGGATGAGGAGGGTATCAATGCAGTCGTCCAACTGCACTTGGGCATGACTCGAGACGACGTCATCATCTTCTGGCCGGAGCAGATTTAAAGGCAGTACTGTGAGTCTCCAGACAACGCCATCGACAACCTCTCAAGCAACGGCAGAGGACAAGACAAGCATGACATGTCGTGCATGTTCAAAATTCCCTTACAAACCGTCTATTGACGTATGCTGAAACAGGTTAGACCAAGAACCAAAACGACCTTTCCTAATAAGGCAAAGCCAATATTCAGCATTAAAAAAAAGAGGCACCTCATAAATTCCTCTCCTCTACTCCGTACATTTCACCACAACTTCCATCACGCACCTTTGAGGGCCTTGATCGCCACGTATCTCGAAACGTGCAACGCCTTGTATCTTCCTGACAGATGGCCATCTGGATAACCAATCACCTACGTGAAATTGACTTCGAGGCGCGACCGTAAAGGAATCCTTTCGGTGAGGTACGTTTCTCCCCTTCCTCCAGCGTGGGTGGTGTGTCTATGTCTCCTTCATCACCTCCCACAAAATCCTCTCTGTGCCCCCCTTCTTTCTTCAATCCCTCCAAAGCCAAAACATGATGAACAACAAACCTCACGGCATTAGGAAGAGCCGGAAAAGGAATGCTTGCAAACCCCCCCGCTTCATCTTTCTAACCCAAACCCCTTCCTCTTTTGGAAAGGGAGGACGGAAGAGGAAAGAAGCAAACAAAAAAAAACATCGTCAAATGTTTTCTTTTTTTGCTTCTTCTTGCGGGAGGGGTCTTGCGTGGCGTCGATGCTTAGAAACTGGTTTTTCTGAATACAAAAAGAAAGGAAGAATAGAGACAAAGTCTTTGTTCTCTTCCTCTTCTTCTGTTGCTTCACTTTGCGGGTCAAAAAAGGATCACTCTGTATCCTTTTTGAACTGTCATTGCTAACCCATCTTTTGTGGCATTCTAGGCTAGGTGGTTATGCTGAACGTGAAGAGGGAACGCACAACCCCAGGAAAAGGGCAAAGGAGGGCTAGGAAAGAATCGGACACTGGGACTTCGAGTGCTCAAACTAGCCGTCATTTTTTTTGGCCCACGATCTCAAGAAATAGGAGCTAAGGCGCTCTTTCTCTTTTCTCTGGATATAGGCACACGTATCTGCCATGTGTCCGCGCAGGCAATGCGACCGTACAACGCCCATGCTGGATGCAAAATGGCTCCGTCATATTTTCCTCCCAAAAAGATCGTTCTACTCTCTCTCTCTCTGTCACCCCTGATGAACTTTCTTCAACCTCGTGCTCCCTTCGTACAGTCCCCTATCAATAGCGGCCGCCACCGTCAGCGTCCCTCCCACCACCGCGCAAACACCCGTCAAAAAGTTGGCAAAGGTCTTAGGCCTCGCCTCGCGGTTGATCACCTTCATCGGGGAGATGTCGTAACTGAAGAAGACGCCGGGGATGCCTCCATGCGCGTGTAGTCTCTCCTTGTGTCCCTCGGCCGCATCGTTTCCACCACTCAGCGATCTCTTGTGTGATGTGACAGAGTACTGATGCGTCTCGATCGAGCCCTGGCTCCCGGCGCCCTTGCCCTGCATGCCCAGCGGTATCAGATCCGCGAGGGACGAGTGCTGTTTCACACTCCGATCTTCATCCCACCCGAGCGGCAGATAACTCGTGCTCACCACCTTGATGAAATACATAAAGTTGAACCCCGGCTCCCCCGTCTCCTGCTTCACGCCGTCCAAAGGATTCGCATGGTGATGATCACTCCACTTCGCCGTTACTCCCCTGTCATCGTCGCTCAGCTGCGGGCCAAATCTCAGCGAATGAATCTCATGTGTAAACGTGTGTCCCCCCTCGACGGGCGTGTCGAAGTAATTGTTCAAGTCGTGCACGTGCATGTTCCCATTGGAGAAGCTGCGACCGGGTGCAATGTGGAAATTTCCCACGACTTTGTTCACCCGGAGGACGCCCTCGATACGACACCCCTCCTGGCGCTGTGCGTCTAGTCTTTCACCGTAACCTTCCCGTTCGCATTGTTCCACGCCCTCGCCCCGTCCGAACGCCCAGCTGTTGGAGGCATAGGCTTCGCGCACTTCGTCGCACGTGTTGCAGCAGCCCGGCTTCGAGGCATTGGCCGGTGGAGGGGCCGAGTAACAGGAGCCGCAGTAATCTGGGTCCAGGTGCGCGGCATTGTCTTGCTCATTATGCAGGACCAGGGCGGTTGTGTCGAGGACCTTGGAACCCTCGGCGAGGGAGGAAAGACGTACTTTGTTGACACCGTGGACGACGCCCGTCTGCTGCTCGCCCGAGACGTCCATGACATCGAGAGTGAGGAGCTCACAAGGGATGCGAGGAAAGGAGATGTTGAGGTGGATTTCCATCTTTTCGCCTACGTAGGCCGCAAACACCAGGTCAGCAGCTGCACCTCGATTTGTGTATCTTGCTCTAAAATAACACCTGCGACTGTCGACCCTGGCTGGATTCGGGGGTTTCTTACCTCGTCCCTTGTCCACAATCAACTCTGGCATAACCAGAATCTTCCTGTAGTCGCTCCATTCTCCCCACACCAAGTAGAGAATAATAAGGATCGAGGCAATCGTCACGATACCACCGGAGGTCGTCCGCACCCTCGCATCTTCGACAGTCTTTGTAAACGCATCTAGCCGGTGAAACCGCGATTTGACGGCCATGGTGGATTATTATATCGTAAGGGAGAGTAGCTGGGTAGGAAGGAAAGATCTTTTGCCAGCAGTGTATGCGTAACAGGTGGAAGGGCGCAGGGAGAGGAGGCTGAAGGGGGGCGAGCGCACAGCGCCTCCGGAGCGGGTGAACGAGGTCAGTACTCGGGTAGGCAATATAAATAGTTTATCAAGATAGTGGAATGCTTGTCATATTGGCAGACGGCGACATTTTGCTCGTGGATTGCCAGTCTGTCAAAGGTGGTGGAAGCGAAGCAGCATCAGAATGGACAGCATGTTCCATTGCGATTTGCGGAATTTCCTTTTGGGGACAAGCAGCTGGTGCAGGGGTCCAGAGAAGGTCGCTTGGCGCCCGCCCTCCCTCGGCGGCCGCATATCTACAAATCTGCGAGGTACATAGCGAGGCACGAGGATGGCATGAACGACCTCTTAACGTATGGACACGGCCAATGACCATTTTTACAGATTGGATCTCTAAACAAGGAAAATTGAAAACGGGTTCATCTAATCATGCAATCAATTGGAACTATGGAATACAGGAAGCTGTGACCACAACCATCAAGATATGCTCACTGCTTAACCCATTCTTCTTCCATTAATGCCCTGGTCCGCTTTTAGGTGGTCGTTGCAAGCCTTCCCATCACTAGTCTTTCCCAACCCATTTCCACTCACTGCCGGGATATCGCTGAAAGAAAAAACATGGCGAGGGCAACCACGTCTGTCTGACACCGGAACGCCAATAGGGATGACACAAAGACAGTCGCTCAAGATTTTCTGAGATCTCGTCGATGAAACCATCTATGCCGTGGGAGAAACTGTCTAGTCGACCTCTTCCATGGCGCTTTCGCCAGCTCCCTCAGCAGCAGGGGCCTCTTCAGCGGCCTTCTCCTCGGCAGTCTCTGCTTCTTCATCCACATTCAGACCAAGCGACACAAGCTTGTGAATGCGCTCGGCGAAGCTGGCTGGCTCTTCAATGGTGAAACCGGAGACGAGCAGAGAGGTCTCAAAGAGAAGCTGGGTGATAGACTTGACGGTGCGGTCGTTCTCGCCATCAGTCTCGACCTTCTTCTTGAGCTCACGAATGATGGGTGACTTGGGCGAAATCTCGAATGTCTTCTTTGAGGACATGTAAGAGGACATGGAAGTATCACGCAGTGCCTGTGCCTTCATGATACGCTCCATGTTGGCAGACCAACCGAATTGGCCGGTTCGGATAGCGCAAGGAGAGCCGACGAGTTTGTGAGAGACAACAACCTTCTCAACCTTATCGCCGAGGATGTTCTTCAGGCTCTTAGCCAGACCCTCAAACTCCTTCTCCTCCTTTTCGCGCTCCTTCTTCTCCTCCTCGGTCTCTTCCATCTCGAAGTCCTTGGTGATGTCGACGAGCTTCTTGCCATCGAACTCTTTAAGTTGTGTCATGGCATATTCGTCAATCGGGTCAACCAAGAACAAGACCTCGAAATTCTTCTCCTTGAGAGAGTCAAGGAAGGGTGATTTCTGCACGGCCTTGATGGATTCACCAGTGATGTAGTAGATTTGCTTCTGGTGCTCTTGCATGCGGGTGACATAGTCAGTGAGCGAAGTGGCCTCTTCGCCAGACTTGGTGGACTGGAATCGGAGGAGCTTGGCAAGGGACTGGCGGTTCTGCGAGTCCTCGTGGATGCCGAGCTTGATGTTCTTGCTGAAGGCAGAGTAGAACTTGTCGAACTGCTCACGGTCTTCGGCGATCTCGTTGAAGAGCTCGAGGCACTTCTTGACGATGTTCTTCTTGATGACCTTCATGATCTTGTTCTGTTGCAGGGTCTCACGGGACAGGTTAAGCGGCAAATCCTCCGAGTCGACGACACCCTTGATAAAGCCGAGCCATTCTGGAATCAAGTCTGTGGCATCGTCGGTGATGAAGACGCGGCGAACATAGAGCTTGATGTTGTTCTTGGTCTTCTTGGTCTCGAAGAGATCGAATGGAGCACGCTTGGGGACGAAGAGGATTGCGCGGAACTCGAGCTGACCCTCGACGGAGAAGTGCTTCACCGCCAAATGGTCTTCCCAATCGTTGGAGAGAGACTTGTAGAAGGAAGCATACTCTTCTTGGGTGATGTCGGAGGGGTTGCGAGTCCAGATGGGCTTGGTCTTGTTGAGCTCCTCTTCTTCAATCTTGGACTCCTTGACCTTCTTGGTCTTGGGCTTCTTCTCTTTGTCCTCCTCGTCGTCATCGACTTCTTCAATCTTGGCCTTCTTCTCCTCATCCTCCTCAACCTCTTCAGCATCCTCATCGGGAACCTCTTTCTCGGTCTCCTTGAGGACGTGGAGGTAGATGGGGTAGGAGATGAATTCAGAGTGCTTCTTCACAACTTCCTTAATCTTGGACTCGTTCAGGTAGTCGGTTTGCTCGTCCTTGAGGTGGAGAATGATCTTGGTGCCACGACCAAGAGGCTCGCCGCTCTCATCGTGGGTGATGGTGAAGGTACCACCTGCGCTAGACTCCCAGATGTATTGTTCGTCGTCATTGTGTTTTGAAACGACAGTCACCTTGTCGGCGACCAGGTACGCTGAGTAGAAACCGACACCGAATTGACCAATCATGGAGATATCGGCACCCGCAGTCAAGGCTTCCATGAACTGCTTAGTACCTGACCTGGCAATGGTTCCGAGGTTGTTGACGAGATCCTATTGAGAATGGTCAGTCACGATACTTGTATTCCGGCGTCAAAGGGGGAGAACTTACAGCTTTGGTCATACCAATACCAGTATCACGGATGGTGAGGGTCTTGGACTCCTTGTCTGGGATGATGTCGATTCTGAGGTCCTTGCCAGAGTCCAGCTTGCTGGGATCTGAGAGGGCCTCATATCGGATCTTGTCAAGAGCATCCGAGGCATTGGAGATCAGTTCTCGGAGGAAGATCTCTTTGTTGGAGTAGACGGTGTTGATAATGAGGGAGAGGAGCTGGGAGATTTCAGCCTGAAACTCGAAGCTTTCAGAGGCCATGGCTGCAGTATTGTCTGTAACGGAGGAGGTCTGTGGAAGGAGAAGTCAGTACAGATGAAACGAGGATGAGTTCGGGCTGAACCAAGTGCAGGCTTGCAAACCCGGTCTCCCTTGCTACTGGCGACGGCGCAATTGGAGAAGCCAGTGTCAATTGAGTCAGGCAGCACTGGATCAATGTGGACAGGTATGATGAGGGTTCAACTTACAGGAATAATGTGGTCGTGTTCAAGAGACAGGTGAGCAGACTGTCCTATTAAAGTGGGAGTAAGAGTGGAAGAAAATTTCAGTGTGATGGTCTGAGGAAAGGAAGGGAAGGCTGGAAAGTGTTTATGCCTTATAAACTTAGCCGCAGTCAACCCTGGGGGAGCTTCCATATGGTTCTTTTTTCCTCTGCAGCGAATGCCCCCACAGCGTCCATTGCCAAGACGCAGGCCCGCACCTTGAATAAGCGCTGTCAGACGAAAAGCCAGTGCGTCTGACAGACAGCCTGAAGATTCTTGATATCGAATGCTTGCAGAAGGCTTGTTTGCCTGTTCAGCCCATCCAGCTGGCCTAAAATGCTTGCTTCACCACTCAGAGGTCCAGGACCAGGGCTTCTAGTCTCACAAGCAATGGGTCTACTGTTGTCTTTAACCAATCCCTTTGACAACAGCCTAACGCTCACCACTGTCGGGCCTTTCTGTCAGACAAAAACCCGCCAAATCGACCCACCGGCAAGGCGTTGCCTGGCCACCATAGGCTGGTGAACGAGCCTTCTCGAATCTTGCAGCCTTGAGGAGCCGCCCGTCTGTCCTCGTATCTTCCACAGTGTTCGGTGCTCGAACAAGCCTGCGGGGACCAGAGACCTTGGACTTGCCTGTGTCTAGCTCTCTAATCGTGCTCCGGAGAAGGTAATCTCTAGTCATACAATGTGACTTGCGCGTAAAATGGTAAAGAGACTCACATTTGATATTCACATTCCCTTTTTGATCAGCACCCAAACCGTGCTCTATCAATGCATGCATATAAAAGCATAAGCAAACAACCACCCGCCCATCCGTCATTGTTGATGCGCAAGATGGTTTGGTAGAATCAGAACTATCTATCGATTCTGCATATGTCACAAGATTAGCAATCCCTATACTTCCTTTCATTCCTCCAAAACCCGACCAGACATTCAAGTCCTGCTGCCTCCTGGAGAAGTTTTATCCTTCGTTGCGGTCTGGAACTCATAAACCCATCACGCCATTAAGCCGTAACCAAAACTCTGGGGTCGTTCTCTATACGTCCTACGCTTCCGAAGTGCCTTGGCACTCTGTACTGCTCTCCCTGTTGCTCACTTCGGCAGCTTTCTTCTCAGCCACCTCAAGTCGCTCTTTGGTCTCTTTTAATTCGTTTTGTAAGCTCTTGATGTAAACAATGGCCATTTCAACTGTGCTCGCCTTGCTTGTACCTTGTCCAGGCGCCGTGGGCTTAGATGTCGCGGTTGCCGATGACTCTCCGTCCTCGTTCTCGTCTTTGGATGCTTTGTCTTTCTTGTTGTTGGCCACGAGGATGGACGCGGGTAGGAGTGCCTCGATTTCTTTCAATGCAAGATTGATTCTATTCCGGCGGCCCTGCTCCGCGATTTTGTGTGACGTTCGCTTCGACGTCAAGTTTTCAGCCAAGGTCTCGGGATACGAAACTCCCGGAAGATGCGTGCCTTCGAGTATGTTTTGATAATTTGACTTCGAGGCAAGATATAATGCGCTCGTCTCCGCGGAAAGATGTGACATACCCGGACCTGCCAATAGTCAGCTCACTATGTACCTGTCCAAGTATGCGTAGAGACTTACCAGCCGCAGGAGCCAATGGACTTATACTCGGGGAAATTTTTGGTCGTAACGCGGGAGAAATTGTTGCAGAGGTGGTGCTCTGGCGTTTCTTGCTAGCACGCCCTCCTGTCCGGCTTTCAATTTTTCCAGGTTTGGCAAATGTTTCCTGCGACGTTACCCTTGTCAATGCACTTCGAGGCGTGCTAGCAGCGCTGATCTTGGCGGATTTCGCGGAAATGGTGGGAGTGTTCTCGCCGGAGACAGAACCCTTGCCAATGTCAATATTTTGTAACCCTTGGGACATCGTGGCAGAAGCAGCTGCTGCAGGTAGCATGATATCCTCCATAGGCTCATCTGCACCCTGGAGAGGGCCGTGATGCTCCATGTGTTTCATGGGCAACGATTGGTTACTAGGCATTCTCATCAGCGTGGCAGGAGTCACCGGGTTGGTGGACTGCGTATTCTGAGTGTTGCCCGCCGACTGCGGCGATTTGCCTGGATGAGGTACAGGAGGAGGCCGCATTGCAGCTTCAGACAAAGGTTCAGGTGAAACCGAGTCATCGCTTCCTTGAAGCACAGCGCTATTAGGTGCCGATGGATGGAGTGTTGAACCCAGCGCTCCCTGAGGCAACATATTTCTGATTTTGTCCATAGGCAAAGATGTCAATGAGGGATGTCGTCGACGGGGTTGAGGCTTCATCGCAGGTGACTGCTTCACGCTACGAGCCGGTGTACGAGCGGCATTGCTGCCCTTGCGTCGGGGTCGCTTTGTCCCCGCAGGGATAGATTTTCCCGTGACACCCAAGTCGTTGAGGTCCACAGGAGAGGCGGTAGTCCCGGTCGAACTGAAGGCAGCCTGTGCTTCAATCGCAGGAGACGTCAGAGGGCTGAAAAACTCGTCTGCCAGCCCGTAATCGGACATGGTAAATCCGCCGTCCATTGGAGTTTGCGCAGGAGAGACCAGAGGGGTAAATGACACCTGAAGAGACCGTCAGCAAGATTTGAGTGTCAACTCTGGGCACATTCGGCGCGTTACCTGTTGGTGGTCGAACAGAATCTGTCCGTTGTTTCCCATCTGTTGCGCATATTTCCCCGGATGCATCTCGGCACTGACAGGCGTAGGAGGCACATGGTACTGTGGCGCCATCTGCATTTGCTGATATTGCGGGTATTGTCCGTACGGCTGGTTCGTCGACAGCTGGGTGCGGTAATCGATTGGGTCGCTGGTTGGCGTTACATGGACGCTCATCTGTTCGGCAGCAGAGAAACCCAAATCGGCGGAGCTGTTCCCAAATCCCAAACGACCCATTGGGGTGTCGAGGCCGGAGTGGCCATTGTTCATGGCGGCATAGTGTTGGAAGTCGGTGTCGAGGTCGAGGAATTTTGTGAAATCCTCGTCGCCCACCCCAGCCACCATGCCGTCATCTTGCATCTCTTGAGCCCATATGACATTCTGCTCGCGGTCTTGTTGAGTCATCCTCGAGGCTGAGGATGTGAGGTTTGAGCCCGCAGGTGGGCTGCGGGAGGTGGTTGACGGAAGACACGACGTGTCACAGCAGGTTCATTTTCGAATTAACAAGACAGGAGCTGCCCACTTTGAGGTTGGCCGGAACAGCAATCGCGATGCCAAATAGACCGACCGACCTGGTTGATGATTGAGATTAGGCGAAGTAGTCGCAGCGCAGCCTCGCGAAGAGACGAATGGAAAAGAGACAAGGCCGTGGTACGTTGGACAAATGCGCTGAAAGGCAAAATTCGAGGTTGGCGGCGGTAGCAGTCAAAATGCCCACCATGGACTTCGGTACAGCATCAGTTCGCAGGGTGAAAGGCCAGAGGAGGCGGTTGGATGGTCTGGGCTCCACCGGGCGGGGTTGTGCGTTTTTGGGGGAGGGATGGCGTGGGTAAGTTCTACTTTGACTTGCAGTGAGCGTGCAGTAGGCGGACAATGGCGTGGGCATTGACCAGGGGTCTTAGCTCGAGAAGGACGCTGACTCGCTAACTGACCGCTTTAGAGTGGGTGTGGGACGAGAAGGAGTCGGCTGGCTGGCAGTTTAGGGCTTCGGGATGATCGAACTTGGACCTCGTAGTAAGGTTAGAATCGAGGGACCAGAGGGTCAAACTTCGGGGTCCAGTGAGGCACCGAGTGAGGTCGGTGCGAGCCAAACCCGTCATGGTGGGCAGACCTCGTAAGATGTCATTCATCAGACAGGAATCATGTGGACCGTTGATGATCTGTATCTGCTCTGATCTCATGAGCATCTCTGAACATCTCTGAGCAAACCCTAACCGGATGTCGGGTGCGACATGGGAGGGTGAGATTCTCGTATACGAGATACTTGTAGGCATGGTGTTGTCGATGAAGCTCGACGTTCTAGGTCAAAGGGTGAAGGCTCATTGGTCGGACATTTGTTTGGAGGCGAGAGTGGGATGAAATTTAGTCACGAAGTAACTTGTTAGGTAGAGGAGGGCTTTTCTTTAGGGGACCGAGGGTGCTAGGAAGGCATCGATTCAGCATCTCTTCACCAGCCCACAAGCCCGTCAATCCACCAGCCTTCATATTATTCCGAGGGAAGAGAATGTACCGGCCCTAACTTCATCGCCCAGACCTACCGAGTACATCTATCAAGTGGCGACCATGTACCCAGGTATGAGCAAGGTCTCACAGTCAGGCATGGGGTTCTTAGCTGCGCCTGGCTCCAACATGAGAGGATGAGGCCAGAGTGCAGAAGATGTGGGAGGGGCGCAGGCGGGAAGTCATTTTCCCGAGCCCAGTTGAGGTACGAGCCATCAACCCACGAGTGTTCTTCCAGGCACCGGGATATACGAGGCAACGCCTAGTTGAGCCAGGCGCTCCCTGGAGGCTTCTTTCACAGTAATAACAGGATCACTTCAGGTGGTTGCAGCCACCTAGCAGGCGCCGGGCCACTACCACGAGGAGGAACCTCAAGTCACAGACAAGGGGGTTGTGCGCCCGAGGGAGGGGTGTGGGAGGGGATTTAGTTAAAGGGGTGGGGCGCACCCGCCGGACAATGCCCTGACAAACATCCTAGGTACGGCGACCCTGCCACCTGCGCTCACAAAGGTCTGTACGAGGCAGGGTAATCACCTGTTCCTCTTCTCGCGCCCCTCAGCCGTACCTCCTCCCACATGCAGTGACTCCGAATATCATTTTTTCCTTCTGTGTGTTGTTCGAGTTCCACTCTGGGCTCAATGTGCTCAACCCACCTCGCTCCACCGAATCAAAATTTTCTAAGGCCCATCTGGATCTCGAAACAGCACACGCCACACCACTGTTCATTCGCACATTGCGCCCTCTCTTTGATTGGTCTCCGCGCTCGTCTACCACTCAGGCTGGACGATCTGACTGTGCGACATGAGGTCGATAGACTCCATCCAGATTTGACGACCCTTTTGGTTGATGGAAGTTTCCATCTTTGCGCCTTGGCCCCCTCTTCCCTTAGTCGACCACTTTACTCGTATTAGCCGACTAATACGAGCACTCGCACAGGGACCTATCTGGTACGAGAGCTTTCCCAAAGTAGCTACAGGAGGTTACCCTTGGGTGTGTGCTTCCACACCACGACCTAGCCTGTGACACCATGCCATCCAAGCCTAAGGCGTTCCTCAAACAATCAAAGCTGAAGAAGAAAGCAGAACAAGTGAGTTTGATCCAAACCCCGACTGGTTGAAATTAATCCATCATAAAGGCTCTTGAAACCGTCGATGATTTTCAGGCAGGTTGGTGGTCGCATGAATACACACCCCCAGGCAAAGTGTCCCGGCTGATCCCTTGTTAGCTGGAGTGGACTTTGAAGAAGCCGCAGGAAAATGGAGGGCTGGAGATGCCGTCAAGTCAATGCGTTTCTTTTTAAGAGCCGTCGAGACATATGACCAGGGTTTGCAATCCTACCCGAACAGCATTGATCTCGCCTACAATAAGTCTGTCGGCCAACTGCCTCTTTGCTTCTGCTATAAGGCTGACCTCTCACTAGAGCTAGAGTATTGCTGGAAATCGCAACGCATCCTCTTCTTGTGCCACATCTGCACCGGCCACTTCTCGAGGTTTTGCAACAGGCACTGGAGGCGCATCGTTACGCCCTCACCCTGGATCAAGACAACCCAGATACTTTGTTTAATACGGCTCAAGTTCTGACCGCTATCGCCGAAGTCTATGCCAAAGGCTCTGATCATGCTGATCAGGATGTGCTGCAACTACTCGAAGAAGCGTTGGAGCTTCAAAATCGTTGCTTGAGCATTCAAGAGCTCAGGCTCGAGGAATACGTGCGTCAGCAGGGTGAGGCGGCGGTCCAACTCGCATCAGAAGATTCAACTGAACCAATTGCCAATTTGGACGATGCCGCCGACTCCGGTCCTTCTGCAGTCGGCACTGAAGACCAATGGTTCTCAGTCGTAGAGCCAGTAACGAAAGATACCCTTATCGACACTGTTCTTGCACAGCTTGGGACACTCACTACCCTCAGCAGCTTTCTCAGTTCCTCAGACTCCGTTCCCACCTCCAGCTTGGCTTACATTGAAGAATATTCTTCCAAGTTGGTCAAGATAAAACTGCCTCCGCTGCTTCAGAATGCCGAGCCAGAGAGACTGCAAGAAGTTGCACTTGCTCGGGCGAATCTAGTATCCGAATTGCTCAAGGCAGGCTATTTATTGGGTGCAATTGACCCAATTACCTACAAGCGGGAGCGGGATGAAGCATTTCAAATGCCTGAACTGGACCTGGAAAGAAGTTTTCCTGCGTTGCTAGCCAATGCAAACAGTCTCATTGCATTTAACTCTGCTCTTGCGGACGGCGAGCCCTCCCACGCCGTCTCCCATGCTTCCATGCGATGGAGCGCTCTTTCTGCAGCAATAGCCAATATGGCTAAAGCAGCTAAGATTTCCGGTCCTTTACCCGAAGACATCGCTGAAACCCATTTCATTCGGGGGAACTGCTCGCTTCTGCAACAGCAGCTAGGACAACCACCAATATCCTTTGACGCCGCCATCACGAACAGGCCACAGCTCCTGAAGAATGCAGAGACTTTCTATCGCAATGCCAGCAAGCTCTATCAGGATACAGAGCAGAAAGCTGCGTCGCAATTGCGGGCCAACGTTGTCCAGGCAATTCAAGCTCAGAATGATATTACATCCATTGCTTTTCAAAATGACCCGGGAAGAGGCCAAGAATGGATCAGAGATCAACTTGATGACATGGTCGACGATGGACTCATTCCGCCCCTGGCTGGGACTTTGTGAGTTGTTCGGCCTCCCCTTCGCTCTGCTATTGAAAAGGCGCTACAAGAAGGCCTGGATACTCAATCTTTAGCGACAAATTCAGGACCTGGGAAACAATCAGAAAAGACTGAGAAGTTACCGCGGTTACTATTGCAGATGCAGCAACTTCTGTTCCCACATCGTTCCTTTTCTATCTGCTCCGCTCCTGATTTGCGTGAACATGTGCTGGTGACTCCTTTCACTTTTTTCTTTTTGTACTGGCATGTACTGCCACAATCGCGAGTTGGGCAACTGAGCTTTCCAGCTTACTCAGGGCAAATACGTCTTGTCTGTTATCCAAAAAGAAAGTCGTTGTCAGCCAGTCCCTGGGGACAGACGTGCTCCCTTCTATTTACCTGTCAGAAAGGGTCCGGTATTATTCACACAGTCGCGTTTGTTTATATTTTCACAGCCAGTTCATGCCTTTTCCTCCAAAAACATCATCATGATGTGCTAGAGTCAACCAATTCTTCGAAAGAAACATGGACAATGATGGATGCATACATACCGCGTTTCAAGCGTGCAGATGGCACCGACACGAGAATATCTTACCACAAAGCCGAGCTTGTAAAGGTGCAGAGTCTCTTTTATGCACGCCGCTACAAGCAGTGTATTGCTCTCTGCGAAGAGCTCCAGAGGTCAGAGGTACGTCGCGTTCTCAATTGTGCAATCCCACGAGGTTCTAATGTCCTGACTGTCTCAAGATTCACGCCCTACACAAGGCCTTCCTCTGGTTCTACCATGCCACCTCTTACGAGTCGATGGGACTGATTGCGCACAACTTTTCTGGCAGCAAACTACATTTTCTGGATTCTGCCAGGGAGAGCTTCGGGCAGGCTCTGAAATGCATTCCTTTACCATATGTATCGACAGAAGCGGGATCTTACGAGCAGGCGGCGAACTCACCTGTCACAACTGATTTTGGGTCTCTATCCATCAAACGAGCATGGAAAGCGGGTCGAAGAGAAACATCCGCAACTGGCTGTGTCACAAAACTATCACCTTCCGTTTCGTCTGGCAGCATTTACTCGATCCAAAGCTCGGGCTCAGAGGGAGAATCTATCGCGGGTCAAAATGAATCACCATCGCTACAGCAAAAATATCAAGGGAAGTCAATACCGGACCACCATGTCGATTTAAAAGAAGGAGCTTCAAAATACGACCCAGTGAAGCACCCGGCCACTCCAGCTGCCCCGGCACCATACCAGGCTCGACTACAGCGCAGCTTCAGCTCCAGACAAGTATTACAAGCCAACTTGATACCATCGCCTCTATTCAGCCGGAACCCCAAACGTGCGTCTTCATTGCTCCTTGACATCACTGATAATAGTCGACCGCTTCCCCCTTTGCCATTCAATCACAGAGCCGACTTCAAAATCCAAGGCACTCGCATCATTCAGGACCCTCTCATGCGCAAAACCGCGGTTCAAACACTCATCGCACGCTTCGAAGGAATCCTGCCACTGCCTCTGTCACCTCCTTCAGCGGGGGCACAATCCCCCTCGAGAGAGCAGATTTACGGACTGGAGACCGCGGCGGCCTCCCCTGATGTCGCATCTCCACGATTCAGAATGATTCGCGATGCGTTCAGTCCGGACCCACACAATGAACATCTCGAAATGTACCTCAGCGGCTACGCTTCACCTGCGCTGTCGCTTTACAACGCGCATCTAGCGGACTTTCGTGCCCAGCTAAGAAAGCACATTGCCTATGTGAATGTGGAAATTGGCCGAGTACAGAAAATCCAAGGCGAGAGGAGCGCCGCTAGGACCTTGGGGCCGAAGCAGAGGTTGGCAAGTTTCTGGTCGTTCGAGGTCGCTTCCACCATTTCAACGTCGAAGGTGGCCCCAAGCTCAGCATGTGTACGTCGAAGTGATGACCTCGTGAGGGACGGATGTGACCACCCCTCTCGTTGCGGAGAATCTCGAGGCAAAATCAAGGAGGAGAAGATCGATGAACTGAGACGCCAAGGCTGGAAAGTATGCAAGGAAAGACATGGGTTCAGAGGCATGGGATTCTATGAGAACTTTAGAAGACGTGTCGAAGCGGAACTGGAGGCTACCCGTTAATCTGGATCACAGGACACGAAGGGAGGGGAAGATACACGATTGCGCACGGACAAGAGCAAGTTGATCGCGAACACTGTTGAGGCTGGTAAAGGAGTCCTGTGTTAGAGTGAGGAACTTACCCATCGAGCGCATCCCAGGTTCACGGGACAGACTATGGGCGGAGCGGATCATTGTTCTAGCAGAGATTGGGGAATTGTTCAAACGAGGACTACATCCTGTGGAAGACAGACGAGGAACTCGTACTCAGAGCCTGTAAGGCTCCCGCGGGCTCCAGCAAGGATGGAGGAGCAGTGCTTCTTGGCATACGACATTCCTTTGTGGAGCTGCACAATAATGCAGGGCCGCAGGGCCCCCACGCCCCTCAGGGTTTGGGGCCTCACCAGGCTGTGCCAGGCACTGCCAGGCACCTCCAGGGCTTCCTGCCGTGCCACGACGCCCACAACACCAAACCTGACGCAGCTAGCGAGACCCAAGACCACGACAAGTTCCTTTCAGCTCTACCAGGAACTATGTGAATGAGTCTGCAATGATGGCAAACGCCAGTCGTAGGTGACATTCCTCCTGGACGATCCTTCTACTTGTATGGCTGAGCAGTTGGTGCATTGCTCCCTAGCGACACACCCCTCCTGCCAGCATCACTTTGCAACTTTTCTGGATCCTGTATGATAGTTGCCAATTCCCACATCCAATATGCCTGAATTCCGCCCCTCAATGCCTCTCTTTCGCCCATTCTTCGTGAAATGAACTTGAAGACTGTCATCATCACCTCAACGTGCCTCCTCCAACTGGACACCTCTCGCAACACTATCGCAGCCTCCCTTTTTGACCCTGCGCCGGCCGATCCCCAGCGACCTGTTCCGTGTAAGGGAAGGAAGAAAATACACACACAAAATGATACCACGTACAAGTTTGGGCCATCAACTTCCCCTTCGTGCTGGAGGGGGCGGCCAGATGTCAGAGGCTGCCAGTGGTACTGCTTTGGAGCCTTTCTCGGAAGCCGTCCTTTCCCACCTCGTTTCGGCGAGTAGAGACGTCTCGTCACAAGATGGGGAAACATTCACCGATGAAAAGTCGTTCTTGACATACATGGCCTCAGACAAGTCAAACGCAATGTCGGCACCTGTGCACAACGATCTGAGCTATCCCATGTCGTCTTATTTCATAAGCTCCAGCCATAACACCTACCTTTCTGGTCACCAGCTCTATGGCGATGCCTCTGTGTACGCCTACACCAATGTACTCACGCGCGGCTGTAGGTGCTTGGAGATAGATGTGTGGGACGGGGAGAGCGACTCTGAATCCAGCAGCTCAGAAGGCGACGAGGATCAGTCTACTAAGTCTGACCTAAAGCAGTCACGCTGGAACAGGGTCAAAGCTCGAGCAGCACGAATGCGCTCGAGCTCTCGCTCAGAATCGCACGCGGCCAGCACGAACATCAGCTCCACCTTACCAACTGGTTCACCCGGGACTCAAACCACCGAATCGCTGAATGGGACTGACAGGTCGGGCTCACCACGAAAGACTCAGTCGTCCTCACTTGACCCAAATCGTCTTTCACCGCACCCTTCGCCCCCCCTATCTGATAAAAGAGAGCCGCGAGTCCTCCATGGCTACACTTTAACCCATCCTATCACCTTTCGCGCCGTCTGCCACGCTATCAGAGATTCGGCTTTCGTGAGCACAGAGCTGCCGTTAATCGTGTCTCTTGAAGTGCATGCCTCCCTTGTCCAGCAAGAGGTCATGGTCGAGATTATGCGCGATGTCTGGTCCGAGTTTCTGGTGAACCTCCCCAAAGGAACAGACGTTTCAGCGCTTCCCTCTCCAAAGTCGCTCATGAAGAAAATTTTAATCAAAGTCAAGTGGGTCCCGGACTCCCAGACTGGAGAGTCCAATGATCCCATTGAACATGTGAGCTCAAATTCCTCCGAGGGTGCGGGTGTCGATGCGATATCGACCTCCTCAGAGAAACGAAAGAAAGCCTCCAAAGTGCTGGCTGCGCTCTCTGAACTAGGGATTTATACTCGGGCCTATACGTTCAAGCATTTCTCACAGCCGGAAGCCACTATCCCGACACACGTTTTCAGCTTGTCCGAGAGCAAGGCCCGGGATATGCAGGATGACCCGTCCCACGGTCCCGCGTTATTCAAGCACAACAGAAATTTCCTGATGCGTGTGTTCCCCCGGGGGACCAGAATTAACAGCTCAAATGTCGATCCGATCTTCCATTGGAGACAAGGCGCGCAAATGGTGGCTCTGAATTGGCAGAAGCTGGACATGGGAATGATGCTCAACGAAGGAATGTTTACTGGGACGGGTGGTTGGATTCTCAAGCCGGAAGGCTACCGCAGTACAGCAACAGCTGGGGTTTCAAAATCGCAAGAGGGAGTTGAGCCCAAACGGCAACGGCTAGATCTGGAAATACGACTCCTCGCAGGGCAGAGACTTCCGGTCTCCACGGATAAAGACTCCTCGCACGGTCCCAAGATGAAACCGTATGTCAAAATGCAGCTACACGTCGATTCACTTTGCTCTCCCGACCCCAGCAAGGTCTCGGGTTTGGGCAAACCCAAAGACGAACCCGAATCACATAGCGGTGAAGATGTCGACTCCGGCCTTTTCAAACGTAGGTCCGCTACCGGCCGCACCGATTCTCCTGATTTCCGTCGCGAGTTAATGAGTTGGCTGAATATGTCAAATGTTCTTCAAGAGCTGAGCTTCATCCGGTACGTACCTTTTTGTTTATCCCTTCCTGATATGTCTTGCTTCATGTCCAGAGTTATTTTGTCCCTGTAAAAAAGATACATGCGCGACTGTACGGAGGGCAAGTTTGTCACGCCACTGTCTGCATGGCGGAAAGCGACAAAGGTTCTCCTAATGCCTCGGTCTACATCATTTTCACCGCAATTTTCTCCTGGTCTGGTACTGCTTTACTTGTACCCCCGTTTGACCTGTCTTGTGTCCGCATCTTCCCGGGATACCGACGAAGGTTTCGTTGCGCATCTCCATGTTCAGCTCACACCGAGCAGCAAAGTAAGCCAGAGGCTTTCCGGTGGCTGGCATGCTGGGCTGTTAAGTTACGGGTAACGCTTGCATGATGAGCTGGGCGACACCCTGCATCTCCACAGGACTGCTAGTCTGCAGCACCTTGGATTCATGGCGAAGAAAACGACCTCCGATTCGGGCCTGATCAAGGGCCTGATCGAGAGGCTCGAGCCTCCCAGGGCTGCCGATGCACGACCAGGAGCTGCTGCAGGATTGTGTGACACGCATGCGATCTTCCTGTACGATCGTGTTACACAGCATGTTTGACATTCGCCTGCCCACACTCATCTGCACCGAGCATCATTTTCTACGTGACAGGTCACATTGTGGCTGCAGAGGGCTGCAGAGAAGTTGAACTTTTCTAATTCTGTGCATAGACTAAAAATCATGGACGACCGCTCGCTTTCCAAAGATAACCTACTGGCATGGGCCTGCATTCGACTCGACCGCCTGCAGCAAGGGTACCGATTCATTCATTTGCTCGATTCGTCAGGAATGCCATCATACGGTGCACTGCTTGTTCATGTCTGTAAGCGCACGAGTTGAGTGGTTGGCCGAGATGTGGAACCCCCTGGTTTACCTTCCCCGCTTGAGCAGAAGGCTCTCTTGGGAATGATCCCACTACCATCATGTGGTTTGCAAATGCAGGTTTGGCAGGCATCTGACGGCCAACGGGGAGAGGTGCGGCCGGACTGCCTCGTACGCCTATATCATTGCCCTTTGCAGAACAACGTGCATGAACTCTCAATTTTTTCCACCATACTCCCGAGGACAATAAGGGCGAAGAATGCGGGTCCAGAGTCTTGGTACCCCTGAGTCTCCAGGATTAGACCACATCGTTTGACCCTGTGCAGCCAATGAAAAGTGCTGGACGAATTTGCAAGAGTGTCGGTCCAAGACTCTGCTGTTAGCGCTGATTCCGACTGTTTCTTGGGCCAGCAAGCCAGGCTTTCCTGGAAAATGACTGTACTACGAGTACTCGGTCAGTTTGGATGGCGCGTGGCACTGAGTCTCCTAAGAAGGAGGATCGGCTCTTTGCTCGTATTTTCCACGTAAGAAACTTTTGCTTCTTGGCCCCCAATGCCTGGTGCACAATCCCACTATGAATGAAGCCTCGACCGGTCCACGGATGCCAAACACGGCTCGTCACAACGCCTGCGAAATCGAGCCTCCGGTTTTTATGTCGTTACAATCTCGATGCCGTGCACAGACTTTGCTGGAGGCCGAGCTTATCGGGAATGGCATACCCACCTTGGATGCGGACTGAACCGTCATTCGTCAGGATTTTCTTTTCAGCGCGATTGGAATGTCCCTACCAGGTGACATGACAGGTGGGACTGCTTCTGACTTGCAAGTATCTGTCGTCGCACATGTGGCGAGTGCAGCCATTTCCCAGCCAGACACATTCGGAAAACAGACTGGGACCTTTGAACCCAGATATTCCGCTCTTGAACGATGACCCGCCGGTTGTCTGGTGAGACTTCAGCTTGCTTGATGACTGGAGGCCACGACTTGTCAATTCAGTCGGCAGAAGGTCGTTCCATTTTCCTCACATGGCACCGGGCGAGGATATAGAGTCAGCAAAATCCGAAGACCGGGGTTAGAACGACTACTTTTTCAAGGCAGCATGCATACTGGTGGGTACGGACCTCCTCCTGGACCTTGCCAGTCCTTGGAACTTTTGAGTTCCACGGACGGATATGAGGTTCCTGTGCCGGCAAGGTTTTCGGAGCTCATGTTTTGGTAATCGGGGGATATATAATGGTCAACAAGTCACTACTTCGGCCAGCCCTATGTCCATTTCCTTCTAGCGGAACCTTGTTGCGACTCCAAGGTGCAGATCCAGATTCCTTCAGAGGCTGTCTGAATACCCACGTTGATATCTCGTCCTCGGCCCACGCATCATGGCCTTTACAAGGAGGGCCCTCAACAGCGTCCCATCCTTCAAGAGGGAATCGGCGAACCCGATCACTCGGCCTCAGAGCCGTCCGAATGTCATCACTAAACCGGTGATTCCCATTGTTGGAAGCATAGCCCAAGCAAGAAGCTGATGAATTCGAGGTGAAGATGAACGGAGTACGGTGCCCCCGTTGCAAAAGCCAGGGAGCAGAAGTTTGGGTCATTCCGTAAGTTCCCTCCTTTGCTCAAGGGTTTCTATCCTGTTCGCAGCAGCCACTGCGCCTCAACAGCAACAACAATCGAGCCAGGCTGACAGATAGTTGCAGCGGCACTAGATGCCACAAATGTGGGCATCCCTGTTAAAAAGAGGGCCTCGAATCCTGTTGTCGAATACGATCGTGCTACGAAGATTCCCTGTACAAGGATGGACCGACTAATCCAAGTGCTGCATCATAGTGAGGGGCAAGGGGCCAATTACTCTTCAGGGTAATGGTGATGCAGATGCTTCTGTGCGGTGTCGAGGTTGGCCTCCATGGCAATGGATGCTTGATATGGGGGAGGGGGATGATCCCCGCGGCGAATCCGAACACGGGAAAGGGTGCACACGCGTTGTGCGTCGGAGGACACCTAGATTGTCTGGAGGATACAATTTTTTTCAGGGCATGTAGTTATAGATTCAGGATTGAGAAGTTTGCGGCACACTGGTCTCCGGATCCCGACTTCTCTATCAGGATGCGCGATTAGGGACGGGCCGGCTGATGACGGGATGAAGTAGCGGGGAAAGAGAATAGACGTCGTGTTACAAGTGGCCGCAGGGAATTCTTGGGACATCCTAATGCTCTTTGGGGCGAGTGCGCAAGTGATCAACGCATGATGGATGAGGGGCGTGTGGTAAGATTTACAAAGGCCGAACAAGCACCGTCGATTTTCTGCAAGCATGCTAGCTCACCATGAGAAATAGCTTCATCGGGGGGAGTTCAGACGGTCTTCTTGAAACTGGTCTGTTCTGGGATGGTGTTTCTCGGAACTATTGTGGTTCTCGAAGGGTTGGGAATGATGTGTACCGGAGCCCAAGGTGTCTTGGTTGTGATGGTGGAAGCGCGATTCCGCCCAGACTTACGCGGAGCCAGTAGCCAATCACAACACACATAATCTGCTTGGCATATACCCCACCGGAAAAGCCAAGTTTCAGTTCGAACGCAACTCGCAAGCTTTGCCAGGCTGCGCCCGTGGCATGTCGTCTCCCCCCTTCGATGACAAACACACCGACACACAGTCACAGCTCGCTCACGACGACCGCCTCGTCGGGCATTGCCAAAAAGAGCCATCGGCGACTCGCGCCCTCCTTCCTCGCAGTGGCACACCGGTGCTGTTTTCTTGGTCAGATTGCTGCTCATATTTCTATGAGCAACCGCAAAATCGCTCTGACGTGACCACAAGTCATTGAGTATTGTTAGCCTCAGCCGGTGCTTGGCAAGGCTGTTTTTCTCGCCCTCAAGAAGGCCATCAACTACGTTCCTATCTTTTTCTCACCTCTGTATTTCCTTACCCACTTGGAAGGGGTGGAAGCCAACTCTTGAAAACGTCAGCTCGGCAGCGAACCGAGGCCGGTTTTCTTCCACCACCCCCAAGATCGTCCCACCACTCTCTCAAGGCACACCACTCGCCCCTCCCTTGATCCGGTCTAGATACTCCTTCACCACCCCCCTCGTATAGCCTGAGCGACACTCTTACGGGTAAACCGCCTCAGTTGTGTTGTTTCAAGAGCTCAGCTATTCCATTACAAACCCCTCGGGACTTCTGAGAAGACGAGTAGACGTTCAACAATCCTCGGCTCGTCCTGAAACACGGTTTGATTGGATTTCTGAGGCTCCCACCCGTTGTCCAGGACCCTGATCGGTCAAAAACCCCACATGTCCTCTCAAAAGTTCGAGTTGTAACCATCCATATTCCTGAAACAAGTCCAGGACTGCTATGATCTGTCACGCCACCAGGGCCTTGCGACTATGCCTAAGCCAAAAATTGTTCTTTACGCGGAAGCCCTGACCCACATCGGGCAATTAACTCTGCACGCCTCTCTACAAACGGAGAAGAATGAACACACGAAAATACTACTTTCGTCAGACAAGAAAGTCATCACCGCCCTTCACGACGGTGAATCTTCCAGCATCTATCTCCCAACTCAGATTTCGGGCACTGCTCACGTCACATTTCCCATTGATAAGAGGACAGAAATCTCGACCCGGTTGCAGATCGACGACGTCGGGCAGCTAAAGTCTGCAAGTGATGGATTGAGCGATATTGAAGCACCTTGGTCTGCAGTCAGCCTGCATGGACATAGTTCTATTTCCTGCAACCAATGCGAGGCTACTATTCTGATGTCGGACAAAGTCGTCACCTGGAAAGATTTGCCAAGCGAGAACTGGGCCGAGTTGATGGACTTTTGGTTCTGCCACAAACCTCACAACAAGTCGTCTACGCATGATCAAACAGCCCAGTCCGCGAACATCGCCGCAAAGGGTAGAGTCACTCCCTCTGCTGGGGTGGGTTTAGTGGATACCGTTTCGTTTTTCTTGTGTGGAGAAGATTGTGTGAATATCGAGGTGAGTCGGACCACCGCTGAATCCCTAGCAGCAAAGCCTGTGGTCGTCATCGTCGGCGTAAAGAAAGAAGCTTTTCAGGTGTCAAAACCAAGAATCTATTGATCTAGTTTCTGATACATTCGCCGCACATCAAATCTATGATCGGTGACCTGGTGGTAGTATCAACCTCCTTTTCAGTGATGGATGCTCTGCCGCTCGGGACCACACCACACCTCCTCATTTCACCTTGGCGCGTCTGAGCAGCACTGTGCGAAGGGATATGCGCGAGGTACATTCCAGCTGACACACTCTCTCTTCAGGTGACCAAGGATGCTACGAAGGAAGGCGTCGATAGTCTTCGTTGCCTTGCTTGCAACGGCTGGCTCGGATCTGGCGCAGCGGGTGAGAACAACTACCGTCTTTACAAGTCCAGGTTAGCAGTAGTTCCAGAGCAAGGCCAAGCGCCCGAGCGATTCCCGGCAGCTGTCTTTCTGACCGCTCAGCTACTGTCACTCATTGGGAGCTCGGTCAATCGCAGGGTGGTCGTCCATGACGACAAGCCATCTGAGTCCGAAAGTGGGCGTCCAGGTCTTCTCCTCTGGATTTTCAATCCTGATATCTATTACTCCAGCAGTAAACGTGGACCCACTGCTCACCGGGCCATGAAGGTATTTTACAAATCGCTTCCTAACCCAGAGGAGTTTCTGGATGGTGCTGGTTCGAACTGTGAAGAGCTTGTTGTTCCCGAAGAAGACTTTTCCGACTTCAGACGGACCTTGGAAGAAAGCACAGAAATCCTTCCCCCCTCGGCGCGAACCTTTCAGGAGTGGGACGTCGGTCTTCTGGATCGTTGGGAAAAGAATGCAACAGGCTCGGCGAGGATGGATGAAAACCCCTTGAACAAGAAGGTGGAAGAAGGATTCGAGTTGTTCAAACTGCCGGCAGGGATGGAAGAGCTTTATCTATGAGAATGGCAGTCTCGAAGTTCGTTCGCATCACTCGAGTGCTGATAACCGAACGCACCAGCGTACCGGTTATTATCTGACTTGGACTAAATGGCTTTAGACGCAACTCGCGGTGGTATGATTCTGGTTCGCCACTTTACCCAGGTACAGTGCTTCACCGCTACGAATTGCAGCAATGAAGAGCCTGAATGCACACAGAGAGCAAACACAGGATATCAACGTCCGGTGCAGGATCGAGATGCCATTTTGCGGCGCATCTATATTCATTCTAATGCTATCAGTGGTGGCATGACTTGGCCTTGGGTCGTCTGTGGATGCTGCCGTTGATCCATGCACCATGACAGATTGGACCACAGTGTTGTGAGCTACAGCCACGGTCTCTTGGTACATTACTGCAAGAGACGATAGCCCGCTGTCCGCAATCATTCTATGAGTAGCGAGTACAAGCTGTTGTCTCGATTAAAGCGAGGGCGCCAAAGTGACCGCTTTGCATCCAGGGTTGTATTTCTACGAACACTGAGGGTTGAGTAACCATATATCCTCACAAATATAACACCATTGGAAGGTGACCAGTCGGGTGTCGCCTATGATGGCAAGACAGCCAGAAACCGTATGAATGATTATTCGCTCTCGACGATTCTTGTCCTTCTGATGAGATTATCGGTCCTGATCCTGAACGCAGATGATGCACATGTCAAATGTCACAGATCATTTTGTTTCACAACCGACTCTCATTGGGCGGTTACTGTCCCAGAAGATATATCTGGTCGATATGAAGTTTATTGGTCAATCACGGATAAGCTATCCTCGCTCAGGCAGAGCGAGTAATATGTAAAGCGATTATTCTAAACACGAGAGAGGCGTAGAGGTGAGAGGAAGCCTCGTAGCCTCACAGCCTCGCCAGTTGCACTCGAGAGATTTTCTTGGCGGGTCGGCCAACTTGCCCATATTGAGATTTCTGGCCTAGACCGATTACGGACTTGCAGCTTGGCCCATCTCGACATCACGGTCCGCAGAAAGCTCAATCGGAGCTTGATATCGCTCACAGGCATTCCTCTTCCAACATCACTGAGCTCGCCTTAACCATGAGTGCCCTCCGACTGTCCCGAGCAGCGCTACGCGCCAGGTCTACGATTGCCCTGAAACCGATCCAGCGACGAGGGTACGCCGAGGCCGTCTCCGACAAAATAAAGCTCTCCCTGGCACTTCCTCACCAGGTATGTCCGCCAGAGTTCCCTGGCCCGCAAAGCAATAGAAGGAGGATTGTATTTGGAAGAGCTGAACTGACAATTTGGTCGATTATCTAGTCCATCTATTCTTCACAGGATGTGTACGTTCCCAACCGCCTCCTCGAACCCAGGCTAAGAATCCTCGCCAAAAGATCCGAGCTGACAGCACCTCCTACAGTGTACAGGTGAACATTCCTGCCGAGTCCGGAGAAATGGGTATCCTTGCGCAGCACGTTCCATCCATTGAACAGCTGAAACCGGGGTTGGTCGAAATCATCGAGGAGAGTGGTGGAAGCAAACAATTTTTCCGTACGTTCCTAATTTAAAAGAGGGGTCTACATATATAAGCTGAGAGAATCAATCACTAATACCAAATGGCTTGCTGGCAGTTTCGGGAGGCTTCGCCGTCGTTCAACCAGACTCCGTGCTGAGCATAAACGCCGTCGAAGGTTTCCCCCTTGAGGACTTTAGTGAAGAGGCGGTTAAGTCACAAATAGCGGAGGCTCAAAAGATTGCCAGCGGGAGTGGAAGCGAGCAAGACATTGCGGAGGCTAAGATTGAGCTCGAGGTGAGAATATACAAGCTGGGCTAACCGAGTGGTGTGCTGACAACATTTTTACACAGGTTCTCGAGTCGTTGCAAGCCGCAATGAAGTAAGAGGTTGATTCACTACGCTTTGTACATATAGAGTAAGGCGGAGGGATCACCGGAAAGGAGAAGTGCTATCCAGGTCTCAGATGGCTTGAATTGAACAATTTCCGTGTGCTACTTGACTTTGTTCGTGTTCTCTTTCTCTACAACAGTTCAGCAGCAGATTGCCTTTGTGTGCGAGAAGGTGCTTGGAGACATGATATCCGGGTTCTGCATCCCATAAAACCCCGGCCCATGTGGTTCATGCTCCTGCCTTGTCGTGGTTTTGTTGTGTGCGTCACAGTCTCCCCGTCAGGAACGATCCTTTCCCTGCTCTCTTCTCTCGGGTTACATTCTTTTTACCTTGATTTATTATTTATCTCTCCCATCAAAGCGCCGCGGTCGTAATGATAGGTCCCATATCAACATAGCCGCTCTACTCATCTCCAAACATGGATAGCTCGCAGAGGTCTGTTCTCTTGGTTTACCTTCGTCGAGCCCCGGCATGCTGATCAATCCGCAGTCCGCAAGGTGGCACGGTGGCCAACCGTGTTCGAGTTTTCCAGGCGGCCCAGCAACTCGAGACAAGCATCCCACCCTTCTCTCTCCCACCTCGTGCTCTAGACCAAGCCAAAGGGTTCAGTGCCATCGCTGCTGATATAGGAAGGAACTCTAGTCTCGCATCTTCAGCCAGAAGAACGTTTGGGGACAGCAGCGAAGGGATCCTAGCAGAGGGACGTCCAGGCGCCGCTTCCATTTTTCACAAGGGGACCAAAGGCCATGAGCAAGGAGATAACCACGAGATTTTTCCTTTGCGGCCTTTCACCAGCATGGACGGACCGGATGATGAAAGATCCCCTGCCCGGCGGCCTGCACTGCGCCAAGTCGCTCATCAAGTCCATCGGCATCGTTCAATGGAAAACGTCGCAAACGATCCTGCCCTAGAGATTACCATGGCTAGATCTCGACTTCGATCCGTCGCCCCGAAACAACAGTCAAATCGAGAAGAACCATCTCGCGGCCGCTCCCATACGATGGACGAGTTGAACAACATGTTGGATGACGCGATCAAGAATAGCTCACCCAAACCTGATGTTCCTCCCAATGACCAGCATGGCAATCTCGCGCCCAAAGCCGGCTTCGTCCTTCGTCGAGCATCCGCACGGCAAGATCGTCGCCCATCACAGTCTCGTCAGCGGTCGACGCGAAGGAGCACTGAATCCGTCGTGCCTCGTAGCAGTGAGGAATCAATGCGAGTAGAGTACGAGGGGAGGAAGGAGACGGAGGACCAGAGACAGGCTGATTTAAGTAGCAAACAGACTCACAAGCCAGAGTCTCCTGCCGCGCCGCAGCTGAAACCAGAAGCAGTCCCAACCAGCGAATTGAGTCCTGTCAAGCAGAGAGCTGCCCTCTTTGAGAGCCTCAGCCAAAAGCTTACAGAACATGATCGAGTCTGTCAACATTTCGGACACGAACATGAACCATCACATCCTCATTCACATCACCCGCCTCCTCCACGCAAGGAGATCAAAAAGATTCACCGTATCAAGTTTGGAGACACAATTGAGGAAAGACCGGGCACTCCCTTGATTCCCTTGACATTGCCAACGCTTGTTACACAAGAGAAGACCAGCAGACCTCCGAGTACATTGAAAAAGGAATATGCCGACGCTGAACGCCCTGGTCCTACAGGCGAAGGCGCCGCGAGCGACGATGTCTTCCAGGAAGACAGGAAGCCTTCATTGAGCTGGCCATTTAGATGGAGCATTTTTAACAAGGGCACCTCTGCGCCTCCTCAAGAGACTGAGGGACCCTCGGGCACTGCGGAGGCGAAGGACGAACATTATCCCTCCACGCGAGAGAGTATTGTCCGGAGTAAAGTCAAGGATTTGCTTCAAGCTGCAAACGAGAAAGATGATGCAGAGCAGCGACGACGACACGACGAGAAAGGTCGCCTCAGCCGAAGATCGACCAGAACCCAACCACCACAAAGACAGACAGAAACAAGCCACGACGAGACAAGACAAGAGAAAACCGCTGAGCCAACGTCAATGCAGACTCCCAAGAAAGAGGGATTCCACAACCTGAAAATTCTCGCCGAGACCAGCGATAACAAGCCCACCCCTAGGACTCCTCTACAACGTGCCATGTCAGAGAAACAGGTCCTTGCACCACCTGCACCCATTGATCCGGAGAGTGAATCTGGGTCAAGTCCACGGAAACCTCCGCACACTCCCATTCGTGGAAGATCCATCTCCACCCATCGACCTGTACTAGGGGAACAGAAACGCTCTGTACAGCAGCAGTTCAGCCTTAGCCCCGGACCAGGCCGCAGTGGTTCGAAACAGCGGCAGGGCGTCAAGGTCGAGGTGGAGATACGTGACAGCCCAGAGCGCGAGGCTAGAGACAGGGGAGACAAGATTGTCATCATCAGGGCAGATGTCTCCGAGATGGATGATGATAGATAAATTGAAGGGGTGAACATCGGCGAATAGGAAACTTGACCGTACTTTATCGCGACGCACGGCTGCTGATAAGATGGCGAAAGGGTAAGATGGCATCAGTGATGATTAATGTGGGTCTGTTGGGCAAGAAAGGAAAGCGGCGAAGTCAGGTCTGTTGGTATAGGTATGGTATATCTTAACAAGCAACAAGTGCGGCATGCTTCAAGCATGATTTGACATGGACGGAATGGGCAAGCAGAGGTCTGGATTATATCGATTGATTCACAGAGCTTCCTGATTGCAATTGCATTTTGCCTTCTTGACCTTGGTTAACGAGTGTGATGCTGAGATGTTGAGAATAGACCTGAACGGCCGAACAGCGCCATGAATATCCTCGTTCTGGCCTGAATTGACCTGACCCGGAGGATTTCATTCCCTTTTACCTCGCACTCGTGGCCAGTCGTCGATCTGAATAACTTAATGATGTTGCCTCTACACACCTCTCTCCCTACCCCTCGTTTTCCCTCTTCTTCTCTTCTTGGAATTTACTCGATGAGTTTCCTCAGATCATCCCGCCGCTCGATCTCGTCAAGCATTTTGCGGAAATTGTCGTCGTGTTGCTCGTGGGCCTGGGTCTTGAAAAAGGGCATGTTTGAGCGCAGCCACGTCGATTCGGAGCCGGCCTGCAAAGTTGCACGGGTAGGTGAGTACGGCAAGTACAGTAGTGAGTGAGTGAGTAGCTCGAAGGTATATATAGGGATTATCCAGGGGGGGGCAAAGTAGACTTACATCCGGAATGGTCACGCCGTTCTCCCGCGCCGCGATCATGGGGTAGAAGACGATAAAGTGCATCTTTTTCGCCTTCGCCGTCGCCGTTGCTTCGTCGCCCGAGCCGGGGGCATCGGAGCCGCCGACGACGGCGTACCACTCGGCCTCGATCTTCTCGGCCAGATCGTCAAAGACGGCTTTGGTGCGGGTCGCCGACGTGCGCACCATGGCGAGGATCCTGTTCGGGCCCGCGTGGTTGTGCGCCACGGGCTCGCCGGCGAGAAAGTACGTGTTTTCTTCGTCGTCGTCCTCATTATCGTTGGCATCGCTCGCCGACGATTCGGAAGAGAGCGGGTTGGATTTGGATTTGGACTTGGAGGTGGACTTCGCAGAGAGACGGTGGAAGCTGACGTTGACAAACAGCGACGGGGTCAAAAAGGTCGTCGAGTGCAGGCGCGTGACGGCCTGGGCGAAACGGTGTTTTTGGTCCCGCGTGAGAGGGTACGTGTGTTGGATCTGGCGGTGCAAGAGGAGGTATTTCAACATCAAGAACCAAAAACCAAGAACGGGGTGGTTGGTGTGCACATACACACGCAGACCGAGAGATAGCCAGGGGGGAAAGGAGACAATCAGAATGGCAAGTGTAGCCAAAGTTTGGTGAGGAAGACAGAGCAGCAATATGAAACGAGACGTTGATACTCTCTCATACATGACCATATCACGAGGCTGCAACCCCCTTGTCTTCTCTTCCTCCTCTTCCCCTCTCTTCATGGGTAGCTACCAGATGGGGAGGCACAGAGACAGACCCCCCCATCAGAGCAGATCAGGCATATAATAACGACACGACACAACACAACTCATCGGGATATCCTTCTGGGGTCTGGCTCACCTCGTAAAAAGGCATCGTATCCCGGTTTAGTTCTGCCTTTCTCTTCTTGCCTTCCTTCGTCCTCGTCCTTTTTCTCTGGCTGTAGCTGGCCAAGGAACTTGATGATATCAACTTCCAAGGAGGCTTTCCTCGCAGCGAGGGGAGACAGTGAGGGAGGCTAGAAAGATGCCGCAGAAAGAAAATCCCTAAGGGACAGACAGAAGTAGCAGATCACACGGAGAACAGTAGTACAGAGGATCAAGACGGTGGAATGTGAAGTTGACGATATAGCGATGGAGGGAAAGAATAGCATTGAAGGTGGAGAGAGACACACACACATCAGCATCATTGGGTATCATCATCGTCATTATATGCTCCGTACATACATACATACCTCCATACACCTCTCACTCTCTCTCCGCATTGAATGGATGGATGGATGAATGAATGAATACTAATCACCTACTTAGCTCTCCCGCCTCTTACCATTGTACTTGGCCTCGCTAAGTCCAACTAACTCCGCATTTTCTCGCCATTGGAGTCCAGTGAACCTCGGGGGTCACATTGGTAGGTACTCTTTCAGAAGCTTCATCAGACAAGGAAGGACATGACAATTTTGATTTGATTGAAAAAGAAATCTTTGACCCGTGTATCTGCCCACAAGTTATCAAGGTCAACAGCACCATACCACACCACATTACGAACTGTTGCCGAAAGAAAACTCGTTGCATGACTTATTGGACACTGCACAACTGGGATATGCTGTACAAAGCCGCCAGCTGACCTTTGACCTCCGCACACGATTGACAACAGCAGACAGTTCTCAACAGGCCCTTACATGAATTACCCACAATTTTCACGCCAAACTCCTAATCATTCACACAATAGCACTCTGCTTTGATTCTCCTTTGTCTTATGCGGGTCACATTGCCGCACGTTGTTGCCGTCTCGCCATTATTTCACTCTTTGGTGGTATCTTGCTCTTTTTCAAGCGCACATGGACCAAAATCCAACGCTTGAAGGTCGCTCCCGATCACCCTCACGATGCGGCTCCTGTTTGTCGTCATTGTTCTGTTGCTCTCCCTCCCCGCCTAAACAATCCTTTGACAGCATTTGCAATGGCAGAACTGGTGACCAAAGCGCACAAGATGCCAAAGAATAAGAATATTCCCAGCGCAATGTAAATGCCCGTGGTGTAGGCAGAGGACGGAGGTGAGACGAGGTTGTTGACGGCAGAAGATGCGGTCGAATCGCTGGATGTTGGTGAACCACTGTAAGTCACAGTAAAGCTGGGTGATGACAATGGTGACGATGTGAGAACCGTGGTCATAGACAGAGATGTCGACAGCAGAGGCAAGGTGGATGATGATGATAGAGGTGTCGGGCTTGCGGTGTCGACTGCCGTTGAGCTTGTACTTGTGCTGAGATCGACCTCACTCACAGTCGTTGACGGATCTGAGGCTTGTGAATCTTCGCTTCGCCATTCCGCCCATTGGGACCTCGCGATTTCCGCTGACACATCGTCCGCAGTGTTGGACTGAGTGGGAACCGTGGTGTCTATCATCTCCATAACCGTTCTGGTGAATCTGGCGCTGTTGTCTGGATGCAGGGCCGTCACAATGACGCGGTGACTGGAGGTTGGAGAGGGAAGGTTGGTCGCTGAGCAGGAGATTGGACTGTGGTCCGGTTCGCAAATGTGTGTCATCGCGTTGCTCAACGGGTCGTCAAAGTGAGGTTCACGAGGGAGGAACGGACTCATTGAGAAGGAAAATGACAAGGAAGGCACGTCGAAAGGATAAGCGGCGTGATGAGGATGAAATGGTCTGACTGTTCGCTGTCAATCTGGGGGTTTCCAGTAAGCGCAATTGGAATTGAAATTGGAATTGGTGAATCTCAGCAAAGTGAGTGGGTTGGGCCAACGCGAGGGAGGAAGGGCGTTGGGACAACGCGGTGACCTGCGGTGACCTGCGTTGGACTGACGGTGCAACCGCACCCAGAAGATGTCGGTGAACAGAAGAGAAAATCATCACACAGGACAGAGACAAATTCCACCCCTCAAAGAGCCCAGTCGTTGTATGGAAACAAGGCACCTGGCGTCTGAGTGAATAGAGAGGTCATGCATGCATGAGGCTGGGTATCTAGCGATAAGTGAATCAACGCATAAACGCACCCACACTCCGAGAAGCCCGCTTGCAAAGCTGGAGATGGTTCAATGCCGCCCTTTTGGTAGTGTTTGCTTGCATCTTCTTCACTGGTTACTCATTAAACCCGCTCGAGGGATGAATACTAGGCATCTTGCTCGAGAGCGACGTCTGTTGCCGTGGCCGGCGCTGCGCTTTCATGAGACTCGCCAGTCTCGCCTTCGCCAGCCTGCCCTGTTGGTCCAGGATGTTCCGATATCGCTGGATCGCCTGACGCCGGCTGACCCTTCAAAGGAGCCTCGTCTTCGGCATCCATTTGGAGCAGGAACGTTTCCCAGAGTTCGATCAGCTGTTGGCCACGTTAGCAGATATTGCCGTCCCCTGAGACAGTCAGACATACCTCTTTCTGAGCTTCAACGGCACCCTCTAGGAACGTCTCTACGCCACTCTTGAAATCTTCCACCTTTTCCCGCTCAAATCTTTCCAGTTCACCCCTCATTAGTCGGCCCATGTCTTCAAACAATAATCGAGCTTGGTGGGCTTTCTTCTCCGCGTCGCTAACACTGGCACCAACCTCGTTCAGCTTGTCTTGTTGGCTTTTACCCTGCCTCAGGAGCTTCTCGTGGGCACTTCGTCGCTTGGCCAACTCGCTCTCTGCGGCATGCCATGCATGGAATGCCTTCTGCCGCTGTGAAAAAGCTTGCTTAACACTGCCAATAAGTCTAATATACTCATCCACGGTAATGCCCAGGGTCAAGACATCTTGTTGTGCTTGTCTTTCATAGAGCTCTCGGATCCTCATCTGCACATCCGACAACCCCTGTAAAGGACCGGAGAATGCGGGAGAGAGGTCAACTTGGGCGAGGCTATTGACCGACGCGGCGAACTCTCCGGCAGCGGCGGCAAGACCCTTCCTTTGGTCAACGACAGTGTCGACGGCCTTCATTAGTGCCTTCAACTGGTTTTCTAGAGCGTCAAGGTAGACTCTGCGGTCATGGAACCAATCATCGTGCTCGACGAATTTGCCGCTCGACGAACCCACGTTGATCCCGATAGCACTCAGCATTCCCTTATTTTGACCCAGGTCTGGTTCCCGGTTTTCCTTGTTCTTGACATCAATGTTAAAGGCCTCGCTTTCCAAGAAGATCTTGAGATCGGCATCGTGATGGAGGATCGGATGAGCGGCAATCTTGTTGAGCATTCGCTCCAAAGCCTGACGTCTTGACTCGATAAACTCGCTGTCGAACCTACCCACGGCTTGTTTTTCGGGCGGGGGAGGGACGACCACACCGGGGTTGTTGTTGTGCAATGCGTTGTAGAGCCAAAGGAAATCCCGATACCGACGTGATACGGCAAATTCGGGCTGTTTATATGCTTTTGACGTTGTCTAAATCCGTCAGCATCTGTAGCACCCTTGAACCAACTCACATACCTTTGTGCGGACTTGGTACACAATGTGACTGCTGGTTAAATCCCCGACCTTGTGCGGGTCGCCCACCGAAATCTCGAAGCTCGGTTTCGCCGCTTGTTCCACGCTCACGCTAGAAGGGGTTTGTCGGGCTGCAGGAGCGCTGGTCTGTGGCTGGACCGGAGGCGGACCCTTGGGTCTCCCCAGAGGAAGCGTGGTGTCTTCATATTCCGAACCGGCGAAACCAGGAGAGGTCGCAGAAGGTTGTCGATTGACTCTGGCTGTGAGTTCTTTCCTCGGCGGAGTTGGTGCTTGGTCTACAGATACGGATGACGGGGCTGGAGCTGGGTCTGCGCCCAAGGGACCAAGAGGATCGAGGGAATCATCCACGGCTTCGAGCTTGGTCGGTTGGACTTCGATCTTGCGAGCCGGGATCTTTCGAGACGAAGGGGGCCGCGGGCCGGAGGACGGGGTCTGTTTCGCGGACGACGGGGCTATATCTCAGGTGAGCGTCTTGGACTCAGCGATCCTGAGAGTGTGTGTTCATACTGTCATTCGGTTTGGCTGAGCTACCGAGTTCTTGTGGGTTATCTGACTGCGATTGAGAGGGAACATCTACTCAAAGTGGTCAGCGAGATTGGCGGCAATATCCTCGGAAGCAGTCGCCTACCACCCCATGGCGAGTCATCCATATTTGCAGGTATGGAGAGTTGAAACGGGAGATATAGTACTGTCACTGCAGGTCGAGAAAGAGGTGGTGGCTATTGCCTGGATCTTTCTGCACCGCGGAGCAAAGCAGCCAAACTCGCCAAATCCCCGGATGCACGAATGATTAGCCTCCCACCCTCCGTTTCCGCGAACTCAGAGCCAACCAAAGGGCACTGGTCGGACAGAGACCGGCGTAGTTCAGGCTTTTCGGAAACACAATAATACACAGTTCTATATTGTACCTTTGAGAGAAGAAAGGTTAAGAGAGTTGTTGCACAACATCTATGTACAATGTTGATCTGTTGCCATAATGCGAGCAATCTGAATGGCAGACCGTGGCAGCTCGATCAGGCCTACCTCTACCTATTAATATAGTCCACCCACAAGTTGAGCTGGGCACATTATACAAGTAACAAGCATCGCTGCCTTGGGCCGAACTTCGCTTCCAATGGTCTGAGCCATAATAATTCCTGCGGTGACGAAGAAAGAGGGCCAGTTGACAGTAATATTGCCCGGCTTCGTGAACAAGGCCACTAGCACAATGTGTAGCTGACAATGTAGCATGATACAGAGACCAATGTTCCCATGTCATCTTTGGTTGGTCTTTCGACAAGCACATAATGTACATTGACCAATCTATCTTGAATGGTCCCGTTCGCTGCGATGCAGAGATGCTCCTCAAAGTCGATTATAACACCCTACTTCTTCCCACTCTTTTTCGGCTGCGTCTGCCCATTCTGTGGTGTGTTTTCTTGACCAAATGAACTGACAAAGTCCAATAGATTGATGTCATCCTCTGCAAACATGTTTTGCTCCTCCTCAAAAGCCGGTTCCCTTGCAGGGGCTGCTTTGCTCTCTGGTGAGGGAGAGGAGGGTGTGGGAGTGGTCTCAACATCCTGCTCAGCCTTTTTCGTCGTCTTTGCACTGTCAAAGCTGGTGCCGAATCGGGCTCGAAAGCTTGCCAACCTCCCTGACTCGTCATCTTCAACGTTTAAGAGCTCCTTCGACGTGGGATTCCACAAGGGAGAATTTCTGGTGTCTCGAGTCGATCGGTACACCGGTATAGGCGAGGTAGTTCGCATGGTGAAAGCACTCCCGTCAGAGAGCGTAACTAGTTGGGTGAATGTATACGGCCGCTTCGGTCGCTTTATGAGTCGTGCGTGCCGACATGCTTGACAGATATAGGTTGTGGAGGGTGTGGCCGAAGGAAGACTCGGTAGTGAGTTGGGTCGCAGGACAGGACGAAGCGCGACTGACATTGCGGTCCTCGGGTGATGCTGTCGAAGGGGGAGTTGGTGAGCAAAGTGATCAGCAGTAGATTGTCTTTAGAGAAGTCGATACCGACAGGATTTGGACTCTGGTCAATAGCATCCTGGTACTGGCACTTACCACGGATCTCCGCCAAGCCATGGTTTTCAACTACTCGCGTCACTTACCCGATCTGGCAAGATGGCAATGCCGCGCCGACAACATCAGTAAAAGTATCTACAGCAATCCGGAAATTCTAGTATTGTACGAAATGGTCAAGACTGGGCTTCGATGGTATGTTGAAACAGCCTTTGAAGTCGAAGAAAGTCACATCCTCCAGGGGAAGATGCCATAGTCCGGCGCATATTAGCCACGAGTAGTAAGAGAAGTTGGCACCCTGGGCCTCAGGCTGGTCATTATTCTGGGGAATATCATCCAAATGCTAGGGAGGAGACAGGATGGGCAAGGGATTTGGTGTGTCAGTCCAGAGATAACCTGTCAAGCGCGGTTAGATCGACCAGAACGCCAATTGTTTGAGATGTACCGTAGCCACTATTTGTTTGTAATGTATGATCGGGGTGCAATTAAATGACTTTCAACACAAAGACGAAGTCGAAGGGACCTAAGAATGGAGTCCCCCTGGCTGTCGTCAACTGTGGGACTCATCTTGGGACAGGACGTACCGGGGAAGTACAGCAAAAACGAGACCGTTGCTATGAGGCTGAGTGAGAGCGTAAACAGGAGGGTTATAGGAGCGTGTGAAGAAGATGGAAAGAGGGAGAGTGGTATCTGCCGCCAAGATGAGGAACAGAGATTCTTGATCCCTTGTATTGCGAACCTGTCCCCTGGGCGACCTACACGAACGCACCCAAACTACAAAGATCCCTTCGGCCTGCAGGTGATAGATATCTCAATGGGTTGTACCATCCTTGTGATGCATCGCTGCGAGTAGAGGTCTCGTTAGCGGCCCTCATGAACGACCGCTCCTGCGCTTTCACCTCCTCTTCGCCGCCAGCCTGATCCCTTCCTCTTCTCTCGATGCAGCTGTGCCCAAACGAAACATTCGCTCTCAGCCGACACGGGGATATGGCTTTAGGTCCGAGGCTCGGTTCCCCTGCGGCTTCCAAGTGAAAAGACTCAACTAACAACTGGAAGCCTTTCCGATATGAAATCGTACGCTAGTGGAGCATCTCACTACCGTCTCGAGTGCTATCTCGATAGACGGTGGCATGATCACGAAGAATTCCGAGAGGCATGCCTTTCTCAATCCAATACTTGTAATACCGAGTGCTGAGTACTTGGTATCTTGTCAGTCCCTTGGCGGTGAGACTGGTCGAAGCTTAACACCAAGGCCTGCTTGGAATGCACCTTGGACATTGGATGCCCCAGTCTGCTGCCGTAATGGCTTCTCCAAGCCCACAATGCCATAGCCAGCAAAGCCACCACTTGACCTCAAGGTCGCTTGGTTTGGCTTGCTGCTAGGCTACTGTCCATTGACTTTATGATCGGTTACAAGTTTGATTGTCGCCAAACCTCCTTTAGGTAAGGTTTCGGCGGCCTCTGATTGGGAGGAGTCCCCCTGTCTGCTGCGCCCGGCTGTGGGCTCCGTCTTCCCATTAGGATCCAACCAGGCTACAACATCCTCTTCCGGTGGGTTTTGCAGTCGTCTTACAGAGGTATGGTAAGGAAGCTTAATCAGCACTTCCAGATCGTAGATTCGATGAGATACTGAGCAGAGATGCCCGATATCGTTGGCTGAGAGTCCCGCGATAGGTATCCACGAACTTTCGACATCGGTGTTCCACCGAAAACGACATTTATAAGGACACATGGAGAACATGCTCCTTGGGCTGAGCCTCTGAGACGCTTAGGGGAAGACACCCCCGGACAACCGCTATGCAACCATGACAAAGGTCACCCTCCACTTCCTCCCTGTGAGAACCTCGACTCTCAAATGGACAAAGCGAGATGCTGAACTCACCGATGCTGAAGCCAAATCCCACGCCCGGCGTTCTTCTCACGTGCTGGCTAAGCATCCCAAGCCCAAAGTGCGTGGTCATGAAGGGGTCGGGTCGCAGTCCATCTTGCGACTAAAGCAAAAGACGAAGGTGAGCCTGCCAATGCCAGCAAAAACTAACGAAGAATACCAACTGACACATGTCGCCGTAGAGAGCCGAAAGAACGAGTGCCAATGACACCCGGCGTCAGATCTCGAAGAGAATGCAAGCAAATATGCCCCTTAGCATTGGAGACCCGGCTGGATGCGATCCTTTCGTCCGCTTTCCGTGCGTGACTGGGTCGGTTGAGCACAAGTTGTTCCATTTCCGTCAGCTTCAGGACTCCTACTACCCTCTCCTCCGGTCTCCCCAAACTAACGGGGTGATGCTGGTTCATAGTCATGTCGTACGTGCCTGGCAGATTCTATGCCACGAAACCTTGGGCAGCATACGACGTGCTGCGAGACTCGGTCATGCCCGAGATCCTGACCGGGAGTGCATACATGTCTCTTGCTCTGTACATTGCCGCGTCCATTGTGAACACGCTCAAGCCGCAACCGCAGTTCTCGGAAGAGTGGATGCTCACCCGTCAGTCGACAAACTATCGACTATTAAGACAGCTGCTGAAAAATCAGAAGGGTCACCCGTGGGACTGGGCCATCACATGCATTGTCGTGGCGGGTTACGCTGAATCCATGGCCGGATTGGCAGACCGGGGCCGAAAACACACCAAAGCCGGCCTTGTTATGCTGCAGGACTTTCGGAACCTTCAACGCATGAGACTTTCTTCAGGATCCATCGCTTTCAAGGTCTTTCTGCAAACCGGCGTGCCGATGATGTTCGCGACAAGTGCTGCGCTCGAGACGGCGATGAACAGTGTATGTCAGAACCTGCGGCGAATCCAATCTTGGACGCGTCTCAAGCGGAGAGCACGTTGCTCTAGCCTCCATTGTCAGTATCATTCCCCTGAATCGCCAGCAAACAACGAGGCCACGGAGCCAGCAGTGAGCTCGAATGGACAGTGTCGCTATTGGACTGCACGGCAACGTGCACTTGGGCCGACAACAGCCATGGGCCGCTTACTGGCACCCAAGCCGATCCAAATGCCCATGTCGGACGAGAGGCTGGTGATGGCAACCATCTACGCTCTCAACGGCATCCTCTGTAATCTGCAAGGCGACGACGCTGCAGCAGAAGCCTTTTTAGCCAATGTTGCCGAGATGACCGCGAACAGTCTTGACGAGGGCGTCGACCTGAGTGTGCCACCACGATTTGCCCTGCAGAACTGTGTCCACATTGTTATCGCCTGCGCCGAGAAGCAGGGCCTGTGGTTCTACCACGGTCCAGGACACGCGCTCCCGGCCATGCGCACCTGGGAGGCGCTCGAGTTTGTGGAGATCACGATGCTGACGTCGCCCGCGAAGCAGCAGAAGATCATGGCTGCGTTGCGAGGTTGGCTTTGCTGGCAACCTCAAGAGCTGACGACGGGAGGAGGAGATACATCCCTCTTTAGCGACGACAAGGAGCTGCAAGAGTTCAAGGATGAAATCATCGCCAACTGGAAGGCCAGAAGAGGTTCAGGGACTTCGAGTCGAGAAACAGCCACGCATGCAAAGCACCCTTGACAGTCCAGCTCCGGCCGGGTACAAGAAGATATCCACAGCGACTAAATGCCGCTGCGATCTCGTGACAGTATATACACTGGTTGCTCTATGGTCCCCGTTCTGGGTATACCAGAGTTTATGGTAGAGTGACGCATCCTGCTCTTATCTTCATGGTAAGAGACCACACCCTTTTTTTTTTGGCTCCCGGTACAAAACATGCTGACCGGAGGGATCAGGCTGGAGTGCTGGTTCTTAAAGTCCACTTCTCTAAGTGACGCTTGGAGAATCCGAGGACTTCGATCACCGAGCCCTCCTGTTTGCCCCCTCCGAGGATGGCCGTCTCCTGATCTTCCATACTCCAAGTCATGGCTGTGGAGGAAAATACAGTGCGACGACAAAACAACTTTTTGGTGATGACCTCCATCAGTCATCGTTTCCCCTTTCTCGTGCTATTTACACTCTCCAACAACTTTTGAAAGGAGAATTGCGCGTCTTTTGTGCGCGTCAATATCTGAACTATGTTAACAAGCAAACACTGGCGGAATACGTTGAGGTTTGCAAGTGGTGGGTCAGTCGCCTCTGATTCTTGCCGAGCGGACACCATTACCAACTGGCGCCAATGGTAGGCAGACAGCAGAGGCGGGTGTTTTGAGATGATAGATAGAACGGCCGCTCTCTGGGATGCGGGCGTATGTGTTGTCTTGAGGGATACGACTCCCGAATCGGTCTCAATACAACATTCAACTCATCGGTCCACCATTTGGGCAGCACTCCTTTGGGACCCTTCTTAGGGGCGGCGTCTACTCAACAGTGTCAGTATCTGCGTGGATCTCCTTTAGTGGAGTCGTTGACGGCCATTGATGTCAGGGTGGTCCTAAGACATGGTCTCGAGAGGGGAGAAAGTTTCGTGAATCACAGATAGAATCCGATCCTTTGGTGTTCAAGACGACAGGGAGAGAGGCTTCCTCCCATAGACATTGTAACTGAATCACGTCAGCCGTTTCCTCTCTTTCCTACTATTGGTGTCGATGAGGGCACTTACTAGAAGATATAACTGTGCATTCGCGGATTGCGCAGTTCGCGTTTCGTCTCGGCAATGAGGACTTGCAATTCGTCGGGATCGCCCCCCAAGACGGCGGTGTAGCCGCGAAGCAGGTAGGCGTCGAGCCCGTTCCTGAGGCTGAAGTTCTCGTAGGCGCCGATCTCCTTGAGCCTGGCGTCTCTGGGCCAGATGCCCTGTGGCACCTTGTAGACGGACTCGGAGACGTCGACGAAGCCGGCGCGCTCCATCTGCGCCTTCCACAGTGTGGGCGCGTTCAGCGACGCCCCCATGGCCTCGGCCATCTCGAAGAACAGTCTCTGGACTTCCTTCAGGTGCGAGTCCGCCGGCAGCGTGCCGTCGTCCGACGTGGGCGTCGGGTACGTGCCCCCGACTTCCATGTACGCGCCGGGCCGGAGGTGGTCGAAGGCCTGTCGGAACAGCCGGTCCCAGTCGCGGATGGCCATGATGAGCTCGCGCGCATGGATAAAGTCGAAGTTGGTGGTGGAGAAGAGCCATTCGTCCTCGATGTCCTGGACCTCGAATTGGCAGTTTGGCGGCACCCATTCGGGCTGCACGGGCGCGATGTCCACGCCCGTCACTGAGGCCGTCTCGTACTGGTCGGCGGCTTCGATGGCCCAGATGCCTGACCCGGTGCCCAGGTCCAATATCCTTGCCGGCGCGGGGAGCATCGGGGCACGATGCAGCCGCCCGCCGATGATGAGGCGGAATTTGACGTGCTGGATGTTGTTGCGCTCCTGCTCCCTTTCGTCGATGGGGAGGCCGTACATGTTTCTGCCGTAGGCGGGGTACTGCCGGCCATTTTCCTCGATGCCGTGGCGGATGTGCGATTCGATCGAGGTCACGTAGCTGCTCGCATCGTCTGATACTAACGAGGCGTACGTTTCGTCCTCAAAGGACTGAGTTTCGTCGACATGAATAAGATCCTCATTGTGGGCTGCCATCAGGTCTAGCAAGGGCTAACTTGTGCGAGTAGTTAGCCAGCTAGAGGTGCTTTAGAGTGGGAAGCGGAGGAGTGTGTTTGAACGGGGCGTGACGGGGAAATCGAGGGGCGATAAAGGTTCCTAGATTCCGAGCCTATTGTGAACTAGTAGCGTGATCCATCGACGAGTCGCTGTCGGCTACTTTTCGCACCATCGCGAAGGTTGAGAAAGAGGGGTTACCGGCTCCTTTTGCGATAAACCTTCAACCCTTCCTGAGACGCGATTCCGCAAACGGGACCGGGAAGTATCATGGCGCCACCCTCATTGCCTTCACATGTTGACATGGACGTCGTCTCCAAACTTTTGCAAGATGTCAATGAGCATGTCCAAGCCCTTGGCTCGGGAGACCTCAAGGCGCGCGAAGCAGCGGTTGAGGCTTGTCGGTCGCTTGCCGCAACCCTGGAAAGTCCCAGCGAGGCGGTGGTGAGAATGACATGGGTCGAGGTCAGCATGTCGTACCATCTACCGTTGACATGGACGTTTCTCTGACCCTGAGCGACCACAAACAGCCGAGCCATCTTGCAGCGCTGCGCATGGCTGTTGATCTGCGGCTCTTTGATCATCTTGCTGCGGACCAGGGCTGTCCGAAAACCAGTGATCAAATTGCGGCAGCGTGCTCAGCGGAGCCATGGTTGGTTGGTTCGGCCAGCCCATTGACCACGCAAGGTTTCGTGAAGGGCACTGTCTTCGTGCTGACACGAGCATCGACTCCTAGACCGAATGATGAAGCATCTCGCTGCGATGAACACCCTCCGTCAAGTCGATGCAAACAGCTACGTGCCAAATCCTTTTGCACAAGCCATGACGAAATCCATCTTTAGGGAAAGCATTGTTTTGATGTGCGTTACTTGACACGAAGCGATAACCTGATCCCCTTCACATGAAGCTGATAATATGATCGGGGTTCTGGAGAACATAGGCACGATATCTGCATCCCGATTAACCTCAAGACAGCCGAGTTCTTTGCGGAGAATGGCTATACAAGCCCAACAAATGCACTCGACACACCGACGCAACACACATTCAATGCGAAGGGGAAAACGCATATCTTAGACATATTCGCGCAACAGGGCCAGACCCATGGACTTGCCAGTATGATGGCTACGTGGATGCTCGACCGGCCGCACTGGTCAGACGACGACTTAGGGTTCTATCCTGTGAAGGAACGACTAATACAAGGCGTGATGGGCGACGATGATTCCGTCTTTCTGGTGGATCTCGGAGGTAGTGTAGGGCACGATCTGGAGAAGTTTCTCGTTCGACACCCGTTCGATACCTTTCCAGGGCATCTGGTCCTTCAAGATCGCGCTGAAGTTATCGAATCGATCCCCGAGAATAGCTTGAAGGCTGGGATTCGCGCAATCGCCCATGACTTTTTCACCCCACAACCCGTACAAGGTAAGTACAGTCATGATTCTGTTTTGTGCACGAAGCCACTCCCGAGGCTATAGCCATTTCGTCTGGTATACACGTTAAACGACTTGCAGGGGCGAGAACGTATTTCTTGCACAGTATCATCCATGACTATCCCGACGACAGGGCACAGCTGATTCTGAAGAACATCGCTCGAGCAATGAAGAAGGGGCACTCCAAACTTATCATATGGGATTTCGTGCTTCCCGATAAGGCTGTGGCCTCGACGCTGACAGCTCTCGATTGGGAAATGATGTCCTTTTACGCCGCGAGCGAGAGGTCGGAGGGTCAGTGGAAGACACTGCTTGAAGATCCCGAGATTGGGTTGAAAGTCAACGGGATCTGGAGCTACAGTCAGTTTGACCAGAGCGTGATTGAAGCAGAACTGGCTTGAGCTGGTACTCATATCCTCTTTATAGCTGAGTCAGTTTCCATGCCGCCTTTCATGAGAATAGAAGTTTAGAGACACTGGTACATCTGACCCAGTACATACCTTGGGTCCTCACCTTCAACCTTGAGTTGACTGCTCGTGTTTTGAGCCCATGCTGAGCAAACCCTTTTGTAGACGGATGAATTCGAGGTTCAGTTAGGGGTGCGCTCAATAGGTCTGGTGTCCAAGATGGCTGGAGGTGAAGGCGTTTGGAGAGGGAAAGATAAAGACTGTTGTTCAGGGTCTCGGTGCTTGTGGAAGGGAGCATTTTGATAATGCCAAGGCTGCGCCCACAGCGAGCGCAGTAAAGGCGGCAGGGCGGGTCCCTGGCCTGCGCCCGCATGTTGTAAAGAGGCAACTTGTTGTCGTCTCCAACTGCGGCTTCTCCTGGTCTGTAAATTTGTCGCTTGCCCATGCGAATCTAGATCACCCTTACCTGATTGCCTGGCTAACTACCAATTCTCCCCTTCCATGGTCCGCCTGACAACCACTGATCTCTCCTTCCGCGCCGCACTCCGCCTAACATGTCCGACCCAAAAGTCGCGGCCGATTTTGATGCAATCATTCAGGCTGGTATTTCGCTCCCCGTACTCCTCTTTGCGCCTGACGGACCGACCCCCTAACGGGACTTGCAGACCGGCAGCGCAAAAAGAACGAAGCCTTAGCAAATGAGATCTTTGGTAGAAACAAAGCGAACAAGAACACCCCGAGGAGCGCAAGCAAAGGCTCTTTAAGGACGCCAGACCTTGCGAGTCGCATCACAAAGGTATAACTAAGCAGAAAGCCCCGTCAAGCTGGAGATGTTGTCCGGTGTTCTTGCTGATGGGAGCGGCCGGTATAGCGATCTTCGTCTGTAACAAGTTCAGGCTCTTCCCGTAACATTCTATCCACTCCACCCTCACGGCCCTCCTCGACCACCCCTCAAACTGCACGCTCATCTCGCCTCGCCTTTGCTCTCGAGTCTTCAGATGCCAACATTGTTTCCTCTCAACCAAATACAAGAGGCTCAGGCATAAGCATCAGAGGCAAGGCGGGGCGCTTCGTGGTAGAAGCCAGCAATTTCGCCCCCGGTACCACGGCCGCCGATATCGAATCTGCGCTACAGGGTGAAACTTTGGACGAGAATGGCGTTAGCGGAATGCTCTCATGTCGCCTTGTCAAGACAAGTCCAGTTGTTGTCGCGGAGCTGGTGTTTACTGAGAAGCAGATTGCGGAGCAGATTATATCCACTTACAACAACCAAAAGGCAGACGGCCGTATCTTGCGGCTCTTCCTCAAGCGATCTGGACTAGGTTCTACAGCTACTTCACAATCCAACCAACTCGCCTCCAATCCTGCACCTGAATCACTGATATCAGAAACACAACGTCTGCCAGATAATGGGAACACTATGGAAGACATCGAGATGGAAACCGAGGCCGCGACCTCTTTCGACGATCGACGCAACCTGGACCCTAAAAACGCTGAAGCGGACGTTCAAGATGCACGCTACGGAGTCGAAAAGCCGCAGTCTTCGGATACACATACGCGCCACACTGACCGAAGGAGAGACGATGATCGACGAGATCGAGATCGCAACTACGAGCGTAGCCATGACAATGACCACGAACAGGAACGAGAGCGAGAGAGAGAACGTGATCGCGAGCGCGACCGCGATCGAGAGCGAGATCGGGATAGAGATCGAGATCGCTATGACCGTCGCGATCCTCGACCTGCGGGCCACGGCTCCTATCGTCGAGGTGACAGACCTGATGCCTACAACTCGCGACCCTCACACTACGGCAATGGAGTCGGCGGAGGTCCCGGATTTGGGAGAGGGATGTTTGGCGGTGGTGCACCAGGCCCCTTCCCACGAGGTGGCGGTCGGATATACGGCGACGACGGGATGCGTGGCGGTCGGCGAGGCGGCGCACCAGGCGGGTTCGGACATGGTGGTTATCCAAGGAGAGGAGGGTACTAGTGATTCCCCCCTCCGTCTATGTGTTTGGACCTACCTGGGGCTTGGGACCAGATTGAGGCAGCGAGCACCGTGCTCGCTATAGCCGTGGACCAGGTCCGGCCACACTACATTGTGCTGTGCTGTGATCTCTTTCCATCGGTGGTCCCAGTCCAGTCTTCGATTGTACTTGTACGATGGCGAAGAAAGGAAAAAGCAAAAGGAAGACCTCATCGGGCTCGGATTCGGATCATTCCCTTTCCTATTGACGGAAAGCCCAAAACTGCCATGTCTGCGGACCACACACCGCAGTGCAGAGCCCGTAACAACCTTGTGCCAGGTTATCCCGTCCAGGCAAATGAATGAACGGGTGGGAGGGCAGAAGAGAAGAGAGCGGGAAAAGAAAAACAAAAGCAAAAGATCCCGTAAACGACCAAGTGGAAACGAAATGCGGACGGACAAGATCTCCCTTGCGTGGTTGTGTGTGTGCGTGACTGTGACTTTATTACAACGCCCGTGAATGCAGTATCGTAGCATATCTTGTCTGTTTCCAGTGTCCCGCCCCTTCCCATCCCATCCGCCTCAGGTCAGCCCGTGACGCTTTTCGTCGTCCGTAGTATTCTTCCCTGAGTAGCCAATGTCTCGAGCTACGCCACCACCTTCCCTGAATGTGTGGTTATCAGGCAAGAAAGAATCCATTGTGCATGTTGATCAATCAAACAAAACATAAACGGAATCTAATCCCAGGTATCCGTCTCCCATGGAGCTCAAAGCCCTACTATTGCTCGTCAACTACCCGTGAAAACGCCTCGCTGACCGTTCCATTACACCCTATCCCATATTCCTGTCTGTCTCCTTGAAACGCAACCCAACCCTCGTATCATCAAGCATGACTTCCGCAACCACATAGACTCCTGCGTCTCGGACTGAGGGAAGGCGGCTCAATCACTCTTCAACATGCTCTCCACCAAATCCCCAAGAGGCCCCCAGTAATCCTTGCCCCCGCCCTTTTCGAGACCGTGTTCGTCCACGAATAGCACGAAGTGCTTGAAACTCGTGTTCAGGTGCGGCTCCAGCCCGAGGTGCACAATGACTTGATAATGGTGGCAATAGATGTGTGCGTACACGCGGTAGAGACGCTTGAAGAGTTGTCGTACGGTCGAGGGGAAATGTTTGGGGAAGGGGACGCCGATTCGGGAGGGGAAAGTGCTCTCGTTGTCGATATTCGACTGCACCCAGGTCATGAGATGTTCAATGTATTCCGGGGCTGGCATTTTAGTGGGCTTGGGGAAGCCGGTTGCGGCGTCTTGCCAAAGATATTCGAACCTACATGCAGTGTTAGAGGTCGCAAGTTGAGTGTTGCGGTAAAAGTGGCGCAAGATTCGCAAAAGATAGGGTCAACATACTCATCAGTGGCTTTCATCTCTGGGCAAGATTGTGGTGAGCAGAATTCTGTGATTGATCCATAAAGCAGGTTGATCTGATTGTAGAAATCGACCACTGTCATCCCATGGCACTTGTCAGCGACTCCTCTCTGCAAAATCTCTTATATGACCCTGGTTGGGAGGCATGCAACCTTACCGTTCACTGCGAGCCACTCGTTCAGATCTTCTCCCTCGGGCAATTTGACAGCCTTTCTCAGGCTGCCGCTTCCCAGGGTCGCTTCGGCGAATTGTCTCAGCTGATAGCTTGAGGTTCCCTTGTTGGTACGTTGCGGTTTGAACTGGCCTCGAGTGCGGGCATTGCTAGATGGTGAAGAACTTCGGTCAACATTGTTCGAGGAAGGGGAAGAAAACAGGCCCAGACGGAGGAGTTGGACGGCGCGGGAAGGCGTGCTGGGTGAAGCCGTGGCTGTGTTTGAAGCCTCCTTCTCTTCACTTTTGTCACACGAGGTGTAGGAATTGATGGTAACGCATGAAGAGGATTGTTTCAAGGTCAAATGAGGGGATAGAGGCTGTGGAGTGGGAGAGGAATTGAGAAACTCGTACATGGTGGTCAGAAATGAAGCCATGCGGGAGGATAGTGATGTGGTCTTCGACTGTGGGAGAGAATGCAGGTCAAATCTCTATCAGGACGCGGCGATATCTACTGCACATTCCAGGAGTCAGTGGTCAAAGTGTCCCGAAGATGTGAAGTTGTGTCTGGCGCCCTACTCACGGACAATCGAGCGACTGCCTTCCTTTCTTCAAGGCGCGGTCAATATGGACAAACAAAGTTGCTCGCGCAAGGATGCAACGAAGATGGAACAATTGTATGGTAGAAGTGTTTGCACAGGCTGAATTCGTTATGAAAGATCACGCCTGCGTCCATCATCATCATCATAAGAAGTCGGCAATCCTTCTTGCGGGAAACGACAATCGGAGGTGGAATCCCTTGGCGGCCAAGTAGCCACAGCAACAGGGAGAACTTCGGCATTTCAGCCTCACCATCAATCGAGGAATGCAATTAGTACGAGGTACAAGGAACGCAATGTCACTTCCATGTCGACACTGTAGACGCAGGAGCAGTGGATTATTGACCAATATGGAATTCTGTAGTCTGGCAGTTGGCCAAATGATGTCCTACCAGCTTCGAGCATTTGTACCTAAAAGTGACTTCCGGCTTTGCTCACGAGTCCCCATCGTATCCTTTTTCCTGCAAAGCAGTCCACGGTGGCTCCCTCTGCAGCCCAAGCCTATCCACATATACCTCGCATATGACATACACTTTGGTAAAAACAGACATACAGCGTGAAAGTGCCACGCAGGACCGCAAGTTCGCTAAACATCAGACCTAGATCCACCCGCTTGTCTCCACCATCGCTCACAACTTGGGCGACGTCATAATATCCTGCACAAGGCTGCGGACTTCACTCTCAAGCTCTTGGGTCTCCTTGTGTGGATCGTACATTTTATCCTTGATCCAGGCTTCCAATTGACTGTCGCTCATCTCGCGCAGATGGTGCAGACGGTCCACATTGTCTTTCTGTGCCGCCCGGATGACGTACAGCGCCACACGAGCACTAACATCTCGGATGCGTGTGATCGAGGGGTACATCAATGCTTGCGCCTTCTCCTCCTCGGTTATCATGGTCGGCAAAGCTTCGCCAGAAGCATAGATCATGTTGGGCGTGACCTGAACAGCCTTGGATAGAATGGTCCCCAGGCCAATGCCTGGGAACACGTACATGTTGTTGCCCTGTCCTCCATGGTACGTCTTATCCTTGTACACGACAGGATGGAATGGAGAGCCGGAAGCAAACAGTGCTCGGCCATCAGTATTGATGATCGCCTCCTCAAAAGTGCATTCCGACTTGGAGGATGGATTTGATAGTGGGAAGATGATCGGCCTATTGTTCCACTTGGCCATCTTCTGCAGGATTTCGGGGGTGAATGCACCTCCAATCGTGCTGAGACCCATGATAATGGTGGGCTTGACATATTCAAGCACGTCATCCAAGGTCTTGAACTGTTGTCCGTTGTTGTCCGTTCGTGAGAAGTAGATCTTGTGTTCAGCGAGCTTGTCACCTCGGTCCTGAGTTACAAGGCCTTTGCTATCGACAAGCCAGAAGCAAGATTTGGCCTCTTCCTCTGTCAGTCCCTCATGCATGAAGTAGTCCACAATCTGCTTAGCCACGCCAACGCCAGCTGAGCCCGAGCCCAGGAAGACTGCACGATGATCTTTGGGCGAGACACCAGACTCCTTGATGGCACCGATCATGCCTCCCATGATGACAGCCCCAGTACCTTGGATGTCGTCGTTGAACATGGCATAGTCTTGGCGGTAGCGCTCAAGGGAGGGAAATGGATTCTTCCAGTCTTCAAACTGGATGACAATATCAGGCCATCGCTCTTTCAGCGCGGCCATCAGCTCATCGAGGAACTCCTGCTCTTCCTCTGCAGTGACCTTGTCTCTTCGGCTGCCCATGTACAACGGATCTTCTCTTAGATCTTTGTTGCCGGTACCCAGATCGACGGTCAGAGGGAGAGTTCCCTCCGGTCTGATGCCTGCACAGCCAGTGTACAAAGCAAGCTTTCCAATGGGAATGCCCATGCCACCAACCCCCAAGTCACCCAGACCCAGGATGCGGGAGCCATCTGTAATGACGGTGATCTCAACATTGGATTGAGGCCAATTTTGGATGATAGCCGAAAGATGGCCTCGATCCTCGAAGCTGAGGTACATGCCCTCAGCCTGTTGATAGATTTGTGACCATTTCTGACACGCCTCTCCAACGGTGGGAGTGTAGACCAAAGGAGTCAACTCGGTGAAGTGATCAGTCAACAGACGGTAGAACAGGTGGACATTGTTGTGTCTGATCGTGCTCAGGTACAGAAATCTCTCCAGATCTGTAGGCTTCAGAGCCAATTGTGCCAAACATCTCTTCTTCTGAATCTCGTAACTCTCTGCACGAGGAGGAGTGAGACCATACGTCTGGAGGTACTTCCGGACTGGGACAGAAAGAGAGGTGTCAAAGTGAGCCGCCCGATTGGGGACATGAGCGGTTGCGTGAGTGTATGTGGGTCGATGGGTATGAGGAGTCTGAGGATTGGTGACTGAGGCTAGATTCCCAACGGTCTGGGCGATAGGTGCCTCGAGAGACGATGAAGTAGTCATGGTTGCAGAGTGCACGAGGCTGAAGAGGTTTGGCCTCGACTTTGAATATCTTGAGATGTTTGAGAGCATTCGGAGGGCACAGAAGGAAACCAAACACTTTATCAATGGTCCTCGGAGCAGAGACTCGACTCTCAAGTGCTTCTCGGGCCGGCACCAACGCACTGGGCAGACTGTAGCTTGGGGAACGGTTCGACGGGGTTCAAGTGGATTCGGAAGAGGCACGAGTACGAGTAGGAATTCTTATCTTCCACGAGGCCAAACATATAGAGAGGTGTCAGCCCAAGGGATAAACCGGGTGGAAAAAGGATTAAACAAAGAAAACGCGGCGGAGAGGGCCAAATAGTCACACCGGACTAGTTACGGATGGCGTACGAGTATCATCAACGTTTTGACGAGCCACCAATGTGGCAGTGGAGAATATGGGTGAAGAACGGAAGGAACGGACATGAGACGGCGAATCAGCCATGCGACTGGTACGGTGAGAGGGCTCTGTTCAATCTATTCGTCTTGAGGCGGTCAATTATTTGGTGAGCCAGAAGTTGTTGAACTTGGAGATCTCAACTTTTTTTTTGTTTTTGGATGAATCATAATGAGCTAGACAGGCGGACAGCCAATCCGATGGCGCAGTTTTCGGAGTGAGAAATGAGTTGGGTGAGTCAAAAGGCGCCGGATGGCCTACTGAAAGGGGCAAGGAGCTCTAAAATTCAAAGGGTCAAGGGGGGCGCCAGGGGTGCATAAGGCCCCTTAGCCCCCTGGGAGTAACCGGCGCCTCCCCTCCTTGGGCGCCCCTTCAGCGCCCGTCAGCCTCTGGGGGTTCCCAGCTGGCATCTGCCATTCCCCAATTGGACCCTTGCGGACCTCAGAGCCTGGTCTCGGCCTCCAAGGATGCTTCTCCGGCCACCGACTGGGGAAATAGCTCGCGGGCACCTACCAGTCCTCGTACGATAAACCCGTCAGCGGACATACGAGTACCGAGAAGCATGGTGATGGGGCCACCAGGCCCGAGATTACTCGTACTCTGTCCTATTCGCCCCGATTCAATTCCATGGCAGCCGTTGTTGTGGTCTGCGCAGTGTCGAGTATCATTCTGCGAGCTGTGAGCTTGTCAAAGGATATGCTGTTGAACCTTTCCGTCCGCTGCAGCTAGGAATAGTTCGTCGTTGTTCGTCCCAATGATCTGCTCGTACAAGGTCGGCAGATCTCCGTCCAATGGCCAATCTCTCACAATACGGTGTCGGAACATCATCATTTGCCATAATCTATTTCCAGATAAGGGACCACGGGGCCCATTTGCACGCGGTCTCGAAGCCCCGGGTGAGCATGGCGGTCTGCGAGCACTCCGAGTTCTCATCGTCGCTTGACCTTGTGACTCATTTAGCGCTCTGCAGGCTTCCCCAGACTCAAAAGTGCAATGTAGACCTAATCATAGATATTCGTGGGCTGGCCGCTTATGCAGGAGGTACATGGAAATGCGGAGAGAAATACGAAGGCTCGGAAAGTCCTGTGCTTGACAAGGCCAGGCTCGACGTTAACTAACCCGACGTGCAGCAACACCCCAGTCTCCAAGGTCCGAATATTCGCGAGGGGGAAGTTGGAGGAAATTTGGAGGAAATATTTACAAAAGGCGCCAATGTGACTGGCTAGCGATCGCATCAAGACTTGACGTACATGATTTGTCAATTCTGTGTAGAGTCATGACTACGATATACGAGAACCTACTCGTACAAGCTCTTGATATAGGGACGTACACCGTACTTTACGAATATCACCCGCTCGTTATCTCAGCAAGTCCAAAACCCCACGGCTTTACTCCTACATCTGTAGGTACACATATAGTGCTCGGTGTGCCCAGCATTGGGGAGATGAAGCTCGGCTCTAAATGCCAGAGGGTAGCTGTGGACAGTGTTGGAGATGAGAACTGCAAAGAAGCGCACAGGTGTTTATTGACAAAGTGTCTTTACATCGGGTCGATATTGTAGGTATCTATTTGGCAGCGCCGGTGATATCAAGCTCTCTTGTACAGAGGCGCGCACCAAAAGTATTATCAACGATAGTAATAGAATGACAAGCCGATCAAAAGACAACAGACTTTATTTTCGTTGCCCCTTACAGCGGCCTCCGAAGATATCGGAGCTCAATCCTCGGTACCTACAGCGCCTATCAAGACTGAAAATATAGACTAAGCTACCGCCTATTAGCTCTGATTTGTAGCTCGGAGATAGGTATGGGTGCCTATAAGCTCAGAAAATCTTCTGTTACAGTAAGTAACATTAGTCATTTAAATTAGCTCCTAACTGCAGGGCTGATGTTCCTGGCTTCACATGCCAGCAACAGCGATTGGTGGAAAGGCGGCACAGCTCTTCCGCGAGCTTGGCACGTTCACACGCAAATGTAGCGATGACGACGGTGCTCCAGGCTGCAACTCCGCAGTCTGAAACTTGGACCTTACCTCACGATTGCGTCTTGCATTGTGCAAGCTGGCAAGCTACTCCCCAAAGCCAGATGGCAGCGTCCTAATATTATTCCCTCCCTCTCTGAGACACTGAGCGACCGAGCCTGCGGGCACACCTTCGTCCTCCTCATCCTCACCTCAATCCGCTGTTATCATGTCCTTCCTCGCCCAATGCTGTGGCTTCGGCCGCAAACGAGGGGAAGATACCGATCCGTTGCTGCCTCGATATGAAGATGACACAAGTCGGCAACGAGCTCTCCACCAGAAGCTGCACACCTACCAGATGTTGAGAGCCCTTTCCAAAGGTTACATGCCCTCCACCGAGCAGACGATTGTCAACTTGCGAACCCTCCTCGCTGCAGACATCCTCAATCCAAACAACAAGGAGTTGAGCGACTCAGGCCGAGCTCTCATCCGGAATTGTCGAACGTGGCTTAAGTTGTTCATTGAAATATTAAGAACTAAGAATGACCAAGACCAGATTCAAGACTTCCTCTGGTATACAACAAAGTCTCGAATCTCCTTGGATGTTGACGACATTTCTTATTCGGCGTCCAGAGTTAAGGCTAGGGCGGATGCTCGGGCTGCTTATGAGAGCTTCCGCACCGTCGGCGGTCTACTTCTCACCAATGCCGATTTCAGATTGTTCGTCAACGATGTCGCCACAATAGGAAGAGAGGTTCTGGCAGATACTGCGTTCTCGTTGTCTTCGGCAGCCGAGAAGGCTGGTAAACAGCTCGAGCTCTCGGAACAGGAACAACAGGCCGTCGCGAAGCCTGGAGCCGACGAGGGTAACCTGCCGTCCAAGCAGGAATTGGAGCAAAATGCGGAAGAGACATCGAAGGTGATTGGGTCTGAGGTAGCAAAAGTTGGAAAGGATGCGATTGAGAGTGCCAAAGAGAACTTCAGTGGTTCGCAAAAAGACACCCTGTTGTACCGTCTGAAGCAGGCAATTCTCAGACTTAGGACTCGCACCGACTATCATGACTCGGTGTCGACCATCTCAAAATTGATACAACGCTATGCTATTGCGTACTCGCGAGTTGCAGATACCGCCGTCGCTGCAGCACAAGAAGATATCCACACTAACCCAGCCCTGGACCGTGCTGTGCACAACTTCTGGAGCTTTTTGAGCAGCTTCGGTGACCCCAACGCGTGGAAGGAGTTGGAGCAGGACTTCAACAAGGTCATGAGCCACGCTAAATCAGACCCCCAGTTTGAGAACTTCATGGTCGAAGTGGGTAACGTCGTGCAGCGAATGTTCACTGATCCGGAATTCTTCGACAATGTGGACCAAAAGCTCGAAGAGCTCAAGGAGAAGTCTTCTAAACTAGGCACCGAGTCCGAGTTTAGAACAGATTTCGACAAAATGCTGAGACAAGCACAGGTCACCATAACCTCTGTGATGGAAGACAAGGACGTCAATGGACTGCTGCTGGCGACAAAGCGGATTTACACCATTCTGACACCTCCAAATAAGGTCACCAACCCCGACCTGATCACCGATGCTATCCACATTTTTCTGCCTCTCCTCATCCGGAGCGTTCAATACATTCCCATTCCTCGGGTGGAGGTTAGTGTTCCGGAAATGGACCTTCTGCTCGAAAATCTTGTGCTTGAGCCCGGTCGAAACGTCAACTCGACCTCTTTCCTTCCCTACCGTCTTCTAGTCTCGACCAAGAACGATCTAGAAATTCGCAAGACGCACTCAAGGAAAACTGTCTCTAGCACCAAGTCCCTCGTCACCATCTCCATCAATGGGCTCAGTGTCGCGGCTCAAGATCTAGGCTTTTGGATCCGCGGCCACGCTGGTCTCATCCACTTTGCCGATGAAGGGATTGCGAGCTTCTATCTTGACGAGCGCGGTATCGACATCTCTCTGGACCTAGAAATCGGTCGTGAGAAGCTCGAACAAATTCTCACTCTGCGAGGTGTCAGAGTCCACATTCACAAGCTTGATTATGACCTCCGCCAGTCAAAGTTATCCTGGCTAGGTTGGTTATTCAAACCCTTGCTGAAACATCTGGTCAGACGTTCGCTGGAAAAGGCACTTGCCGAGAACATCGTCAAGGCCTTGCGCGCCGCGAATCGTGAGCTTGTTTTTGCGCGAGAACGACTACGTGCAACACGCATTGCAGATCCCCAGGACGTCGTCACATTCTTGAAGGCCGTCATGGCGAGGCTGACGCCAGAAGAAGACCCAGATCTGTACACGAGAGTTGGCGTGGACGCTCCAAAGCAGGGCGTTTTCCGAGGGGTATATACACCTGGAAGCATCGTCAAACTGTGGCACGAGGAAGCACTGAGGGCCGAGGAGGCTGTACAGGATGGGGAGGAGAGGGGTGGTGGGTGGAGGAACGACATTTTCGATACCCCCGTTTTATAAGTCAAAATTGTCGCCGACGGGGCTTGTGTCTTTTGCCCTTGTTGTGGTATCCCAAGGATTTCTACTTGTGGAGGGAATCGTATGGTCTTTTCCAGGCTCGGGATGTTGTCTGAGGGCTTGTCATGTGATAACGTGTATTGTTCTGACGGCGGTGGTGTAGATTGGCCGACCAACATAATGCTACGCAATTGTTTCCTCGTCCAACCACATCACACATTCACTCTAAAACATTTGACGAGTGCGACTGCCCTATAGTCTACAGCTTCCAGTTGCCTGTCTATCCCCAGCCGAGGTTGTTCATGTACTGACCGCTAATTGGCATAGACCCCCTGGACGATACTGCGGGCGCTCCGCCAGTTGGAGCGAAAGCTACCAATCCAGAGGCTCATATTCAGAGATTCAGAGGCCGAGTCCACTCTCTCCCTGGGAGTTCCTGCAGAATACAAGACCCCGCGTCGCAGCCACACCTCATTGCCGACTTCGCTAGGATCCCTGGGTCTGATGGTATGCTAGCGTGAGGAGTTGAGAAATGACGATGCAACTGCATGCCGACTTCCGTGTTCAGGAGGAGGAACAGCTTGGAGTTGCGTAGTCTTGAGGTTAGGCTGGTATCTGTGGATGGGATAAAGACCGGAGCAATGCTCCATGGTGTACTTCCATCCTTGAACGGACACATACGTGGAGAGCTGCAAGGAGGTACAAAATGCTGGCAAACACCCGCATACTCCTCTCGATCTGCCTACTTCGGTGTGCGCTGCTAGGACAAGCGCAGGCCTCTGGATCACCGTGTCCGGCTCAAGGTGCCACAGAATGGAGTCTAGAGGTACGACAACTGCTCATCCGTCGACCTTACGCAAAGTTGCATCTATTGACATGATCAAACATAGTATGGCATTCCCCTGCTCGCCTATGAAAAAGGCTTCAATGGGCTCTTGAAAGCTGGCCTAGGAGCAAACCAGCTGGCTCCAAGCTCTACATTGGCCACTCCCCAGTCTACAGCAGTCGTCAAACCGAATCGAGACACCCTCTATGCCAGTGTCTTCTACGATTTGTCCAAGCAGGACCTGGTGGTGGATGTTCCAGAGGTTGACGACCGCTATTATGCCGTTGCTTTCTACACACCGTACGTCGGGGCTCCCCGTCATTGCTGCTTGCTGATGAAATCTTCTTAGATACGGGGACAACTATATCAACTTGGGCCCTGTGGGAGGCAACCCAGCTGGAAAGTATCTCCTGACCCTCGCACCGTCCAGCAGTGCTATGGGGACTTTCTCGACGTCCAGCAACGATGGCTATATGGGCACCGTGCACTCTCCCACCACATTTGGGATTATTCTGTATCGAATTGTTGTCAAGAACGCAACCAGCGACTTGTCTGTCGTGAGCGATATCCTCAAAGACTATAACATTGCAGTGGTATCTCGCAATGGATCGGCGGTTGGTCCGGCGCTCGACAGTGCCATATTCGCAGTCCTCCCACGCTCCACGGCGGAGAGTGTGATGGAGTTGAACACACGGTTCCAGGCCGTCTCGCCTTACAATGCCTCTGGCAGCGAGTCCCCTCCCACCACATCCAACTTCACCCAGGCTGGTATCTCAGGCGGCACATACACAGCCTCAAGCTGCGTCAATCTAACCTCGGCATGGTTGGCAGCCCAAACTGCGATCCAGTCATTTCCTCAAGCGAACGGGAGCGTGCTGGACATGGGTAATGGGTGGACCATCAACAGTCCACAATACTCTGGTGTCTATGGTGACAACATAGTGGCTCGCGCCTATATTGCCCAATTTGGTTATCTGATGCTTCAGCCTGCACAAGCCATTTATCCGACTTTTGCAGGAAACCTCAGCCTGGGGGCCAATGAATCGTACATTCTGAGATTCTCTGGTAAACCACCGCTGACGAAGCTCGGGTTTTGGAGCGCCACCATGTACAATGCCGCTGGCTATCTCGTGGACAATCCTATCAACAGATATTCTCTCGGCGATCGTGATAACCTGACCTATTCTGATGGCACTCCTGTGTACGGACCAGGCAGTGTCGCCGCGGTGGACAAGCCCTTTGACATCCTCGTCCAGGCCGCGCAGCCACCGAGCAACTGGACGTCCAACTGGTTACCTTCGCCTCCAGAAGCAGGTCCTTTTGTCCTCTTGCTTCGGTGGTATGTGCCTGCGCCGGGACTCTCGGACGGAAGCTATATCTATCCCCTCGTGACGAAAGGAGGCGCTGTTACCGGAAACCTGGAGTCACAGCCTTCGCCAACTCCAGCTATCTCATCGTCTGCGGCAGGCCCATCGGCTTCTGAAACAGTTTCTGCCAGCGGTTCTGCGGCCTCGTCTTCAGGTTCGCCATCATCGGCTGCCGCACATCGACTGAATCCCTTGGCGAGGCGGCCTGGGCAGAGTGGGAAGGTATGGCAGGTTTTGGGGCTTCTTGTCGGAATAGGATATCCTGTTCTGCTACTCTGATAAGGGTGGTAGGACTGAGCGAATCTCCTGAAGGCTGTCGAGTGTTGAAGTCATTACGCAGTTGACACAAGTGCAGTATCGTGCGTCTCGCACTCTCGTTTGCTAACAAAGGGAAATCGAGGGCCCAGAAGGATTGCTGACACGCTACCGTTGGAGTGGCGGGCCTGGACTGTGTTCGTGCGCACCTGCTGGATTGGTGTCGATGAACCCCACGATGAGCCCTGTGCGGCGACAATCCGAAGGCATGTTTCTGCGCCCGTGGGATCGGCGGGATCCTGCCTTGACGCCTCGGGCCTTGGAGCTATCACGGTCGTTTTGCAAAGAGAGCAAGCTTAATGAGACGGTAGAGAGTAGAGAGTGAGAACAGCAATGCTTGTGCAGCCAATTATCGACTTGGCGCATGAGGTTCGACAAAAGTTTTTCATGTGGTTCATCTTCCGCGTGCTTCAAGCCCACAAGCCCTGTCTATCTTGATACTAACTTAAGCTTATTAACCCTGTTGCCCATGGTCCTTACAGTCCTTACCGTTACTCGCTACTCGCTACTCGCTACTCGTACGAGGAACATACATGAGATCTGAGACGTCCACCAGAGCCACAGCTGGTGACGGGCCTATCTACAACCAATCACCAACCATCAGCCTATCTTCCTGTCACTCCCTCCACGGCTCTGACTGTTTATATTTGATATTCCCTTCATGAAAGATACGCGTCATGGTATCAGCATGGTCCATGTCTATCTCCAGCTTCCCTCTTGGGACACGAGCTCTGATTCCAGCCTGGTGGCTCCCCAGATCCTTATCGACCAGCTTCCTGTTAGGTGCGATGCATTTTTGTCCCTCGCATATTATGGCTCCAGTTCCCTGTACCACCTGTACCGCTTGTCTCTAGCGAGGTCACCGGCCCCTTATTACTCACTCGTCACCCCTCTAGTGCAACTCTTCCATGCTTCTTCTAACGAGAGACAGGAAGGACGGAAGATATCCTGCATGTATTGAGGCCCTGACGATATACGCTTTATTCGAGAGAAAATGGACGACGTCAAGGAGGAGAAACCGACAGAGAATCCCGAAGGTCCCCTGGCGTCTGGCGAGCAACAGGTTGTGATATCCTTGGACGGGGAGGTTCTCAACGCATCTGGCCACGTGGACCAGCTGAACCGCCAATATGGTCTATTGAGTATCTTGGGTCTTGCAATGACGGTCGACAATGCATGGGTCGCCCTGGGAACATCGCTCGCCGTCTCGATCTACAATGGAGGTGCTCCCGGAGTGATATGGGAGCTGTGGGTTGCGGCCTTCTACTACAGCTTCATCAACGCCTCCATCGCCGAACTCGCGTCCTCGGTGCCTTCTTCTGGAGGCGTCTATCACTGGGCGACCATCACCGCAGGGCCCAAATGGGGCCGTCCCATGGGGTTCTTTGCCGGTTCTCTGAACTATTTCGGCTGGTTGTTTGACCTGGCGTCCATTTCATACATCATGTCGGAACTGTGCGTTCAGATGTACTTTCTGTACCATCCAGACTATGTGATTCAGCCCTGGAATCTGTTCGTGGGCTTGGTGTGCATCATTGTGTTGTGTCTGACCGTCACCATCTTTTTCAACAACACGCTGGCTTATCTTCAGCACTTTGGCCTGTTCATTGTCACGGTGGGCGGCATCGTCACCATCATTGTCCTCGCGGGCATGCCATCTCGCCACGCGTCCAACAGATTTGTCTGGACCGACTTCCAGAACAACACGGGCTGGAGCGGCGGAGTGGCTTTCTTGACCGGTGTTCTCAACGGGGCTTTCACCATCGGCACGGCCGACGGGGTGACACACATGGCTGAAGAACTGCCCAATCCCAAACGTGACCTACCCAAGGCGATCTTCGCCCAGATCGGCCTCGGGTTCCTGTATGCGTGGTGCTTCGCCATCGCGCTCTTCTACGGCGTCAACGACCTCACGGCCGTGCAGAACAGCAACGGCTCATTCCCACTGGCGCAGGCCTACTCGCAAGCGACGGGCAGCCGGGCGGCGACGTTCGGCCTCCTCTTCATCATCTTCCTGTCCCTCGTGCCGTGCCTGATCGGGACGTTTCTGACTGTCGGACGCACCTGGTGGGCGCTCGCCCGCGACAATGCCACCCCGTTCTCGGGCTTCTTCTCGCGCGTGAACGAGAGACTGAGCTGTCCCATCGAAGCCACCCTCCTGACGGGGCTGCTGACCATCGGCCTCTGCGCAATCACCCTCGGCAGCAAGACGGCCTTCAACGACCTGGCCGGCTCCTTTGTCGTGCTCAGCAGCGTCTCGTACGTCGTCACCATCCTCCCCAACATCGTCACCCGCAGGAAGTACATGCCCGTGGGGCCGTTCACCCTGGGCAGGTTCGGGTACCTGATCAACGGGCTCGCGGTGGTTTTTATCATTTTCTTCGACACCTTTTATTGTTTTCCTGTAAGTTTCCATCTCTCCACCACTGCTCCATGGCCCTCGACCTACGCAGAGCCTTGTTCCCCTCGACCTCGGCTCGCCTTTCCTCTCCTCCTCCCTCCTCTCCCTCCCTCTTTCCCTCCCGCTCTTATAGATCCTTTCGTTATTTCCTCCATTTCTTCCGCTCATGCATTAATTTTTTTTTAACCTTGCAGTACGCCCTCCCCACGACCACCGCCACCATGAACTACAACTCGGTCATCCTGGTCGGGGTCGTCGCCCTCACGACATTTTGGTGGTTCGTCCACGCCGTGCGCAAATACGACGGGCCCAACGTGGGCAAGATGATCCAGGCGAATCTCATGGAGGCGAGGCGGGCGTCAAAGGTTTAGATCTTGGAGAGTAGATAGATGGAATAATAGAGGTGTGTGTGTGTGTGTGTGTGTGTGTGTGTGTGTGTTAAAATATCAAATGGCAAATGGGCAATTGTCAAATGTCAAATTTCGAGGTTGTGGTCTGTAGACCTACACCCCCTTCGTTTCCCTTCCCTTCGCCTATAAAAGTACGCAAGTATAGACGCTGAATGAAGAACGAACATTCGGCGTCCAGTCAGGCTTGAGATTCTCTCTTTTTTTTTCCGCGGTCGCTTGGACTTGAGGGTTCCTCAGAGGGGAGGGAGAAATACACACAGCACGTACATATATTCTTACCATGTCATCTGTTGTGTTGTTGTGCATTAAGTAGCCAGGAGCAGCGACAGAGTCATGTTACAGTGTCGGTCATCGTGTTAAGCAATGGGGGGCCGCGGGACGGCACTGGGCGAACCCAAGCGTTCAAGAGTGCCTAGGCACTAGGTATCTGCACCAGGCAATATATGCGTCACGGGAGATATCGACGTACAGAGATGCAACTAAGTGAGTACAAGAATTCAGATATTGGTAGTTGCAGTCTCTCGCATTGTTTTAAGTTTCTTCATTTGGTGTTTTATGGGTTATCGCCATCGGTTTGTTTTTGGAAAGGTAAATAGAGCCAGCAACACGAGGTCTAAGTGCTCGGTAACCATGCCATCTCCATCGTCCATCGTCAGAGGATATTAGGAAAGATCTTGCAGCCCACATATGCCTCCAATTTATCCGGAGTTCAGGATCGGGCTGTACGTCCTTCGCTCAACAACCCCCATACATCACATATAGATGCTGCTAAGGTCCATCGACTTGAAACTTATCAACCGCAGCAGATGTCCTACTTGGGGGTCTTTGTCTGCCCCGGGTGAGGATCGATATCACTCCCCTTGGTCGGGTGAATGCTTTCTGGGAGCGCCTTCTCCAATGCTTCTGGAGCGGCTTTTTGGACAAATTCGGGGACGACACTCGGACCCGTGGCGTGGCTCTTGAAGCTGGTGTCTTCGTTGTGTGGATCAATACTGCTGCCTTTGGTAGGGTGCACGCTCTCGGGGAGAGTCTTTTCTAGACCCTCTGGCGCCGCTCGTTGTACGGGGTCGGGCACGACGCTGTCGCCAGTGGCATGACTCTTGCCATCAACTATCCTTCGCGTCAGCCTTGGGGATAATGTCAAACGTGAATTACCAGTGACATACCTGGATTGTTGTTGTTGCCTGCCGCCTGGCGTGGGCTGCTGGCGACGAGTGTCCGGCTCAGCAACCTGGTGCCATTCGCGCGAGGAACGAAACGTTGTAGAAGTTGGATTCGCTGCATGTTTGCAGTTTTTGTATGTGTTGTAGAGGAAGATCTTGGAAACAGATCTACTGGCCACGACCAACCATTGAAATCTCAGGAGCTCTATATACTCCGGTATTGGTGCCTCGCAGCAAAGTCATGACATCAATTCGTGGAGTGGTGAATCATCAAACCTAATTCGAATCTGCGCCATCTGTCCCCAGGCATTGCATCTCGATGATAGATCGACTGTGGACTCCTTCTGGCGAGAAACGGACCAATTCAGAGTAAATGGTCCGTAGGCAGTGGTACGGGGGGTCGATCACCGATTGATGACCTTTCTCTCCATGAAACTGGGTGTTGGTCACTGGGTCTGTCACTGATTGATCAGGACATCCCGCCACTGCCCTTACCTTGGTTCGACAAACATGAAGCATCCGTGCAGACTTACATGCAGCGAGTACAGAGGACAGGACAGCAGTTTGTTCCCCTAACATTGATGGAAAGGCGTCTCGGCGTCGACAAGTCTTGAGTAGGTGGACATGCGTGGACATGATGGGTGGATGTCCGGGTAAACATCGGGTCCTCAACTCTCCATTTACGCGGAAGCAACAATTTTTGAGCGACACCATCCCTTTTAACAGATCAAGTCAGAGGGTATACTCTTCCGTTGTCGTCGATGCTTTATGGTCTTCGCTCCTCGAGACTTCTGTACAACCCATGTCGACGAACTCCCAGTGGCCTTGCACCCCGGCGCAGCCTCCTTACCCTTGCGATTGAGTCCTCTTGCGACGACACCTGCGTCGCCATCCTTTCAAAATGTACAACAACAAATAGGCCGCGCCGGGTGAAGGCACAGCTGCTCTACAATAAAAAGATCACCGCCAAAAACACCGGGAAAGGAGGCATCCTCCCCACCGAGGCACTAGAGAGTCACCAATCGAACCTCTCGAAATTGCTGGAGGATGCGGTCCTGTCTTTACCGACCGCCAACGATGCACTCCCCGATGCAAAGAGAACATGGCTTCGAGATGGCACGCCGAAGCAAAAACCAGACTTCATCTCGGTAACGAGGGGTCCCGGAATGTCAGCGAACCTTGGGGTTGGGTTGGCTACGGCCAAAGGCATCGCGACAGCATGGCAGATACCAATGGTCGGTGTTCACCACATGCAAGCCCACGCTTTGACACCAAGGCTTGTTCATGCAATGTCTGGAGAAGACCCTCTCAAACAGACTTCTCCAACACCAACGTTTCCGTTCCTGACATTGTTGGTCAGTGGTGGGCACACAATGCTGCTCTATTCAAAGGGCCTGGTCGACCACAAGATCTTGGCTACAACTACCGACACAGCCGTGGGTGACGAGCTGGACAAGTGTGGACGCCTCATCCTTCCTCAAGAGCTGCAGCAGAGCACTCCGGATACTGCCTTTGGGAAATATCTTTCAAGATACGCCTTCAAGGACCCGGAAGAATTCAAGTCCTGGCGCGTGCCGCAAACACGCGTCGAAGAGCTCAATAAGCCATCGAATAAGTTTGGATGGAGCCTTACGACCCCGATGTCCCAGAACAGGGATTTGGCCTTTAGTTTCTCAGGCATTGCGAGCCAGGTCAAGAGGCGTGCCCTCGCAAGTGGAGCCGAGACTGGCCATTTGACGGAGGAAGAGAGGGTTTTATTGGCCAGGTCTGCCCTGGGCACAGCCTTTGAACATCTGGGATCGCGAACCATCATTGCATTGGAGAAGCTCCGTGCAGAAGGTGTTGAGATTCCCACTTTGGTGGTGAGCGGAGGCGTGGCGGCGAACGACTTCTTACGCTACTATCTACGAAGACTTTTGGATTTGCGTTCTTTCGAGCGGATGGCCCTGGTCTTTCCACCTGTCGATCTCTGCACGGACAATGCGGCGATGATTGGATGGGCGGGCATTGAGATGTTCGAGGCTGGCTATACAACTGATACGAGCTGCGCACCCGTGAAGAAATGGACAATGGACAGCCAAGGGCCTGACGGGGGAATTTTGGGGATTGGAGGCTGGGTGACAAGCTAGCCATGTGCAGCAAGCAGATTCAAACAGATCGCTGTTTCGACAAGATAAGGCTGGCATCCTGGCTTCTACGCGAAGAACATTGGAAACACGACAGAGTCCTCGTAAGAGTCCTCGTAACTTCGTATATTATTCCTGCCACGCAAGACCAATCCTTTCCGAGGCTACGACCATCCGCAATGATCAGGTGATAGCGTGGTTGTGACAGCACGCTTCCAGAGGCTCAAATTTCGGAATGAAAGATATTGTGATTGGACCAAAATACGAGGCCTTGCAGCAAGGAGGGTGACAATCCGTGAGTCACTCTGCTTGTCCTCACCCTGAACAGGAATGCTTGTTTGGTCTTCTGGGACAGGCTTTCCGGTTGTGGGGATTGAGTAAGTACCGAGTAGTGGGACAACAGCTCTTGTTCGACTCGACCTTTCTCCTCCAGGTAGGGCCTCCCACGGTGCCAATCTTTCCGTACCTTTTGGAGGGTTACAAAAATGCCCTTTGGTGCTAGTTCGTTTAGAGAGACATGCGTCATGAACACACGGGAGGCCTGAAGTGCCTTGCATCCGGTGCATGTCAGCCAATCACCGACGTCCAAGGCGTATTTTTGCTGCATTCACCGGTCGGCACGGTTCCTGTCGAGTTGAGTCCTGTGTGGACTCGCACCAAGTGATCCAGGAACGTATGGATATCAATGGCCGAAAAGTGGACAGAGTGGCGACTTTCACCAAAAGTCCATGTGGGATTGATTGATGTTATCCGTACGAGGTACGAGGTACTTGTTCCAGTAGCGCGAGGGGAATAAATTTCTGAGGCCTTTTAATGGTCGTGTCGAAGCTTGAATTTCTGCACTGCCACAGCCGCTCACTCCTTTGCCTTTTCTTCCTTTTTGCTGTCTTAAGCCATTGCGGATCTCTCCGCAGGGCATTTCCTTTCGAGTGGGAATTGGAAAAAAAGGAGTGGCATGTCAGAAGCGCCATTGAGATTTCATTGTCGAGAGTTTTACCATCCTTACCTCCTCGCCTCGTACTTGTAGATGCAACGGGGTTGAACGGGTTGATTTCACGCCGAGTCCGTGTCTTGGCAGGGCTGACTTTTGGTCATGAACTGATTAGATAAGCGATGGCGTGAGCTGCCAATATGTCATCGTCATACAAGCACAAGTCCTTGTAGAAGAGGGCTTGGATACTTGAGTCGCAGCAAGGGACTGGATTCCCGTAGGTCGTTTCCCTAGAGGCTCTTCACGCTGCATGTGGCTCCATTCCTTTTGCAGCATGAAAGTAACAGATATCCTGGTCCAACTTGCAGGGCACACAGACGGACTTGTGAGGGACTACCTGAGTAGGAGACGGGGATTGGATGCAGGGCGGATCATGGGCAATAGTTACGGCCGATGGACAGGGATGCTAAAGACCGAGACGCGGATGACCAAGGGCACCCTCAGGGCCCGTTAGCCCAGGAGCTTAATAGCGAGTGCCTGTACAAGCCGCCCAAAGCACACCACCGGGGCACAGCGCGTGCCCGCGCCACACTGGAAGGGTAGGGAAGCGAATAGAGCCCCCTTCAGCTTACCCAATAACATCCAAAGAGGTGGATGACCCCTGGTCGTGCCAAGCAGGCAACAGCGAACTTGAGATTCAAACATCATCAGCGCAACGGGCTTCACTTCGACTCACACTTCTTCCTCTCAATCGCGACCTCATTTTGCCCTGACTCCCTTTCTCCTCCCCTTCCTCCTAACCAAAGCCTCCAACTCGGCTACGATTCAGGATAACCACCAGGACTTGCCACCTTGGCCTCAGGTTATTCCCCCTCCATCATCCGAGACCCCCTCTATCTCACTTCGATCTCAAACCTCACTTCATTCCCGTTGTGCTCAATTGCACTTTTGCGTCTTTGTAAAAGGACACCTGTGCAGTCCTTGCAGTCCTCCCGTATCCCCTCTGAACCCCAACTAGGTCCCACCAACGGTGTGGCTGTACTTCGCCTGTCCGCTCCTTCCGAGACCATCGAACGATCGGGGTATATACCTGGTTCACAGTGTGTATCACGCTTTTGACCTGCGCCCGGGTTAAGAGGCCACATTGTATGAGAACGTACCCCACGAACTAGACGGGAAAGGCGTTCTCCCTGTCGGATATCATTGGCACCAACTGGAAAAGAAGGATTCACAACACGCCCACTGTGAGTAAAAGGCGACTTTCGATTTCCACACGTCTTCAGTCTTCGCTTTATATCTTTTGAGGGGTTATCTGGCACGGGTGAGTCATAGCAACGGAGAATGATCCAAGTCGACCAATCGACCGCGTGCTAAACTTGGGGCTAGCACTTCTGCGAGTCATCTGCATCTTCTCCTCGCCTTTGGTACATCCAGTCTTTTACATATACCAAGCATGGCGTCCTCCTCCACCATGCCTCCCCCTCCCACTCCATTTGCTCATCGCCGCACTCCTCGACTCATCACCAAAGGCCTTACTGCATCTTCTCCCACCTCGACAGAGTCATCAGCATGCATCTTGCATAAGATGTCCCTGTCCAAGGGCGCGACTTTCCACTCTTCATCCTCGCCTGCCACTGAGGATGATCCAGTGCTCAGCATCCCTCACCTGACTCGTCGCTCTCCGACATGCTCTCAATCGACTCTCACTAGTTGGCTCTCCGAAAAGGAAGACGTTGCTCAGTCCATCGCCGACTTTGAACAAACCTTCTCTGGTGCTCGCGGCAAGAAGATATCCAGTCGTCGTCGCTCCACCCAGTCGCTTGACCAACAAGTCTGGGTTCGCCGCGTCACGTTACCCTCCGACGAAGGGTTGGGTTCATCCATCAGCCCAGCAAGTGACAAAGGTCTCGCCAAGTCATTCGAAAGAGCGTTGGATTTGTTGTCGAACAAGGACAGTGGGCTGGGTACTTCCATCAGTGACTCAGCCGAGAAAGTCGCGGGAAATACTTCCGAAGACGACAGTCTTGCACAAGCAGTTCAAGGTTGGATTGCCCGATGCATGTTGATGTGTGAAGACAGTGTTAACCAAGCTCGTGCAGTAGCTGACTCTCCAGACACGACTACTCGACGCACTAGGCAACGAGGCAGTCCCGCTCCATCTAGGACTTGCAGCACCGTTACCCGATCCGCAGTCACGCAGAGCATTGCTCCGCCTACTTCTCGACCTACTTTGCGTCACCCCGCACTGAGTCCTTCGGCTCGAAAGAAGATCAAGGACTATATCATCACCCCTATCCTCCGAGAAGATCGATTCGAGGACTTCCATCCTCTTGTCACTGCTCTTGGATCCAAGAACAACAAGGCCGTTAAATGCTTGCGCGACCTTGAACAAAGCCTCATCTTTCAGCCACTGGTAAGCACCCTCACCGTCACCCGCTTGACAGCATCTGACGTCGATTGCAAGACACTTGCCATCTCAAGGCAACTGTACCGCCTCTTTGGCGAGTTCACGATCCAGCTTGTTGTCGATACCTACCAACATCTTGCTGAGTCTGATCAACGACGTGCCGCCGACCGTCCATACAACAACGGTTACTTCCTTGACCTGGTCCAACAGGTCAACCGACTAGCTGCACACATCGGCTCTTCCAGTCGCGCTCAGCAGGCAGGCACTGCTGAGGAAAACGACGACATGGCTTACTCCATCGATGACGAGGTTACCCTGGAGGGTGGTCTTGGGGAAACTGGCAACGAGGCCGAGCTCGTTCGCTGGAAGAATGGCAAGGGCTACTCTCTGCGGACTGGTCTGCCTTATGTGCCCAGTCCAGGCGTCAAAAGAGCTAGCAGTGAAGCTCTTGATGAAGACGTGGCAAGGTCCATGGCTCGCAGAAAGAAGGGCTACATCCCCGAAATTGTTGAGATGAAATGCTCCGACCCTACCTGTGACAAGATCTTCAACCGCAAGTGTGACCTGGCCAAGCACGAGAAGACGCATTCTCGTCCTTTTAAATGTCCCGAGGCGAGCTGCAAGTACCATGAGCTTGGACTTCCAACGGAGAAGGAACGGGAGCGACACATCAATGACCGTCATTCCAAAAACCCTGTCTTCTATAAGTGCGAGTTCTGTGAGTTCCGTACCAAGCGTGAGAGCAACTGCAAGCAGCATCAGGAGAAGAAGCATGGTTGGCACTATGAACGTGCCAAGGGCAAAGACAAGGTCATGACCAAAATGACACCGGCTCAGACTCCACGCACTCCAAGTATGGATTACTCCCCCAGCCCAGCTGTTTCTATCAGAACCTGGGACGACACCAGCTCTATTGCGGGAAGCATCGCTGGAAGCATGCCAGGCAGCTCTTCCATGACGCCATTTGAGCAGCCGATCAACGCTTTCGACAATTTCAACGGCACACCGGTTACATATTCGAACCCGATCTTCCCGCGAAACCCTCCTGCTGCCCCTTACAACCCAGCGGGTGATGATTTCGACTTCAACGCTCCTTTCCAGGCCGCCTATCAGCCCGCTCAGTATCCTAACCTGATGACCACACCCATCACACCAACTTACAGCAACATCACCGAGCCATCTCCATACAATACAGCCATGGATATCACCGTGGACTGCAACAACCAGACTTCCTGGAACCAGGGGCTGCCGACACCAAGCTCCTACTTCCAGCCGACCTCTCGCAATCCGTCCATCTCGGAGCATTCTCCCATGATTGCTGGTTCTTCTGGACAGTCATTCAACGATGCCCCGTTGATTGTCTCGGACTCGGAGTTTCAGAGTGACTTCTCCCTCTTTGGAGGTGAAAGTAGCAATGCCTTCTCCAACCCCGCCGCCGCCACGGCAACTTTGTTCCCAGGTGGTCCTGAGGCCTTTGCTACTCTCGACAACGACCCAATGTTCGATTCTGTCTGGAACGACAGCGATTTCATCGACTATGACATGAATAATTAGACGTCACTGGGAAAGATCCCAATCCCCTTGAGGATTGCAGGGGCGAAAGCGGCCAAAGGGCACTACCCGCCGCCATGTACACTTTAGCAAGTTTTTGCGGAGCGAGCTTTTGTTTTTATTGAAGGACTTTTTTTCACTACCAACTCCACCCATCGACAAACCCACAAAAAAAAGATGCCGGTGTTGAGACACAGGAGTGAAGCGAGCTGGAAGGTTGACGACTTGAATAATTGATGACGACGTGATGATACCGGTCCAGTTCTCTTTTCCTTGTTCACTTCTCTTCCTGTGGACTGGGAGGTACTGGAGATTCGAGACTGGATACGAAGCAATGGGGTTGGCGGACATGAAAGCCAATGCTCATGATTGCGAGGAGAAGGTTAAAAGGGAAAGACTGCTTCAATCAATCCACATTTTCTGCTGGTTTCATGACATGATTCAATAGCTCTTGTTTGGCTATGGAGAATGGGGGAATCGGCCAACTATGACATTGATACAAGATACAGAATACAAATTCATCTCCTTGCAATTCAGTTTTTTCTTTGACACTTGATTTTGTCCATATTCCTGCATCGGGTTGATGTAGTGGTCAAGTCTCATTGGTGGACACGGCGCCGCCGTCTGAAGGAACTGACCTCGTATACTTGCCTGAGTTGATCTGCCCTGGGCGTGCATTTATTGTTTTCGCTGGAGACCTCTGACACTCCCGAACGTACGGGGTGAGGTATACACTGTTTATTGGCAGAGGGCATGAACAGGATGAAAGCGCAGTACTGAATCATACTCGGCGTTCTGTGTCTGTGCCTGTCCTGGGTATAGGGTTACGTCTTTATGGTATATACATACATTGGTACATTCATCATTCACACATACACACACATTGTTAACTCGTGCTTGTACTCGTCCTCGTATTCGTTCTCGAATATCACTAAAATCCTCGGTGAACTCGATCCCCGTTAACTAGGTACCGGGCAAGCCGGAACTGAGACATGCACTGTTTCTCCCTCCTCACTTTGACAAAAGGGGAAGAACAGAGCATGGAATAATAGGGGGAGAGGGAGGGGGCGGTGGGGGGATGATTGAGTTTTGTTTGCCTTGTTTGCCATCCGCGTCCCTGGACAGCTGGGCACCTGGGCACATCTTGGCATCTGGGCAACGGGCGCGGGACGGTGACTGTGTGAGAGAGGGCGAGAGAGGGATGTGTACCTCGTACTCGTCGGTAGATGTGTATTCTAGACCGGAACTGGAACTGTTGGTAGGGGCACGCAGGTACTGTACCTGAGTAGGTAAGTCGTCAATCAGGGTCACCAGGGCTATATACCATGTAGTACCTCGCGAGGACTGGACATGTATGTACATACATGTATGTAACATGTGTCTGTCGATGCAAGGACGAGGTACATGTATACGTCCCCAACATGTATGTCATGTCCACATGTACCTCGTACGGATGGGTCTGTCTCTCTTGTATATCTCTGCCCCCACATCCTCTCCTCTCCCTCTTATCTCTCTGTGAGTGTGAGTGTGATGTTAACAGCATACATAGCCCTACATCCCAAAACTTGTCCCTCCCACCCTGATCGGCGCATACTCCCGAGTCCCTCACACTCGAGTCCATCACTCCTTGTTTCAAGCAGCCCACCCGGCCTCTGTACATACGGTGTCTTGTCTCCCCTCTCCTCACGAGTCACCCAGCAAAGGGGGAGTACACATGGTCTCCCCATCCCAACTACACCGGGTACGTAAAGTGACGGATAACTTCGTTCCGGTTCCGTGGCGAAACCTGTAGTCACATCATATCATATTCTTGTCGGAACTGGCGAAGAGCGATTGTGAGTCCGGGAAAAGAGAAAAAAGAGTGACGAGTGACGGCGGTTGTACTGCCTGGGTAGCCCGGGAAGGGCGGATTCAGAAGATATACATACATGTATATTCCATAACAGACATATATATATTGATTGCCCCTTTGGGGGAGGATGGATTCCTGGCTCGGCTCGCCTCAAGGATGACATACATACATACAGTGTATACCGAGTGCATACATACATACATACAGATCAGGCCGAGGCCATATCAGACAGTCGTTCTCGTCAGTCAAGTTACCTATGTAGTTGTCGGGGTCTGGCTTTCCACTCTGTCCCATAAAGGGGCGTGTGTGTGACCTACGTACATAAGGATAAAAAAGTATCAAGGAAAAAACATACATATCTTAGAAAGAAAAAAAAGGTTGGAGAAGATTATCCCGAAAACGTTAAAATCATGGCCTTGGAAAAACCCCCTCCCTCTTTCCCGCCCTTCTCATATAGGAAAGCCAGAAAGGATGATGGGGGAATTGGGATTGGGATTCGAATACCCTCTTCTCTTTTCCCCCCTCACCGCTTTGCCCCTTTGTCTTTTTGCCCTTTTTTTTTCCTCCAAAATGCCGAGTAGAAACGCTTTCTGACTTTCATGCAAAAAAAGTTCAAAACCACTGACACACAAGACAGACAAAGTTGATCATCGTCGTCGTCGTCAGGCAAAATCCCCCCCTATACATGGTAAAAAAAAAAACTGGGTTCGCTATAGGTCGGTCTTGGGATCTTGTTTGTTCGCTGCATGGGGTTTCGTATTGTTCAAGCCAAGTCTGCCAAGAACGGTTAGTCCAATTCCAAGCCAGAACATCAAACAGGGGCAGAATAAACTTACCGCATGCCCAGACACCGGTTGAGGATGAAAGAGCGCAACCGATGCGCGAGTAGGATGACGATGTCAAGATCTCGGCATGACCGGTCTCGCCATTGCTGTGATCCCATCCTTGAGCTTCGGTGGAGCAGATGCCGTTCAGGCCGGGGAGCGAGGGGATCTCGCAGAGCCATCCACCGACGTAGACGCTCTCGAAGTTGCTGAGGTCGCCGGGGGCCAGGACTTGAGCCATGGTGCCCGGGTTCAATTCGTGTTTCAAGCCGCCCACGCTGTCAGTGCTGGTCTTCAAGGCGTTGGCCTCGAGCTTGCTGTCTTGGGAGAGAGCAGAAAGACCACCAGCGCTGCGCCACTTGGACACAACTGACATGTAGTCGCCCTGGCCCCCGGACGAGCCGGAGGAAGGAGCATTGGTCGCTGCCGGGGCTGATGGAGACGCGGACGGGCTCTGGGGAGGCGAGCTAGGAGCCGGGGGTGCTTGGGATGGGGTGTTGTTGTCTTGCGGTCTGTTGTAGTAGCCGCCGTAGTTGCCAAAGTTGCTGTCGGTGACCGGGGTTGCGCTCACAACAATGTCACTCGTGGTGGTTGGAGCAGCGGTCGTGGCCGGGGCAGTGGTGGACGTGGCTGCGTCGCTGTACCATGCGCCCGTCGCCTCAGGAGCGTATCCAGTGACGGTGATTTCAGCGGTCGGGTTGGGACGCTGCCAGTATCGGTTTCCTCCCCACCATTGACGTTTGGCGAGGGCGGCCTTTTCAACATTGGCGGGCATGGCGACAACAGCACCGGTGGCCAGGGCCAAGACGGAGACGGTCTTGACGAGCTGCATATTTTCGATTTTGTTCGTTTGTCACTTCGAGGGTTTCTTCTCCTTGCTGTTTTTTCAAACGGTGCCAAATGAGTGCGAGGCGTCGAGAACGGCCTGTTATAAGGAGCGTCGAAGGTTGGGAAGGTAAGGCTGGGAATAATGAGCGTGGAATCCTCCGGGGACAAAAAGAGTGTAAGTCGAAAGAGCGCAATGAAAGTCACAGACTTCTTTGGGATACTCGACGGAGGTTATCAACCAACGACAAAGGAAAGAAGGAAGAAAGAAACTCGGAGGAGGGAAATATAGCAGATCCATTTTGGACCAGACTATCGTTCAGCCCCCATGACCTACCGTAAGCCATGAATGTGAAACAAACAAGGCCGGGCCCAAGGATCCACTCTCATTGTCCTTGCCAGATTGTCGAGGCGTTGGATCGCCGACGTCGTTGGCCCTGGCTGGCCCAACAATGGCCTGAGAGTGGAGCCGCCAGCACTGTTCTCGCTAGAGCCAAGGTCGAGCTGGGGAAAGAAAGAGGCCTTGATGGCATTTTCATGCAGGGGGAGGGGAGCAATCCTGGCGCCTCAGCCTTGGGGCGGGCGGGATGGATGGCTGGCTGGCTGGTTGGGAGACACCCCCCAGCTGTGGCAGGACGAGGGCTGGCTTGGCTGGTCAAGTTCTAGAGACCTGTATCAACAGTCGATCAGGTCAATCACTCTGGTGGCAGGCTTCACTTCCTGCCTTCTATGACCTCAGGGTGGCCGGGTTGCCGTGGCTCATGAGGGGGGGATTGTCCACGAATGTGTCGCTCTCCCCGTTACGGTTGCCAGGAGGGCCGAGAGGATATTCGCGTTCAAGCTGATGTCGGTTAGCCCCTCGGACGGTCAGCCTAAGGGATATGATTGGGAGATGAACACACATGGGGAGTGAAAATGGAGGAAGAGAGGGAAGACACAAGGCGAGGGTGAGGGAAGTTGAGCAGGTGGACCCGAGGTGGATCCCATCTGCATCCGTCCTGAACGCTAGTCCAGATGCGGTCAATCTGGCTCCACCGGTTCCCCTGAGACTTGCCCCTTTGTTGACTTTTCTCAACGTCCACACCGCGCCGTCACCACCACCGCCGCTTCCCAGTGGCCCGTCTTGAATGAAGCCTGATTGCATTACGTTGGCGGAATGGGGTCGGTCGCATCCGGGGAAATTGCATCGTCCACTTCAGTCCGCCTCAGTCCGCCGCAGTTCTTACGAGTCCTATGTTGGTACCTCGACGCGTAAGCTTCGGCGAGGGCGAAAATCCCCATCAGTCACCGCCGATGATGAGACCTGTATGAGTATAATTCCTCCACGAGGCGTCCATGCTGGGTTCATGGTTGTCGGGAGCCTTGTGTCCCCAATAATAATTACCACCAGTCACACCTACAGCCTCGCTGAGTTCAGCCTTAAAGGATCCATGACCGTTATTGCCCTTAGGGTCCGTCGCAGCTTTAATTGAGATTCGTGTTTTTCATCCACGGGATTCCTAAAATTTAGGAACTCGGGCATCCTAATTCCGTGACGTGCGGCCCTTTTCCCATGACCGTCGCAGACCATTTTTAGGAAAGCGAAGGGGGCATTCGTACTCAGTACCAAGACGCGTCAGAGGGCGATCCGCTCAAGAGTGAACCATGGTATATGGTATGTATGAACATCGTCGTCCCAAATTCGTTGCCTTGTTGTCGCTCTGGCGACAAATACTGTCCAGCTGTCGATCGAAAAAGACGACTTTCACAATGACGACGCGCAAGGGAACATCCAAACGCGACTGCCACAGTAACGCGAGCAAAGACAAAGTTCCCCCACTTCCCATTCCCCCAAGGTTCAAAACTCTGTGAGTGAGGTTGCCACGGGGCATAACTTCAGCAGCTGAGATGCTCACAACATCTCCCCGGCGACCAATCCCAATAGTCCGCCACGACGAGACGAGCATGTGGAGAACGACATGAGATCGCCCTTGTGGATGGACGCAGCAATGAGGAGATGATGCAATTCCAATATTCTAGCCACGTTGTGCTGATAACCGTATCATTTCTTCTGCATATCGTCTTTCTGGCCATGTGTTTCCCAGTCAGTAGTGACGCAAGATAATGGCAACTTGGTTGCGAAACACGTCGCTCTGGGTCGACCGGGACCGGGGGACAACAGTACGTGTTCCATCCAAGGTCGGTCTGGCCTGGCCACCGAAAAGGTGAGTGACGAGGTAGGGAGGTATGAGACATTCCTAGATTGCGCGTGTCTCTGCGAGGTCCAGGCCATTGCTATTGCAATCGCAGCGCTCTGAGGAATCATCAAACTAAGACATGGAGCAAAGGGCGAATATAGAACAAAGCTTGGCAGACGTCAACATTCGCTCGCAACCACGTGACCTACATAACTGGGTCATGCTCAGCGACCTTTATGGAACAACTCACAACATGTATGTATGTACCGAGTACATCCATGTCACCATCTCCCTCACCTCAGCAACACGCAGATTGCCATTCCCTGTCTCTCCCTGAAACACTCAAGTATTCCACCCTCTCCAGACACAGTCCCCAAGTATGTCCGCACGAACAACTTCCCGCTCGCAAGACGAAAAGACCGTGCGCGAATGGGGCTTCCGCCACGTCTTCACGTGGACTGATGGTCCGTGAGTAGTGACCCCGTCCCCTCTCTCACCTTTCGCAAAAAGAATCTTTGGAGCAGAACGGGAGGGGGAAAAGGAGGGTCCAAATCGCACTGCTGATTCGAATGCACGGGCCTCTGTCGCTACCATCTCTTTCCGTCCCCTACCCTGCGAACCCAGCATATCAACTCGTGTGATTCCCTACATACGTACGAGCACATACGAGTACTACACCCGTAGATACCTCTCGCGTCACTTACATACATAGTCATCCTTAATCCTGAAAAAAATACTGAAGCAAAAGAGCCCGGCAGCTACGCACACTACCCTCCGCACCAGCACCTCGGCCTGACCACGCACCTGATCCGCCGCGGAACCCTGACCATCACGTACCCGGACGACGCGAACCCGACCAAGGAGACGTTCGGGGTCGGCGCCCGCATCGACGTGCCTGCGGGAAAGACGCACGAGGTCTGGATGGGCGAAGAAGGTGAGTTGAGTGCGTTCTCCTCTCTTTTCCTGGCACTGGCCCTGGCCCTGTAGCTCTAGTCCTGGTCGAGGTCAGGGTCGAGGTCCGTCTACTCAACATAATTCAAAGAGGACATGCACTGTAACTATTGCTTGGAGTCTTAAATGTCCAGCCAGCCGTTGTGCTCACGTCAATTACTGACTGACTCGTTAAATCGACAGGATGCGAGTACGTTATAGGAGAGTAGAATGCTGAAAAAAGGGGGATAGTATGAGCCTCGAAGACTCGAGCACATCCATTCATCCCTTTTCGATGCGATGAAGTCACGTAACCTTTTTACATTGATTTGCTTAGTGTGGTATACGACCATGCTATCGACATAACGCAAAGCTCTTCAAGAAACACCCCCTTTCTGACCATCCCGGAGCATGTGCGCCCTTTTTGCTTAATATGTTCGCTTGAAAGGCGGCACAGACTTGCACTCGTTCTCGTCAAGCGTATGGCTGGTGACCGCCCGGTAACCCAACTCGACTTTGCCGTGCGGCGACTTCTGCCACGAAAGGGTGTGCTTCATCCAGTTCTCGTCGTCACGATCAGGGTAGTCTTCACGGGCATGAGCACCACGAGATTCCTTGCGGTTGGCCGCCGCGGCTGCCGTTTGCGTTCTGTAGATGTTGCTGTTAGTATCTCGCTTCACGCAAGGACTCAAATCGGTACTTACGCGCAAGTCAACAAATTCCTCAGCTCGAGCGTCTCCACGAGATCCGAGTTCCAGATCATACTTCTGTCCTTAATACCGACGCTATCGAACATCTGGTCGACCTCGGTAATCTTCTTCACACCCTCGTCCAAGGACTCCTGTGTTCGGAAGACGCTGACATCGGTCTGCATGGTCTTCTGCATCGCAGCACGAATTTCTGCCGTGCTCTTAGGGCCATCGGAGTTTCGGATCTTGTCCAGGACGTTGATCGAGTCCGCGCCAGCGTCGGCGGCGAGCTCCTTCTGTGTCTGGCCTGGGGAGAAGTTGTCACGGATGGTGTGTGAGACCGCCCGCCCAAAGACAATCAAGTCGAGCAGAGAGTTGGCACCCAAACGATTCGCTCCATGTACCGAGACACAGGCGGCTTCACCGCAGGCGAACAGTCCCGGAACAACTTCATCCTCGCCCTTGTCGTTGAGACGGAGAACTTCACCTGTGTATTTGGTCGGGATACCGCCCATGTTATAGTGCACCGTGGGTAGAACAGGGATAGGTTGTTTCGTGACGTCGACACCAGAGAAAATAGAGGCCGTTTCCGAAATACCGGGAAGTCTCTCGTGGAGAATCTCTGCAGGCAGATGGCTAAGCTGAAGATAGATGTGGTCCTTCTCCGGTCCGACACCACGACCCTCGCGGATTTCCATCGTCATGGATCGCGACACCACGTCTCGGGACGCAAGATCCTTCGCAGTAGGCGCGTAACGTTCCATGAATCGTTCACCTTCAGAGTTCAGCAAATAGCCACCCTCACCACGAGATCCCTCGGTGATCAAGCAGCCAGCTCCATAGATACCGGTCGGGTGGAACTGGACGAATTCAAGATCCTGGTTGGGCAGACCGGCGCGAGCTACCATTGCCATGCCATCGCCGGTACACGTGTGCGCCGAGGTGCAGCTGAAGTATGCACGACCATAGCCACCTGTTGCCAAGACAGTGTTTTGCGCTTTGAATCGGTGGAGAGTGCCGTCTTCCTGGTTGTATGCAATGACGCCTTTGCAGACTCCATCCTCCATAAGTAGGTCCAATGCGAAGAATTCAATGAAGTAGTTGGTGTTGTAGTTAAGAGATTGACCGTAAAGTGTGTGCAGCAAAGCATGACCGGTTCGATCGGCCGCGGCACAACATCTATATGCCTGACCGCCTTTGCCAAATTTTTGTGATTGTCCACCGAAAGCACGTTGATATATCCGGCCATCTTCGGTTCGAGAGAACGGGCAGCCATAGCCTTCGAGCTCGATTACGGATCGCGGGGCTTCGCGGGTCATATAATGGATTGCGTCCTGGTCACCGAGCCAGTCCGAACCTTTCACCTACGATACGATTAGCATGAGGAGCCGCGCATGAGGAGCCGCGCATGAGGAGTTTGGATGCTTACCGTATCGTACATGTGCTGTAGGCGAGGGATCAATTAGTTAGCTCGTTCATGTATCACGTCGCATAGAGAGCTTTCGCAACAGCGGAGCTCCAGTTGAGACTGTGGCGCTTGCAGCGGTCGAGACTTACCCATCTCCAGTCATCCTCATGCATGCTGCACATCCGTCAGTAACAGAGCCTTGTGCGAAAAGTGTCATACTAACTTTCCCAGAGCGGCATTGATACCGCCCTGCGCCGCCACTGTATGACTTCTCGTGGGGAACAACTTCGAAATACATGCAGTGTTGAAACCAGCTTCGGCAAGACCTTTCGCCACCGTCAATAGAAGGGAAGCAGAAAATAGGCCAGAAACACTATACCGAATGCTGCCCGTAGACCTGCGCCACCTGCACCGACGACCACGGCATCGTACTCGTGACTACGACAAAGTGTCAGTTTTGTGTCCAAGTTCTTTCGCAAAAGTCGACGGACTCTATGATCGGATAGGTGCCATATGGAAAAGATTCGGCTTCTTTCGCTCGCAGAGGTTGGGAAGCGATGACCCGGGCTATATGACAAGTCTTAGTTTCTGATAGACACCACACTCATCGTTTCCGAACATACCGGCAGGTCTCGTGGAGGAAAATTGACGTCTGCTGGTTTGTCTCAAGCTCGTCGAGAACTGCACACACGATCAGGTTTGGTTCCGGCCCAAGTTGAAGCTCGCACGTACCTTGTTGCCGGGCCCTAAGCTCCGCAAAATCTTGAGACAGCTCATCTTGGGCAGGCACAAGTCATTCAAGGCTTGAGCTTTGACAAGAGATTGGGGATGATGGAGATGAGAACGAGATGGCGTGGTTCAGAGGAGGGATAAACCTACAACATTCGATTGAAGCAAAGACCGCAGTCTAGTTCCCGAGGGAGATTCTGGCCAATCAGATGCGAGGTAATTCAAGTGCATTACTCGTACTCGCACTTCGGCTCCTGCGCTGGTGGTGGCGGTGGGGTGATTATTGCTGTCGCCATCCAGGTAGGGAACTTGTCGCAGCCTTGATCTGATGGTGTTGAATTGTTCCTTTTCGAATGCCCGTCCATTTCTGGGTCTTCGACTTGAGTTTGCGCTGGCTCAGTCGGCCACCACACGACACATATTCCGCCTGCGTCGTGGCTCCAATTCCAGCTCCCACCATATCCGATGCAACATACCTCTCTCCCACAACGATATGCCCTACATTCACATCCCTGTCGTAGCCGGTATCCTCCGGGAACACACCGTCTCATACTCCTTTTCGGGTCATATTGTCGATACGGAAGCCTGAGAGTTAGCAGACTTAGTCAGGGCACAGGTGGCATGGATCCAAAAGGCCGCCTTCGACCAAACTGATAGATGTTAATCGAGCTTTGTCGATCGGTTGAAAGAGCATGTCCGCATCGGCGCCTTTTGAAGCGAAGGTGCAAATAGAGACTGGCATCTGCTGCCATCATCAGGTTTCAATGCGGTGTCGTTTCCCAAGACGTCCGGACAATGTTCTCCGACCATTTTCCTCATCGAGACTCCCCAGTGGCATTCGTGTCGATAAGGACTTCCTACTAGTTGCCGATAGGTATCAAGTTGGCCGTGGATAGCCAGCTGGGAAACTATACCAACCCGACTGTATTTGATTTCTGATGTGGCAGTGGTTGGGCTGTCTACTTCTTTCCTTTCCACCTCAAAACGAGCCGTCGATCTTCTACAAAATATCGCTGCTACATCATAGATCTTTGCGTGTGACCTCCGGAAACCGTCAATGAATCAGACGATACAGGACAGATTATGTGGGAATAGGAGACAACCGTAGGCCTGATCTCATACGCATGTCTCGAAGCGAACAGAGGTTGTCGAGTCCCTCCTGCTGCGATAGCTCTAGCTCCCAATTTATGATACACGCCCCAGACTCGAGGTCTGCTGGGCTGGCCTTATATCAACTCCATGAAATGCGCGCTGAAAATGGTCCAAGAAACCCCCTTTTAATTGTACTGTGCATATGCCGCCGTACTTCCAAACTTCAGATTTCCCTTGATTACCTTGTCGATCGCCTTGAGGAAGTCGGACTCGGAGGTCAATTTTCTCCTGTCACGAATGCTGTAACCGTGTGTTAGTCTGTCCTACTTGCCCAATGCTGAGAGAGACTGGGAAAACTCACGCAAACATCCCGGCTTCGGTGGCAACCGACCTCAGCTCGGCACCCGTCGAGTTGGGGCACAATCTTGCAATCAGCTGCAAACCTGTTAGCTATATACGTGTGATGAAAGGACAAGTTACTCACCTCCCAACGGATATCCCTCTCGACGGACATCTAAATATCGCAAGTTAGCGTCGTTTCGCAACAGATCGAAGAAGGTGCTACTCACCGATTTCGCATGAATCCTAAGAATACCAGCACGGCCGTCCAGGTCAGGCAAGGAGAATTCAATCTTACGGTCAATACGGCCCTGTTAGAGTGACATCAGTACACGGAGATATGAGAGATGAGGCGACCTTGCGGCCTAGGCTTACCGGTCTCATGAGGGCAGGATCCAGCGTCGAGGGCCGGTTGGTGGCAAACATGACTTTGATGTTTCCTCTTGAATCGAAACCATCAAGCTGCGTAATAAGTTCCAGCATGGTCCGTTGGACTTCGTTGTCACCGCCAGCACCATCGTCGAACCGGGCACCACCAATGGCGTCGATTTCGTCGAAGAAGATGATACACGCCTTCTTCGTCCGCGCCATCTCGAAGAGTTCTCGAACCATCCTCGCACCTTCACCGACATACTTCTGAACTAACTCGGACCCGATCACCCTAATGAATGTAGCATCTGTTCGGTTGGCGACTGCTCGCGCGCACAAGGTCTTCCCGGTCCCAGGAGGCCCATACAGCAGAGCACCCTTGGGAGGATCAATTCCGAGTTTGACGAACCGTTCAGGAGATAATAAAGGCATTTCGACGACCTCTCTTAACTTTTCGATTTGTTCTTTGCACCCACCAACGTCTCCGTATGTGACGTCGGGCTTATCTTCCACCGTCATCATCGTCACGCTGGGATCAATCTTGGGCGGCAAGGGGAGCATGATGGAGTATTTCTGGCGATCAACACCAACGCGCATTCCCTCCTCGATATCTGTAGGGCTGACTCGTTCTCCGAGATTGACGACAAACTTTGCGATCTGCTTGACGTTGATGACATATTTGCTCTTCTCGCTGTCCTTCTCATCCTGTATAATCTTCGTACATCGAGCGACTTGAAGTGGCTGCTCCTCTTGCATGCGTTGGCGGTCGGCGGCGACATCCCAAAGGTGAGGAGGCGCGAGACCGGTGTCCGACTCCTGTCAACGTGTCAGCTTGCGATCGCGGAACCGATGCAACTTCCCTACCTTCACGCCAATCTTCTCGTTGATGCTTTGTTGCTTCTCTTTGATTTGCTTTTCGATCTGCTTGAGAGCAGCAGCGTAGGGTGCGGCTCCGTACGTTCTCAACACTTGAATATCTCTGTTGAAGGTCAGTACGGAAAGTTACAGTTACTCTGCTGACTCGAAACATACTCTTCTGTCAAAGGTGTGATCTTCTTTTCTGGCACATCCTCATCGGCGAAGGTCTTCTGGTATTTCTCCCAGTTCTGGCCGGTTGCACTGGGCATCTTGAGAGGGTATGTGGAGGATAAGAGTCTAGATTAGGAGAGCGAACTAAGCACCGGCTGATGGAGCAAGACTTGTGAGACTGATGGGGGAGATTGCGACAAGAGTATGGAAATGAAGTGGATGGTGGGAGTGTTGACAAGAGCATGAGAGAGCAAAGCGAATGATGCAGGACTCCGTACCTCGCAGTCCGCGCAGCCAGCGCGGTGCCTGAATCACCTTATGTAAGCCACAGAACTGCAATTGTGGCCCGCTTCATTCCCCAACTTTCGTGAAATTTCATGTCGCCTGATTCTATGTGTTCAATGACCGAACTCTCTACAACGAGGCTGTTGTGACATTAGCTCAGAGCCGTGCAGTCAAGCTAACTTGTGTCTAAGTATTCATCATGGCTGCAGCGTTGGGAATTCAGGGTAACGTGGGAAATGCGGCCTTCAAGGTTCGTTCAGAGCGCAGACGATTATAAACGAGAGAACCACTAACGCTTTTTCCAGGACAAGGAGAAGCCGATGGCTGTTCGGACGGCAAATATCATGGCTGCCCGAGCCGTCGCAGATGCCATCAGAACATCCCTTGGCCCTCGAGGCATGGACAAGATGATACAGTCGGGCAAAGGAGAGAACCTCATTACGAACGATGGAAGTACCATGTTGAAGAGCATGAGCGTTATGCATCCTGCGGCGAAGATGCTGGTGGACCTGAGTAACGCGCAGGACGTCGAGGCAGGCGATGGTACAACGTCGGTGGTCGTCATCGCAGGCAGTCTCCTCGGTGCGGCGGATCGATTACTTGCCAAAGGCATTCATCCCACCATCATTTCAGAATCGTTCCAGAGGGCCTCTAAAGCCGCCGTCAGAATTCTGCAGGACATGTCGCAACCCATCTCGCTCTCCGACCGAACCACACTGCTCCAAGCTGCCTCCACATCCCTCTCTTCGAAAATTGTGTCGCAGCATTCTGGGTTGCTTGGCCCCATGGCAGTCGATGCCGTGCTAAAGACGATCGACCCGAAAACCGCTGAGAACGTCGATCTCCGGAACATTCGCATCATCAAAAAGGTGGGTGGCACCATTGAAGACTCGGAAATGATTGATGGACTCGTCCTCAACCAGCCGGTCATCAAGAGCAGTGGTGGTCCCACCAGGATAGAGAAAGCAAAGATCGCCCTGATCCAGTTCCAGCTGAGCCCTCCGAAGCCGGACATGGAGAATCAGATTGTGGTCAACGACTACAGGCAGATGGACAAAATCTTGAAGGAGGAGAGGACGTATCTGCTTAACATGGTCAAGAAAATCCAAAAGGCCAAATGCAACGTGCTCTTTATCCAGAAATCCATCCTGCGAGACGCCGTCAACGACCTATCTCTACACTTCCTGTCGCGCCTGAAGATTATGGCTATCAAGGACATCGAACGGGACGAAGTGGAGTTCTTGTGCAAGAGCACGGGCTGCAAACCCATCGCCAACATCGATACCTTTACGGAGGACAAACTGGGTAGTGCCGATCTGGTGGAGGAAGTCCAGTCGTCGGGAGCGCGGTACGTCAAGGTCACGGGTATCCGGACGGGTTCGCCACAACATCAAACGGTATCAATCGTCGCTCGTGGTGCCAACACACTAGTACTCGACGAGGCTGAACGCTCCATCCACGACGCTCTGTGTGTCATTCGGTGTTTGGTGAAGAAGAAGGCTCTGATCGCCGGTGGTGGTGCGCCTGAAATCGAAATTGCCCATCAACTGGCCAAGAAGGCGCGGGAGTTGACCGGCACGGAGTCAATATGCTGGAAAGCCTTTGCCGATGCAATGGAGGTGATTCCGACCACTTTGGCCGAGAACGCAGGTCTCAACAGCATCAAGGTGGTTACGGACCTGCGCCACCGACATGATATGGGAGAACGGAACGCCGGGGTCAGCATCAGAAGTGGCGGCGTGAAGACGAACATCGCAGAGGAAAAAGTGCTTCAACCCCTGCTTGTCAGTACGAGTGCCATTGAGTTGGCAGCCGAGACGGTCAAGATGATTCTACGGATTGACGACATTGCCTTGTCAAGATGATGCTGAGGCAATGGGGTAAAGCTGGATAGACTTGTTCGTCCTGCCGGTCAATGCACGGCTTAGGGGGAAATTGTAATGACTTCAATGCATAGCGAGGTTCACTGAACGAATATACCCTTGTGACCGCCAGTCTGTCGCATTCATTCATTGCTTGTAAGGACGTAGCCATTTCTTTGCCCGGCCGAATCCTGAAGCCTTGAGGAAGACATCTTCAACCCACGAGATGTACTCGGTAGGTACCTGGTTAGACATGTCATCTTTTCTCAGACCACTCGGAAGACACCCAGCGAAGGATTCTCGCGAAGCGAATTGCGGAATAGTCTGAGCACGAGGTACTGGGGGACTGGGGGACTCGTCTGTAGGAATGCTGATGGTGGGCCAATAGAGACTTCACCCTCGACCCGTCTGACCCTCGTACCAGATCCTAAACCAACTACAAGGTACTACTCTCCTTGGGTATATTCATAGGTACTCTGGGTGCCTAAGAAGTCGTACTTGGTACACATTGGCATTCCGCCCCCCCTTCACCCTTTGTCAGGCGTCCAGCGAGGATTCGTTCCAGGAAACATTTCCCGATATAAATTCAACAGATGTCTGATATCAATATACGAACGACCTGGATCTGAGAATCTGTATGTGCCTACCACCAGCTTTCCCTCCTCTTACCCCGTACACACCTGGAGTTCACTCTGTACTCCGTACTCCATACAACTGTCATGGTTGGTGGAGGCATATAGAAAAGGATTCTCTTCGACAATCTTTTTAACCAAACATCGATATCCCTCGCGATAATATATGCCATAATCCAGTCCCCACAACGGCAAACAAATCAAACCCGGATTAGAAAGAGGAGTACTCGGTAGGAGGGGGGTTAACAAAGAGCATACATATTATCTGATAATATTCTCGCACAGAAAACCCCCCATTTCCACCAGTGAGGAAACTCTGCGAGGACTTTGGGGAATCCCGCTCTCGGCTCAAAACAAAAGGAGGACCAGGTGGCCAAAGGCAAAAAGAGATGGCGTGGATCTCGATCCTGGCCACGCTCTACGGGCTGTGGGTTGCCTCGACGCTCTGGAATCTCTTCAAGAATTATCTGTCGGCGCGCAAGACGGGGCTCCCCATCATCGTCTTCCCGCTCAACAGTTACCACCCGATATGGATGATCGTGTCGGTGCCCCTGCGGCCGTTGTTCGAAAAGTTCCTGCCCGACTGGATGTACGAGCCGATCAACCTGGCCACGTACGGGTTCGAGTTCCGCAGCAAGACGGCCGTCTTCGACAAACGCGGGCCGGCGGTGATCCTCGTGACGGCCGGTTCCAACGAGCTGAGTCTGATGGATCCGGAACTGGCCTCGGAGGTGCTGAAGCGCATCAAGGACTTCCCCAACACGGACATTGGCGGCGTCGTCCTCAACATCTTCGGCCCCAGCCTGATCACCAGCGATGGCGAGAACTGGGCGCGACAGCGGCGACTCATCGCCCCGAACATCAACGAGAAGATCAGCGGGCTCGTCTTCGGGGAGTCGTGTCGACAGACACGCGAGATGCTGGCGTCGTACGTCGACGATCTCAAGGGCGTGACCGACGACACGATGCGCGGCATGAAGCAGATCGCCATCAATGTGCTGGGCGTCGCGGGATTCGGCATCTCCCAGCCGTGGAAGGAGGGGAAGTCGAGCCGCCCCAAGGGTTACCGGACGACGTACATGGAGGCGACCAGGACTGTGGTGGAGAACATCATTGAGGCCGCCGTGCTGCCGGCCAAGCTGCTCACGCTGCCCATATTCGCGCCGGCGTGGCAGATCATCGGGCACGCGAAGAACGAGTTCCCCGTGCACACGAGGGAGATGCTGGAGAACGAGCGAAAGCTGCAACGCGACAGCCCCGAGCCCCGGAGTAACCTTATGAGCATGCTGGTTCGCCTCGCGGACTCGTCCAAGCCCCAAGGCGATGCGGACTCGAAGAACACGCAGGGCCTCTCGGAGGCGGAGATCCTGGGGAACCTCTTCATCTTCACGAGCGCTGGGTTCGACACGACGGCAAACACCATGGCCTACGCGCTGGCCCTGTTGGCCACGTACCCGGAATGGCAGGACTGGCTGTATGAGGAGATCAAGGTGGTTGTGGGGGCCGCCACAGACGCAGAGAGTCTCGAGTACACGGAGGTCTATCCTCGTCTGCCACGGTGTTTGGCGCTTATGGTAAGCCCTCATGCCCCTCTCGAGGCGCATGGAGAACCAAGATCCGTCTTCATCGATCTCCTCCAGCCGCTCGGGGAAGAGCACATGTGATTCAAGGAAAGATTGCTAACCGTGTCTTCTCCGGTCACTTCGAACAGTTGGAAACGATGCGATTCTTCCCACCCTTGACACACATGTGAGTATCTGTCCCTCAAGATCGTCCACGACACTATTTATCGAGCGCCAATCCCCTGAAGCTGGCCTCCCTTGTTACCTTTCGAGAAGAAGAGGGCAGAGAGAGCCGGAACATATCCCGTACTAACGATAAGTCCACAGCGCGAAACAGACGAACTCGACGCACGACGTCTCGATAACGACACCCTCGGGCCGATCGTACTACATCCCCACCAAGACCATCGTCTACATCAACACAGTATCCCTGCACCTCGACCCACGCACCTGGGGCGACGACGCCACGACGTTCCGGCCGTCGCGGTGGCTCGTCTCGCCCGACGAAGCCCCCTCACGCACCAGCGCGGCGTACACGATCGGGCAGAACATCCGGTCGATGCCCAAGGGGACGTTCCTGCCGTGGTCGGCGGGCCCGCGGTCGTGCCCGGGCCAGAAGATGTCGCAGGTCGAGTTTGTCAGCGTCTTCATGACCATCTTCGCCAGGTACCGCTGCGAGGCTGTCAAGGTCCACGACGACGAGACCCCGGACGAGATCCGCGCCCGCTTCGAGGCCGTCATGAGAGACAGCCAGCCCAAGTTGACGCTGCAGATGGCGAGGAATCGGGACTTGAAACTGCGCTGGGTGGAGCGGTGACTCCGAGGGCATTTAGAGGGACAACATGTCCACAGCATATCTCGTCCCTCTCGCGACGCAAGGATATAAAGAAAAACTTTGGTCGAAAGGAGAGTCAGAGGTCGGCTTCGATAGCACATGTTGAGAACTCACAACCGACTCTTGCCTGCCCCTACTCGAGAGGCCCAGGAAGCCCTTTACCAACAGGATCCTGCCAAACCGCGTCAAAGGAGAGTAAGCAACACCAGAACAATAGGGCTGGCGACTTGTCTGCCAAATGCACCTCGAAAAACTTCCTGGACATGTGAACATCAGTATCTACTGTAGCTTCCCCTCCTCAACAAGAAGTATCAGCCACCTCGGATGGGGCTAGAGGTCCCCTGCAAGCCATCTGCTACTACATACACTTTGGACAAGGTCGTTGCTACATGGGAAGCAGAAACCATTTGAAGTTTTAAGGCGGGTTTTGATTTGTGTATCAGATATCTGCAGAGCGACAGCTCTCCTTATCCACGCCGCCGACAAGTCAGCAGAGCGCAACAAGTGAGCTTTCCCTCACACGCGCTCTCCCGTATCATTTGTCTTGCTGTAGTGTCTCAAACCACACTGCCCGTATCAGTTCCCATTGTCCAGTCCGCAAAATACCCCAACGCCGAAAACACAAGCATTCCTCTTAAACACGTCAACCCAAAATCGACACCCAGTAACATATACCCAGTACAGGCGTAAAGAGCCGACGAAGAATCTTCATGACGCGAGAGACTGAAAGATGACGATGACTGGTACCGGCGACCGTTCTCGCTCGCTTGACGCCCATCCACCCTTGCAAGCCGCTCGCTTCCCTCACCCCTTCAACATGATTCCAAATACATGATACAAAAAAAGAACAAGCAGCACATGTCAGGTCATAACAGCAACATGATCGAAAAGCCGGGAGCTTCTCGTCGAGGTTCGGTTCGAGCTGTGACCTTTAGGCCGCTGCCGCTGAAGCCTTGGGTGCGGCGCCTTTCTTCGTTGTTGCGGCCTTCTTCGGGGCGGCCTTCTTGGTCCCTGTGGTGGCCTTTTGCTTGGTCACTCGTCCTGACTTGGTCTTCTTCAAGACTGGGGGGGGAGCATCGGTAACAGCAGGTGCCTGGACGACAAGTCAGTAATACATCCCGTTGAATCGCGACACTGATCATACCGGTGCTTCGGCCTTTGTCTTTGTCTTGGGTGCTCTCTTAGTAGCAGTGTTGGCCTTGGGCTTAGCGGCGGTGGCGGCCTTCTTCGGAGCAGCTGCTTTCTTTGCTTTGGTGGCGGCAGTCTTGGGTTTGGCGACAGTCTTGGTCTTGGGAGCCTTGGGTTTGGCCTCTTTGGCCTCTTTGGCTTCCTTGGGGGCCTTCTCCTTCTTCACAAGGGTTAGGACACTAGGGCCGACAATGAGCACAGTGCGACGAACCTTGACAGCCTTCTTCTCAGCAGGCTTGGCTTCCTTCTTTGCCAGCTTCACTGGACCCGAGGGACCTAATCACAGCAACTCAGTATGAAAACATCAGGACCATGTCAAGACAAGACTATACCCTTGGGCTGTTGGAAATCACCCTTCTCGACACCAGTCTTCAATGCCTTGTTGAAAAGAGAATCGAACTGCGTCTCGGAGGTGACGGTGATATTGTTGTTTGCCTTGACATACTTCTTGATGGCTTGTCGGCTGGGATCAGAGTCAGCAGCTGGTCTAGTGTCCGGAAAGCCCGGCGACGATGAGGTATAGACGAGAGACTCACCTGCTACCATTGCGTTCCTTAAGCTGCATGTCCAAACGCGTCAGTATCACAGCCAAATAGTAAAAAAGTTATAGACAATCGCGACGAATCTCTTGTGCCCTCCTATGCTTCATGCTGGTGACAAAGATAGGCGATCTTCCGAGGGCATCGAGGTTGTCGCAAGATATAGTGCACTTACGTTCAGGATGGCTTCCTTGATCATATCTGATACAGAGTCAGCATTGACACGCGACAACGACAGGACTGAGTCCGACGCGATGCGACCACGCGACGGCTGAGAAACGTACCTTTGTATGAGGCATGAGCGGGTGCGGCAGCAGGCTTCTTGTCCTTTGAGTCTTTGAGACCGGGGGCGACTTTCTTGGGTCCGGGTGCAACCATTGTGACGGGTAAGGTGAGTTTGGGATGAAAAATTGATGGATAGAGAGAATGGAAATGGTGTCAATTGGACGTGAGAGAGAACGGTAGGCGAGCTTTGGGTTGAGTAGACGGGGAAGGAAAGATGAGAGATGAGAGATGAGAATGGGCAATGGGCTGCTGCGAGCGCGCGAGGCGGGGGAGACAACGGATACTTTATACCTTGCATGTGACGTGTGGTTGATCCCGCGAGCTGTGATGGTCTTCAGCCAATCATATTGTTCTGCCAGCGGAACTCAAAAATCCTGGGCGGCCAGAATTATTATCATCCATTTTCCCTCGCATTTTCCCTCCCGCCAGGAGGAAATCGAAAGACACGAAACTCTCCCACCCCGGCAAGCGGATCAACAACACAAGGTCAGATCACGCGCGGCAGACACCAAGAAACCTGGCTCCAAGCTACCTCCCACCATCATCCCCATCCTTGATCTGGTCATTTTCTCTTCTCTTTTCCCATCATTGTCAAGCTCTCCTTCACTTTCACTTTCACTTTCCCTTCACTTCTCTTCTTCTCCACTTCACGCCACACCCTGTAGCCTGCATCTAAGTTTTGTTGCCTAATTCACCCATGACCATCTACCATGGACTCACCCGTGTCAGATAGGGTTTCTTTGTTGACGTTCAGGGATGGAGACTTGTCAAGGCGCTGTCGAGCTGTTGTGTCTGTCAATGTCGACCCTTAATGCTGCTCCTTGTAGTCTAGATCTGTCAATCCGATATGAACTCTCGCTGTTATTGAAAACGCGCTCAGGTTCAGGGGGGCATTAATCTATCGCGGACACGTGAATTCAGTTTCTCAAAGTGGAGACTGTGCTCGTTCCATCTAATGTCAAACTGAATTGTGACATGGAAGTGCAGTTGATGACAATGTTCGTTTGCGCCTGTTGATAACTCGAGAGACTGGAGGGCAGGATGAATCAAGCTCAGCCATTGGGAATGAGGGGATCTGATCTGCCGGATCATGTGAGATGTTCCCGGACAGGTTAGAGCCAATCCTATCTCAACCTTTCCTGTCATCTGTGCCCAGCGCGACATTCTTGTACGTGGCGTGAGCAACAATGGCCTACCCTGCGGTGCCTGCCTGCCTGCACCCTCCAGAACGCCATGCTGTGTGCCTATTACTTGTAGGACTGTATTGTACACAGTAGTTTTGAAGCCTGCCATCGCCCATGAACCTCATGCGTCATAAAATGCATGCCATCTGCCCAAATAAACACCTGCGCTTGTGCCTCGCTCCCTCTTTTCAGGTCGACAGATGTGCCTTGGACTTTGTCTCTTTCTTGGTCTTGGCCTCTTCCTTCTTTTTCTTCTTTGCTTCCGCAATCTTCTCGTCATGTTTGCGTTTCAGGCTCTTTTTCTCCTCCTCCGTCTTGGGGACAGCCTTGAAAAACCCCTCGAGTCGCGACTGTTGGGCTGTTTTGACGTTTTTCTGTAATTTCTGCGCCGCACTTCGGACACGGTCCTCGTTGAACCCCTTCTCGTGAACCAGGAATTGCACGAGACCCTCGACATCAGGAGCTTCCCACTTGAAGTCGCATTCCGGATCGTCGGCAGATCGCACGTCTGGGTGTAGAAACAGTTCTCTCGCCTCCTTGTACGGCCAGTCTTCCGGAATTGTATATCTCTTTTTGGTGTCGTTCTCAATGAAATCAACAACTCCCTCCAAAGAACCGTGCTCCCGGATGAGCTTCAACGCAGTATTGGGGCCGACTTTGGGGATTGGGTCGAGATAGTCGCACCCCAAAAGTATACATAGGTCGATAAACTGGACGAGTCAGTTGGTTACAACTGGTTGGCACTCTGGGAGAGTTATACCTGATTTCTGTCCATACCAAGTCCCTCCAAGGTCTTATCGAGATGTATCTCTTGAATGGGTTCCTTGCGCTGTTCACTGAATGTCAGGTGGCGGAGCAAGATTGGTGAGTTGAACGTCAAAGTGTCCATGTCTTCAGACGCTGCTGCATACACCTTCCCAGCGCGCGCTAGAACTGCACACTGAGCCTCCGCCTCGGTGGGAGCCACAATATACGGAATGCCCATCAACTTCAGCAACCGTCGACACTCTTCGTTATGCTCTCTCGTGACTCTGACTGTGCGCCGTGAGAATTTCTCAACCTCTTCAGCGGTGCCCGTCTCTTTTGCCTCTTCATGCTGATCGCTCGCCTCGTTCTTCCGAGCAAAGCGCTTCGCCAATTCGCCAGATTTAAGCTTGGGGGGAGCGCCGTCGAAAACGTAGAGTGGTTTAATGCCATTGTCGACCATGCGCAAAGTGCGGTAGAACATGCCCATAAGATGAGACGTGGTTTCACCCGTATCAGACATGAGCTGTTGGCCATCTGAGCGGACCGCTATCAGGAAGCTGTAGATGCTCATCGACCTGTGCAAGTCAGTCGTCTGTTTCGCCGATTCGGTGAGTTGCACAAAGCCTACGCGTCCTAGCACATCAATGTCAGTAAGAGTACCCGCGATGGACAGCAGTCACTTACTATTGCAACCTTCCTCCCAAAGTGGTTCTTGATCTCACCAGTCTTGATGGCATCAGGCGCCTCTTCGGCGATGACATGGTAGAGTTCTGCTGACAGTGAGCTTGTTGAGGCCTGACAACTAGCTGAGCAATGTCACATACGTTTAATCCCCATGGTGAGAGGACGCTGTGCTTCTTACAGATCGGTTGAGTGAACGTTGGAAGTGAATCGCATGACAAGAAGCCGCAGGACGAAAATGCGCGTAAAGTGACCCGCAGAACCGCGTTTCGCGCCTGTAGGATGGGCCTAAGTGAATGACGTATATGACTGCATGCGTACTCCAGAAGCTCCTCCGCAGCTGCGACCAATTGAGTACTACTGCCGACTTTGAGACTGTGTAGTGCAGCATCACCAGCATTGGTCTTGTATAATTCTAAGAAAGAGACCCTTGTCTCTGAGATGAGCTATAGACTTTTGTCAGTCCGGCAATCCGTCGAGTCTCAGAAAGACGTCTCCGCAAACTCTTGCGAACCCTCGTGTCTTTCAAGTGGCGATGTGAACGCCTCTGTTTCGGAGATTCTCTAATTCCTTAGCACTTGAGTCGCAGGTACATTGACAAATCGCCTCGGCAATTTGGTAGTGTATAGCACATATTGAATCACCTCGCTGATCTCCACGCCTATAATTTTCGCCATTTCTCTTTCAAATTTGAGACTATCCTTTCCTTCGTCTCTCTCTCTCCTCTTGCACTCGCTCCTGTGGACTCACTCCTCATGATGTCACGATCCCTCCTTCGTCGAGCTGCGCGGGCGCGCTTGTCACCGACAGCGAATCCCGCCCCTCGCCGGCATGCTTCCTCAGTTACAGCTTTCAAATGGGAGGACCCTCTCAACCTGTCAAACTTTCTCACCGAGGAAGAACAAGCGATCCAAGAAACGGCACACTCGTACTGCCAGGAGCGCCTGCTACCCAGGGTTCTGGAAGCCTACCGCAAGGAGGATTACGACAAGACAATCTTACAAGAGATGGGCGAGCTAGGTCTCCTGGGTGCCACAATAAAAGGTCACGGATGTGCAGGCGTGAGCAATGTAGCTGCTGGGCTGATAACGCGGGAAGTGGAAAGAGTTGACTCGGGTTATCGGTCAGGCATGTCTGTCCAAAGCTCCTTAGTTATGGGACCTATAGATGAGTTTGGATCACAAGAACAAAAAGACAAATTCTTGGAGAAGCTGGCCAGAGGCCAACTGGTTGGCTGTTTCGGTCTGACGGAGCCCAATCATGGCTCCGACCCAGGTTCTATGGAGACAACTGCGAAGCCACATCCGTCCAAGGAAGGATACTTCTCGCTCTCGGGCGCAAAGACCTGGATCACGAACTCGCCAATCGCGGATGTACTGCTTGTGTGGGCGAAATTGCAAGAAACAGGCAAGATCAGAGGGTTTTTGGTCGAGAGAGAGAAGTGTCCTCCAGGAACACTCGAGACACCACCCATAAAGGACAAAAACGGACTTCGCGCATCGATAACGGGCATGATCCAGCTCGACGATTGCCCCGTCCCCAAGGAAAATATGTTCCCCGATGTTGAAGGTCTCAGAGGTCCGTTCAATTGCCTCAACTCGGCACGGTATGGCATCGCTTGGGGAACCATCGGTGCCCTCGAAGACTGCATCAGCCGGGCCAGAGAATATGCCCTAGAAAGGAAGCAATTCAAGAACAACCCCATTGCCAAGTATCAGCTCGTTCAGAAGAAGCTGGCCGATGCTGCCACAGATGCGGCTTTTGGGCTTGCCGCTGCATATCAAGTCGGCCGTCTCAAGGATGTGGGCAAAGCTCTTCCAGAAATGATTTCGATGATCAAGAGACAGAACTGTGATCGAGCGTTGGTGAATGCCAGACATCTCCAGGAGATATTTGGTGGAAACGCCGTCAGCGACGAGTACCACATTGGGCGTCACGTTGCGAATCTGTTTGTGACGCAGACATATGAAGGGCAGAGTGATATACACGCCTTGATCCTGGGCCGTGCTATTACTGGGCTGCAGGCATTCTGCTAAGGGTAAAGCGACTCGTCTATTCGACAGCTCAACCATCGAGTCTCAATCCCACACCTATCCCACACTCAGCATGTCTTCTGCGATCACGATTGGCATCCCCATCTTGCGGTCCAGTGGCAACAAGTCATCGCCAGTGCATTGATCAACCCCATCCTCGATGAAGCCAGAGAGCTGTCTTCCAGTGTCTAACAAGCACGATACCGAATTGCAGACTTCAACATAGTTGTGGATACCATGCCCACGAACAGTACATGACTTGAACATCTGCGGTATATGTCGGCGAACACTGATATTGACCATTTAGAGGTATATATTCAACCTCCAACAGCTATACCTGGTCTCCAGCAGGCGGCTGCAGGGAGAAACAGTAAATAAGCGATTGCAGCATGAAAATGAATGTTAGTCTCCGGCAAACATTGTTCTCAAAATGTTCAACTTCGCATACGATAGATACGTCGATGGCATCATCGTCATGGTGGCCACGTGAGGTTTTGCTCCAGTAAGCCAGTAGTGTTCCTGACTCAGAAGGTCGGAGAGACGGAATGAACAATTATTATTATTGTTACCTTGTACTGTTTCTGAGCCAACGTCTGGTCGAATATTTGTTGATGGGTTCCGCGTTGTCGCAGGCAATGCTTTGTCAGAAAGAAATCTAATGACAACAGATGACAGGAAATATGGCCTCGCTGCGGTGGCGAAGCCAGGAAAAAGTTGACGCCCAAGTGGATTTCATTGGGCGAAGGCGGCATCCAGGCAAAGGCACCCACCCAAGCCACCCACGCACCGCCCACGCCCACCCGCCTTGCCTGAGGTTCAGCGTCCGGCGTCGCTTGTAGTCAGAGATGCGCCCCTCGCTCCCTCGCTCTGCCTGCCCGCTGGGTGCCGCCATTACTGCGTCCAGCACCTTCTGCGACCCGCCAAGCGTGAACGCCCTTCTTTCAGTTTAAACTGCGATCCAGTCGGCTGAAAGTCGATCTCTCTTCCCTTTCACCACTGACTGCATAACAACCAACTTCACCAAACCGATCAAACCTCGTTGACAATACCGTCTCCTCTCCTGGGACACCCTCATCGTCACCTCTAATTCTTAAATCTCTCCTTCGCACATTCCTCAGGTTCGTCCGCTATCCTTTATTCTATCAGCCCATTACCAACCACTTTAGAGTTGACTCAGATAATAGCCCCACGTTCCGCTCGATATCAACCACCTTCGGCCTCAAAATCCTCCCTCCCTACTCAGAAAACCCATATTTTCAGCCATGGCTCTGAAGCGAATCAACAAGGAACTCACAGATCTTGGCCGGTGAGTCCTATCTGCTCTCTGGATGCTGCGAGCGGCAAATTCGGGCCTTGTAAAATCATACGGGCTTGTTTGGACAGCTATACTGATAAGTTGGAATATAGTGATCCTCCCTCCTCATGCTCAGCCGGTCCTATGGGCGATGATCTGGTAAGTATACAGTTCTGGAGAGCGGTCGAAACCGACGAGGTCACCGCGCAGACACGACCTCCTGCACCTGAATCACTGGCTGACATATGAATCAGTTTCACTGGCAAGCAACCATCATGGGTCCCGTAAGTTATCAAAGCTGTTTGGCTCAAGATGATTCCGGAACTGACCAAATTTTTCAGAGTGATAGCCCATTTCAAGGCGGTGTCTTCTTCCTGGCCATCCATTTCCCCACAGACTACCCCTTCAAGCCACCGAAGGTCAATTTCACAACTCGAATTTACCATCCCAATATCAACTCCAACGGCAGTATCTGCCTTGATATCCTTCGAGACCAGTGGAGTCCGGCTCTGACAATATCGAAAGGTTTGCACGATCGCCTCCTCCTCGATACGAAAACAACGTGCTAATATTTGATCAGTCCTTCTATCCATCTGCTCTATGCTTACCGACCCTAACCCCGACGATCCACTTGTTCCAGAGATTGCTCATGTCTACAAGACCGACCGCGCTCGATACGAAGCAACCGCCAGAGAATGGACGAGGAAGTTCGCAATCTAGTGCCTATGATAGAATGGGCGGTGGTGGTTGTTGATAGGTGGTGCTCGGCAGTGCCAAGCGGCAGGGGCTACGAGCTGCGTTAGATGAGAATTGGCAGCGTTTGGTACCGAGTGACAGCAACGATGACAGCCATTACACGAGGGTTTTGCTAGATGACCCCCAGCTCCACGGATGCGGTTGGCAGAGTATGACATATGCATTACACCAAGGAATGCAATGACTGGCAATGGGAGAAACAGGCGCCGACGTTATGGAGGGATGTTTATGTCCAGCAGCACGATCTCGGATGAATTCTTATGATGCATACAACAGGGCGTGCTTTAAGGGAACCGACAACTGTGCTTCTTGCTTACCCGAACATGTGGTTTCTTATCCTCTTGGCCATTGCCGTGCTCAATCGTCTCAGTTCCATCCATCCACATTTCAAACCTCGATGTCAACGTCTGGACAGGCGGTGACGCTTGAGATTTGATGCTGCAGCCGCCTTGCCCCAACCTGACAAGGAGTAATCCGTAGGCTGCCGAATGACCGCATGCATGGCCAAGGTGGATGGGACAAAACCAGGCCACCCAATTAGAGGGCGATTTCGGGCTGCGAAGAGCGTACTCCGGAGGAGGATGAGGCTGCGAGGCCTGTGATTGTGCGCAGGCGCACGTGCCCTCCGAAAGGTGATCCAGACTTGATCATAGTTGCATGGCCTGGTGGATAATAATGGCAGTCGTACGTTACATGCCAATGCGCATGTGTAGGAAAGCCTTGCATCAACTGAAACAAGGAGGCTGAGCGGCAAACCCCAACGAGACGTCCAGAGAGTTGGTTTTTCTGCACCGGCTGGCCCGTTTCGGAGCCCCCCCAACCCCTGGCGCGTTTCACCAAGCCTCATCCACCACGCATCGCCGCCAAATCATCGTTCTTCGAAGCCTCCTTACGACCTTTTCGAAGTCGGTCTCGAAAGCTCCGTCAACAGCGTCTGGGTTTCGCTTCTGATCGGGTCTCGACGCCTGTCACGCTCTCCTCGGCCACTATGTGGATATTCAAGCACTGGGCTCTGTGCCCCGATTGACCACCGCTTCCCCCGTCTGTGGGCTCTGGCCTGCGGGATCTACACCTGCCACAACTCCCCCTGAAAACTGCAGGAAAAAGGTCGACAAACTCTGTCATGCCGCCGATGTCTATTATGTAGCGAGAAGCGCCGAAGGGGGAGGGGAGAATGTACTACAATTGTGGTCCTATTTCTCGATCGTCCTGGTCCCTTGGTCGTTCTGTTTACTTGTGCTGATCATCTTCGTTTCTTCACTTGCCCGGTGCGACGTCTTCGCTTTTTTTGCATAGATTCGGGGTTGAACCACTTTCATTTCGCTTCTAACACGCCGAGACAGGCTCGTGCGGCGCTGAAACTCCCCAGGTATCCGACTTGTACGAGGCAAGTATACCCAAGTCCTTAGCGAACCGGTGATTTCCTTCATACTAATACTGTGTCAAGACTGTGTTTCGAAAAAGTCGTGAGAAGACCGTCTCGAGTCCGAACCCTGCCACAGCATCTGTCGCCGAATTGCAGTGTGCAGTGGACCAGTCCTGGAAACAAAATCGTATCAGGTAGTTCTAGACCGCAGTTCTTGGACCTTACATTATCATCTTCACGCCATGGACACGTCGATGCCTCCGCCCTACCCTTCCTACTTCTACGACAAGCCGCTGGGACGGTCCAACACTACGACGCACAATAATGCTCCAATGTATTACATCGAGAAGCCGTTGGCCAGGTCAAACACGTCGTCGACCACTTCGACGATGACGGAACGCACAAGATCAACTCCTCTGTCGAGGATGTTGCTGTCCGGGGAGGTGAGCGGCGAGGCGCCTCGGGACCTGAACATGAGAGAGAAGTTTGAGAGGTGGATGGTCAACGAAGGCTCGAGGAGGATAGTGGTGGGAGTGTTCGTGCTGGTACACGGACTGGTCTTTGGCTTCGGCTTCATGAACTACCAACTCAAGGACAACTTGACTGGGGCCCGGGCGACATTTGGCATCACATATCCTATTGCGCGGTCGGCCGCACTGGTCCTGCACTTCGACGTCGCCTTGATCCTCTTCCCCGTCTGCCGGACGCTGATATCCTTACTCCGTCAAACGCCCCTGAACAGCATTGTCCCCTTCGACAAGAACCTCACCTTCCACAAACTCGTCGCCTACTCGATCGTCTTCTTCACCTGGGTGCACACCATTGCGCATTGGAATAACTTTGCTCAGCTCGCGGCGAAGCAGAACCTGGGTTTCGTCGGCTTTCTGAAAGCAAACTTTGTCACAGGCCCGGGTTGGTCTGGCTATGTTATGCTCTTTGCTTTGATGGCGATGCTCTTTACGTCAATCGAGAAGCCGCGTCGCGCCAATTACGAGCGGTTCTGGTCCGTCCACCACCTCTTCATCGTGTTCTTCGTCTTCTGGTCCGTGCATGGCGCTTTTTGCATGATCAAGTCCGATACCGCCCCTTTCTGCTTCGGGACGGGCGTGTTCTGGGAATACTGGATGTACGGAGGCTTCGCGTACCTCTTGGAGAGAGTCCTTCGCGAGATCCGCGGCCGACACAAGACCTTCGTCACCAAGGTTATCCAACACCCTAGCAATGTTGTGGAGATCCAGATGCACAAGGAGAAGACGAAGACACGGGCGGGCCAATATATCTTCCTCTGCTGCCCTGAGGTCTCGATCTGGCAGTACCATCCGTTCACCCTGACGTCTGCACCAGAAGAAGACTATATCTCGGTGCACGTACGGATGGTGGGCAACTTCACCAAAGCTCTCGGTAAAGCGCTCGGTTGCGAGGACAGCAAAGGCCGGGGCGACGGTAAAGGAGACGGTCGCAAAATGCCTCGTTCCGAAGTTGTATCCATGGCTCCTGGGGGGCTGCAGAAGCTTCTTCCGCGAATCTACGTTGATGGCCCGTTTGGATCCGCCTCGGAGGATGTGTTCAAGTTTGAGACAGCCGTGCTGGTCGGCGCGGGTATCGGAGTGACGCCATTTGCCAGCATCCTCAAGTCCATCTGGTACCGCATGAGCCAAGGTCGCGACAATCAGACACGGTTGAAGAAGGTCTACTTCTTCTGGATTTGCCGCGACTTTGGCTCACTGGAGTGGTTCAAGAGTTTGCTCACGGCCATCGAAGCTCAAGATAAACAACACGCCATCGAGATCCACGCTGTATGTTCTCCCCTTTCTCCTGAGCCATGTTCTCTCACAGCCACATTTTGCTAACTGGTTTCGTCTTTAGTATCTCACCGCCAAGATCTCTGCTGCAGACGCCAACAATATCATGCTCAACAGCAGTGACACAGACGCCATTACGGGGCTACGCACACCGACGAACTTTGGCCGTCCGAACTGGGACATGGTTTTCCGGGCCATCCGAAAATTGCATTCTCCTGGCGAGGCGGGTGTATTCTTCTGTGGTCCCAAAGGTCTGGGCTCGCAGTTACACATACTGTGTAACATGTATAGTGAAGGCGACAAGGGTTTCAGCTTCGTCTGGGGCAAAGAGAACTTTTAATGTCCCGGTGCTTTTTCCTCTCAACTTGACTTACTTTGTTGCGATTCAGAAGCGTTTGTACCAAATGTTGGATACTGGAGGGACAATTGGACTCAGCTCAAGGCAAGACTTTGACTTATATTTTCAGCAAATCTGGGAAATTGGGGCAGCAGCCAACAGCCATGGATGGATCCGCGAGACCTGTGTCCGTCCCCAGGCACGTCGACGCCATGGTTCGACCTCAACAATGGACATTACATACATACATGGTGTCCTCTGCCACCACAGTTTGGCACTTCCCCATTGGGGGGCGGGAGGGAATGCCATGTTTGTTTTGTACCAACCAACCTTATGTTTTCAAATAGAAGATACCACGATACATCATCACATCACTCGGTCAACGAGGCTTTTTACGAGGCGATATATATAGAAGAGAATTTGAGGATTTTTTTCAGAAAAAGGCGAAAAAAAAAACAGAGGGACCGGTTTTTTTACCTTGTCATTGTAAGCGGGAGCCTTGTCTCTACCTCGTCCCTCGTCCTTTGGTTCTAGCCATATGTAATACTTTACCACGTACACAACGTGGGAGATCCGTCCGTTATCCCGCTGTTGCTTCCAGTCAGAGGTGTGACTCTCTCGCGGGCGGCTTGAAGAACATGCATCGTGTGGTGTGTGGTGTGCTGTCGTATCATTCTCGAGTAACCGCCCATCAGCTCTTCAAGCGCCGGCAAGGACAGTAAAAAAAAATAATCCAATCTCTATCCCTATTCTCTCCCTCCAATGAAAAAACCCCAACAAACAAAACTTGATAATCCGACCTGCGGGGATAATATATTCGTCAATAAAACGAGCCCTAGAAAATTAGTATCTGCTTTCTGGAGGGAAAAACGCCCCATTGTCTGTCCGTCCATCCGTCCGTCCGTGGGTATGTATGTATGTATGTATCCAGAGCCGGTACCACCGTTGCCCAAATATCCATCTCTTGATATTGTTTTTGTTTGCAAACACATCAAAACAAAACATTGGCGATAGTTGCCTTTCTGTCTTTCTCCCATCAAGATCGCAGGAGGACGCTCTGTCTGTTGTTATCTTTGAGGTTGTAGATGGACAGGACCCTCCTGACGGCCCTGCCACTCCCAGGCTTCAACAGCGCGTTGAGCTCGCTCCCATGGAACACGGCGAAGAGAAGCACCGTGGTGAGCATCAGCACGGCGTCGAAGACGTAGAGGAACACCTCGTGCGAGATCAGGTAGCCGTCGTTGCCCTGGCCGTACTCGATGAGGCGGAAGAGGGATCGAATCAGGATGAGCAGGCTGCCGGCGTAGAGGGTGTAGATGTGTTGTTTCCAAGCGGTGGCGATGTCGACGTCGGCGAGGACCTTGGACGTCGGCGCGCGGTGCATCCGCACGTGGAATATCAGGCCCACGACGACGAAGAAGGAGAAGAAGATGACCTGCACGACCAGGCCGCCGATGATGATGTTCTTGCCCGTGTCCATGGACGACGCGGTCCCGCTGGACATGATCCCTCCACCTGCAGGGTGTGATGGTCAGTATCAGTCTTGCGTGCCGAAGAGCGTGCTCTATCGAAGGGGGGTAAAGGATCTCACCAGAGGATTGCATCAAGAAAGAGAGGACATCGCCCGCAACGAAGACCTTTGTCAGCCACCGCGGGTTCATGAGCGAGTACTTCCTCCCGTCCGTCAACAGGATGATCCGTCCGAGCTCCATGTAGATGGTGGCCGCGAAGAGCGCCGGAGCGACGAGGATCAGGACCGTCTGCAGCACGTAGCCGCCCACGCTCCAGTTCGGGGTCTCTTGAGCCCCGATCGCCCGTCCAACATATCCGATGGCCTCAAAGTACCCGCCGACGCAGAAGGGGATGAAGAACCAGGTCCGCGTCCGGATGAGCTGGTACGTGTGCAGAAAAGACGCGACTGCGAACAAGATGACGAAGATGACGGCTGCGACGAGGGAGGGGTCGTAGTGGTAGAGTTTAAAGTCCGAGTTGTCGTTGGCCATTTTTGTCGGTTGAAGTTGTTCAGGCGAGAGGCTTCTCGTGGGTGACAAGAGAAGGGGGATGGGAGTCAACGCAGCAGAAATGCAAATGCAATGAACAACGCAGAAGGCAATTCTCTTTTTTTAAGGCTAAAGCATGAAGGTAGAGGAGACGAGGAGTGCAAGGTTCAAACCTCTTCAATTTATACACATATACCCAGTACCCCATCTCATGTTGTCCTGTCCATACTTTGCTTTGCCTGCTGCCTGCCTGGCCGGCGGATAATGCGTCTCTATTCATTGTGATGGTGGAACCATGACAAGGTCGCGGATTGAATGCGTCGGGTAAGTCGATGTATCGAGTCTAGCTGAAAGGATATAGAGGGGGGTGGCTGTGAGGGAAACGGAGAGATTTGGTTTGATATGCGTGAGGATCCAGAGGGGGGATCCTCGTAAAAAGCCCCGTATATATCAATACGCGTATCGGGGACGAGGCTCCACAGATATACGCGTACTCGGCAGACCTTCCGTATTGGCATGAATGTGACGAGGCTGTGGCTGTGTTGCTGGCTACATCTTCCAGCCTTGGACTTTGCTGCTCAATCGACTTGAAGGGGGCGACAGCAACAGCAACATGCAGCAATTATTATGAGACACCCCTAGATCTTTCCAAGGACTTGGAGCCATCCACCATGTTGCTGGTGGCGAGCTCGGGCAGACCTGTTTTGGCTATCTATCACCTCTGTTGGAGCTGCAATCGTTTATCGTTTATTTGACTTCGGTCACTTTCGCCCAGGTCAAGAAATATACATCTGGCTGAGTCCTTGGGAAGGACAGCGGGATACTGAAAGGGAGGACATACAATGTCGGACGGAGCATTATCGCGCTCTATAGAGCCTTCTGCCACGTCTTCCTCATCCGGAAACGGTGATCAGGGCTATTCTTTGCACAACCTCAACAGCGTCGAATCTGCAAGGGACGATTCCGGGCGCGAGAACTTTCTCGGTCCTGCTGGACTGGAAGACTATGACCACGAAGAAGCAAGCATTCTCCTCGCACCTCAGGAGCTGTCGGAGCGGTCAGATGGTGATCAGCGTTTCCGTTGGACTCGCCATGACCGGCTCTATAAGTCAGAGTCTGCTTTACGAGCGGTGCTGAGCTGGATCAAAGGTCCACAACCGCCTCGAGTCTTTCGGATTCACTCTTCCGAATGGCTCCAAGATGCGTGCGACCACCTCATTGACAGGATCTTGCCTGGTAAATGGCTCAAGGTGTTCGTTCTGGGTACGCTCTATGTTCTGTGGAGTGGGCTGTTCCTTTTGGCACTTCGAAGGGCGGTGGTATCGAGCACTGATTCTGTCGATGGTCAGCCAACCAGGCTAGACTGTACGGCTCGACTGTGGTATGTGTCTGGACGCCATGGGCGGTCATCATCACTGACCAGTACAGGCTTAATAGTACGCTTTGTGGATTGGACGGCGAGGAGTGTCGTCCTTTCGAGGACAATCACTTTCCGTTCGTTTGCCCGGCTGGGTGTAAAGATGTCATGTTACTCGAGCCTCATTATATTGGATCTCAGCGAGTCAATTATCGTAGCCTTGTCGTCGGAGGGCCGCCATCTCTCGACGACCCGGCCTCTGCCATCTACCGCGGTGATTCATTCATATGTGCCGCGGCAATCCATGCCGGCATCACCACCAATGCCCGGGGCGGCTGTGGAGTGCTTCTGCGTGCTGGAGAACGGTCCAACTTCCCCAGCGTCGATGCCCATGGTATCAGCAGTATTGGATTCCCGTCCAACTTCCCGCTATCCTTCTCCTTCAACTCGTCCAACTTGGCGACTGGTGCGTGCAGAGACTCTCGCTGGATGTTCCTGGGCACGTCGATCCTGGTCACTTCGGTCTTGTCCGTCTTCGTGACCTCGGCGGCGGCGTTTTTCTGGTCAATCTTTGTGGGTGTCTTCTTCCACGTGGCCCTGATCTCGGATCCCCCTTTTTACCAAGACTACGCGGACGTGGTGTCGATGGCGTTCCGACGGTTCCTGCCAGCCGCATTCGTCGGCCATGTCATTTATCGGTATTGCGTCCGTCGAACGTTGTCCGATCTCAGGGCCCCGATCGAGAAGACCGTCCTCTGGCTCGGGGGTTGTTGGGTCGGCGCATTGAACAACGTCACCTTTGACCGCATCCCGATATCGCGATTGACCCCGCACGACTTGAAGCAACAGCCCGGCGCTATCCCGGCGCTGTGTCTGATTATTGGGATCCTCCTGATCATCGCCGTCGGCCAGGCCTGGTGTTTTCGGAGCGAAGGTCGGATGCCGCGGTACCTGTCGTTCTACGGCGTCGTGGGCGCGGTGTTGGTGGCCCTGGTTTTGATCCCCGGCATGAACGTCCGCATCCATCACTACATCCTGGCGCTGATCCTGCTTCCGGGGACGTCGCTCCAGACCCGCCCCAGCCTGCTCTACCAGGGCATCCTGGTCGGGCTGTTCCTCAACGGCGTCGCGCGGTGGGGGTTCGACAGCATCTTGCAGACGCCGGGCCAGCTCCTACAAGACGGCGCCGCCGTGGGCAGCGTGGTCCCTTTGCTAGGTACCGCGCCGCTCATCGTTGGGCAGAACGTCACCTTGAGTTTTGACCGAGTGACGACGTCGTCCTCATCCTCGTCTTCTTTCGACGGCATCGCCGTCCTCGTCAACGACGTCCTGCGCTTCCAAGCCTTTTTCGCGGACGTGGAGGACATGACCTTCCACTGGACGCGGCGCAGCGTGGTGGCAGGGGACCCGGAGTTCTTCAGGTTCGCATACGTCAAGAGGCACGCGGTTGGCGGCGTGGGAGAGTGGTACGGCGATTTCACCCCGCCGGCCGTGTGGTTTGGGAATGGGACCTGGGTGGCGGGATAGATATCTATATGTCCAGAAAGGTGGATTGATAGATGGATAGATAGTTGTGTAGACGAATATTTGGATAGGCGAACAGGTGGACAGGTCGACAGGGTCGCGAGTATCCTGGTATCTGGCATCTGATGTCTGATGTCCGGTACCCTACCAAGGCCAACCATGTACTTTACTTGTACGTATATACATATATGTATTGACCATCTTCTGTGCTTCTATGTTTCTGTATCATGTACCTATGTATCTACCCACCCACCCACCTACCAAGGCAACAAGAGCTGCAAGGGAGCAATGTTACAAGGCTACGAGGCTACGAGGCTACGACTCCACCTCAGTGCCATGTAAATCATTCCGAGTATATCCCATCCGCCACCAGGAACAAAACTAACCTACCAAACCAACATAGATCGGTGCGGACGAGCATCACACAAGAGACTCACTCACTCATATACACCAGCAGACAGACCTTTGATGGTTTGAAAGCTTTGAAATTTGGGCAACTTTGCAAGGGATATATAGGGATATCGTGGTTACAACAACAACGATCCTGGGCACCTCCTTTGGACATCGACATGCACCATTCATATCCATTTCTAGTTCTCTAATAACAAACGCCATTCTCTACTCCACTGGGTAACTGGTATCCAAAAGTCATGTCGCATTTCCAAAAACAGATTGTGGTGCGAGGGTGTCTCATCCCCTTCGCAGCCAGCATATCACCTCAAAAAACCCCGCTGTGAAGCTTGCAAGACAACCAACTGCCAATGCTTCATACTTAAAACACATAAATGGTACAAATTCCAGACTCTGCGTCACACATCACGCCACATGACCCAACTCTGGGAGCATTTGCTTTTCCATTGTGGAAGCCGAAATCAACGACGGCGAAAAGTTTCGAGAATAGTTGCCATCGTCCGGCTCGTAGATGCTGATGCTGTCTTGACTGGCTTCGTCGCTCGACTCAGGATCGCTGTCATCTCGAAACGGCCTCTGCATGGTACTCGAACTCGATCCGTTTTCCACGTCGTAATCTTCCACCACGAGAATTGGATTCTTTTCGGATGGGTCTGCAGCGGTACTCTCAATGGCTCTAGGCGCTTCGGGGACGCTGTACAAATAGGTGGCCAAGAACACCAATATGGAACCAAACAGAAAATAAATCGTGGGAACAAAGTTGAAGATGAAGATGGAGGCAACGGTGGAGAGGATGATGGAGAGGGAGGTGGCGAAACCCTTGAGGATGTTGTCGGCGTACTTGATGACCATGGCCACAATGAGGCCGCCTGCCGCCTGGATGCAGACAGTCGCAAAAACCACAGAGTTGTAACCCTGGAAAAAGCCCTTCTCCCGGATGGCCTGACCATCCCAGACCAGTGCCCCGGTCAGAGCAATGGCCAGACAGCCGACGCTCAGCTGGATGTTGCGAACCCAGATGGACGAGGGCTGGCCGTTCTTGAGGACCTTTTCGAAGTAGACACCTGCGAATCCCGAACAAATGCAGGCAATGGCCACAGCAATAATCCCAACCACATAATTGCCTTGCTGTGTGTTGACCGCGGCTGTCGACGAAGGTATTTGCACACAGGCTACTCCGGCCGTGAGGATGACAAGGGATAACCACTTTTGAGCTGACAGGCTCTGGCCCAGCATCAACACCGCAAACAGGGCTGTGGTCAGGATCTTGCATTGATAGGTGACTTGGAAGGTGGCGGCATCCAAGTTGGTGGCAGCAACAAACTGGAGGTTGTTCTGCAGGGTGTATAAGATGGCGGGTACGAGGAGCTTGAAAAAGCCACTTTTAACACTAAAGATATCCGTCCATAGTTGCTTGAGACCGTAGCTGGTCGGGTTCAAGTGTGAAGGGGCGTCGTCGGAGAGGGTCGGAAGCTGTGAGGACCGGTGTTGGTGTCGTTGGTCGCTGACATGGACGCACAAGCATATTATACATTTAAGGACTTCGGAGAGCACCACGGCGGTTGAGCTCAGGTATCTCGGACCGGGCAGGATTCGGGAATATCGCATAACCAGGACGAGGGAGGAGTTTTGGACAACGAGCGTGAGGAGAGAGACATATTTTGTAGGAATGCCATGGATGGTCGAAACACCGTCTGTGGAACACGGATCATCAGTATACTCGCTCTTTCTACGGGCACAGTTGGCGAATGGATGTACGTACCTCTGGCTGACATATTTTCTATCTTCTTTTCCTTTTTTGCGAGAGATATGAGCTGGATCCAATGATAATGTTGATGATATGACTGGAAATAAGAACTAGGACAAATCAAAGACTGAGTGCGAGTAGGTAACGAGTGACTTTGTTTGGTTGAGTGAACGAGTGACAACCGTAAGGGTGAGTGCGTTGATTCTTTAAGGAGTGACCATGGGTGAATGCGAGCTCAATAGCACAAAGTGCAAGGGATGATGCATTTCATCGCGGTGATCATAGTGTCAGCAGGAATGAGGAAGAGGGAAAGGCCCCAGGATGCACATTGATGAGGTCTGTGCCTGGGGGGGAGGGGTGTAGGTATTAGGTGGTGGTTTAACAAGACATGTTCGAGAATGAAGGTGGTGTGTGGTGTGGTGATGATGGTGGAGTGGCAGGAATAATGTACTAAGGAGCGCAGAGAGGATCACGAGCGAAGGGAGGGTGGATGGTGGAGACGACGGAATGGATAGAGCGGAGCGCATGGAACTGTAAAGTAGGACGGTGGTTGGTGGGAAGCTTTAGAGCGTCAAGGCGTCATGGTGAAATTGCAAGGGGATTGAAGGGGACAGGAATGGGAGACGATCCTGATTCCGGGTGCCTGGCACGCCTAGCCAGCTAGCCTTGGAGACCTGATGATGGTGGTGATGATCTGATGCGATGCGAGGTGAGGGTCTTTGGGGAGAAGTTGTCAGCATGACATTCTTTCAAGTACCAGTCTCTACGAGGTCTCTTGGGTCACCTACATAGGTCCCTCCCAAGGTGACTATGGGAGTACCGAACATGCCTGCGTACGTAGTACTGTACTTGTTAGGTACGAGGTCCTTTATTTAGGTACTTCTCCACCTAGCCTTACCCGTAGGTAGGTAAGTTCAAGTATTGCCTAGGCCCCAGCCAGATCGTCAGGTACCCGCCGCACGCCGCCCACTACCCAAATTACCCTGCCACGCCTACCACCATACCTCTGAACAAGCACGTAGGTGGTCACTTAGTTAAAGGTACTTGGAGACCAAGCAATCAACCCCTCCCCTAATACCCGGCACGATTGGCGACCCCTCCGGATATAGAAACGCGTACCAAGTAGGGGACGTGTTTGCTGATCACCGAGTATCTCTCGTACATGTAGGCAATATGGAGGATTGCGGATCGCTTTGTATTGACACCCCTAGCGAGCGCTATGGGTATCACCATGACCCCTCACGCCCCCTAAGCCAGACACCAGAGCCCCTACCTACTCCTCCCCTTACATACTTGTCCTCGTAGCTCGCCTGCACCAACATACATTGGTGACACCAACCAGCCAGCTGTGGTGTTACAAGCTGTACAAGTAGTGTTACCGTCACCATCTCGTCTCGTCTCCTCTTCTCTACCCACCGTGTCCGTAACGCCCCTCCCACTGCCAGGGTCACCAGAGTCACACTGAACGGGTTGACAAAATACCCGCAGCATTTTATCGATTACTTTCCCGCGATTAGCGATTGGCGTATCTCGGGATTATCGATAGCTAATCTGACGTGTTTTCCCCCCTTGAAGCCTCGCCTCCGAAACAGACAAGTCTCCCACGTGTTGAGTCGTGTGTTTACATACTCCCTCGGTACCGAGTACTCCGTACTCGTGCACAAGTCGTGACAGTATCGCGTCCGTCCGTCACCACTACCCGAGGACGGAGCATGCGGCGAGTCTGGCCAGGGCCGTGAACCTAAACCCACCCATCAACTCAGGTCGCGTAGCTGAAATGGAATGAGCCCAAGTGGTACGGTTTCTCGACGCCCTTGCCCGTGAAGAATGCCAGCAGCCATTCTTTCAGTGACAGCTGCACATTGTACGAACAGTGCTTCATGACCCAGGCGAAACTCGCCGCCCGCCAGATCCGCCGGCTGTGGACTTCGCTGTGGTCGCTGACCTGGATCTGCCACATGGCGTTGTTGCAGCTCTGCCCCGCCAGCCGCAGGTCTTCGATGGATTGGTGCAGATGGTCCATGTAGGTCTGTAACGCCTTGAAATCGCTGGCCAGGTCCATGGTGATCATGGCCAGTGTCAGCAGGCATGTGAGTTGGAATATCAACTCGAGTCGTCGCGGTTGTGTGAGTTCGGCGTCCGGCGGAGGCTGTCTGGACACCAACCCAAGCAACGTCGACCCCTCCTGGAGTTCAAAGGGGTGTTTCCGTCTCCCTACGACTTCGATGTCAGCTTCTCGACGCCCCTTGGCGGCCAAGACGCTGGTGCTTGACAGCGACTGCCCAAACTCTCGCAGCTTCTCCAGGAAGATGTTCAGATTGTCCACCAGCCTCTTGAGATCCGAAACATCCCAAATGTAGCTTTCTGGGCTCGTCCCGTAGATGCATTCAAAGAAACACATGACGCGCGACAAGAGCACCGAGTTGACCGCGAGAGGACCCCCAGTGGTCTTCAAGATCTTTCTGACCGCCTGGTAGTGCATCCCCGCCGCTTCCTGAGAGCCTGACCGGCGATCAAACGTGCCTAGACTGATGATGGATGCCAACAGGTCGTCCTTGCGGTTGGGGCTCGCCCTGACACTCAGCTGTCGGACCATTTTCAGAGCCTCGCCCTTGTGTCGGATCACGGCCAGCTCGAGCGACCTCTTCTCCGTGTCGGTGGCATATTTGTTCAGTGAGATCCGGTACAGGGCCGACCGTGCCATGATGACCTGAAAACACGCCGGCGTGGTCAGGGCAATGGAGAAGTTGCTGGCCACCGGGTGGGGACGCAGTCGAGGACTGAACCCATACGTGGCTTTGGGGTAGTAGAGCAGATAGAAGCTGATGAGGTGCTCCTGGAAGCGGTCGAGGCTCACAGGCAGAGCGGCAAAGGGATCCAGTCGGTCTGAAAATGGTCGGACGCTGTGGCGCACAATGGCCAGCAGCTTTTCCTCGCGCGTCAGGTCCTTGAACTTTTTGCCATCTAGCTTGTTTTCTTCCTTGTCTCCTCCATCTTGAGCCGCGTCTGGTGGAGGAAGGACGGCAGGCTTTGGTTCGATAGGTACCAGTTCCCTTTTGATGCGGGTCAGCGATTTACTGGTCGAGGACTCCATTCCTCAGAGGTCCGGCACCATGTTTGCTCGAAAGGGCGATGGTTGATGTTCCCCGTGTGCAACGAGGGGCCAAAAGCAAAGGAGGCCCCAAGACCCAAAGTCGCGGTGAACAGAGGCCCTGTGCCCTTTGTAAGCTGGGGATTGGTTTCTTTTTTTTTGCGCCCGAATTGGGCTTGAGTTTGACGAACACGGCTCGTTTAACAACCGAGATCAGTTTCTTGGGAGGGCGGGTGAGAAAGTCGTTTCGTTTTCGCTTCGTTAACCCCTAGGCACAATGCGACGCCTCAGAACAGATAGACACAGACAGCGATATGCGGGCCATTATTTCCTCCCCCCCCCGTCTCCTTGGACTTTTGTAGATGCCGAGTGTACGACACTACCATGGTTTCACGGGTAGAAAGGGCCACCTTCAGAGGGATTTGTCTTTGGGATTATGACTTTTCACTTTCAAAACACAAAGGTTTGTGTGCCCTGGTGCGCAGCGGGCGACGTCATGGTACGGAAAGAGAGGAATCAAGGGGACCAGCTAAATATAGCTGCGCTTCAAAAGTGTATAATAATCAAGTGGTCATATAGAACATGTGGGAACTTGGCGAGATAATCAGGGTCAAACTGAAGCCTGGTAGAAACTTGTCTTGGGGGGGGATGAAAGTTCGGTATCGAGTCACCTACGATGTTTTCTCCCGACATGGTGTAATTTGACCGGGTCTAATCTACTATGTATCTCTCTTTCTAGCTGGCATGAGACTCGAAACTGTCTTCCAATCAGACCTCCTCCTCCTTTTAGCCAAAGGAATACTGAAGCCGGGCGAAAACTGCACGCCGGACGGATAGGACGCTGTGTGGTTGTATACATGAAGTATACACACCCCAATCACAGCCGTGCCCTCTCCCGCTCGTCCCTGACCCTCAGCCCTCTGTTCTTGCCTTCTTTATCCTTGGCCTTGAGAATCCGCCGCAGCAGCTTGCCCGTCGGACTCTTGGGGACCTGCTGCGTGAACTCGATCTCGACAATCCACTTATACCTCACCTTGCGCTCTTTGACGAACTGCAACAGCCGCTGGCCGACCTCCTCGCTTTCGCGCACGCCGGTCTTGAGCACGACGTAGGCCTTGGGTCGCTCGCCCGAGTACTCGTCGGGGATGCCCAGCACCGCGCAGTCCTCGACCTCGGGGTGTCCGAGGAGCAGATCCTCCAGCTCGGCCGGCGGCACCTGGAGGCCCTTGACCTTGATCATCTCCTTGATGCGGTCTTCGATGTGGATCAGCCCTTCGGCGTCAATATGGCCCACGTCCCCCGTGTGGAAGAAGCCTTCTTTGTCGAACGTCTCGGCCGAAGCCGCTGGGTTGTCCAGGTAGCCCATCGCGATCTGGGGTCCCCGCGCAAGGATCTCTCCCGTCTCACCCGGGCCAAGTTCCTTCCCCGTGGTCAGATCAATCACCTTTGCTACCGTGTTGGCGACCAACAACCCTCCCGTGGTCGCATACTTGTAATCGTAATGTGAAGGCGGATGTGCCGAAATGCACGCCGTCGACTCTGTAGCACCGTAGCCCTGGCGAAACCCAGTCCAGGGGAACTTTTTCTGCAGCAAGGCTATTATCTCCGGTGAGATGGGCGCCGAGCCCGACGACCAGCGGTTGACGTGGCGCAGGTCGAAATTGTCGACGATCTTGTCGCGGACGAGCCGGATGATGATGGGCGGCACGAGGATGAGTTCTTCGATCCTGAATTCGCAGATGGCGCGGAGCATCGACTCCATGCTAAAGGCCGGGAGCATGACGCTGTCACCGTTCATGAAGATCGGGTACGTGCAGAATCTCACCAGGCCAGTAACTGGAATCCATCCGGGATGGTGGTTAGTCTCACCATGGCTTCCCTGCATCTTTGTGGGGACAAGGGCAAACACGTACTGTGGAACAACGGCATGACGGCCAGGATCTTGTACGGCCCGGGCGCCTGGATCTGTCTGAGCTGGTGGCACTGTGCAATGATGTTGTGGTGCGAGAGCATGACCTGTATCGTCTCTCCCGTCAGCCATCCTCGCTCGCTCAGCACATTACTCCATCACGGGTTGGGTACTGACAGCCTTTGGCAACCCCGTCGTTCCACTGCTGAAATTCAAATACCCGCAGATGTCCTTGTTGGTCTTGCCTTGTGGCACCCGGTACGGCGGGTCGGGGGTATACTTCTCGCTGCGCTTCATGAGGTCCTGGATGTTGATGCACCCATCTGCCTCCCCTTCCAGCAGGAAGACGTGGTGGCGAGGGATGCCGACATTTCGAGCAGCCGCCAGTGCCACGTCCAGTGATGTTGGCAGCGTTATTAGAAACCTCGTCTTTGCGATCTTGAGGGCGTAGGTCATCTCCTCGACCGTGTAGGCGGGAGATGCGCCGTTGACTCTTCCACCTACATCGTCCAGGATCAGCCCTCTAAGCCTTCTTATCTCCCTTCCCGTGATCGCTCTCGATCTCGAAAGAGTTGAGAGACGGGAAACTCGTTCACCACAACGTACCTGCTCGGATCACGGCCCACATCGCTACCGGGTACCAGATAGTATTGGTGCTGAACAGGGAAATCGTCTCACCCGGCTGGAATCCATACTCCTTGACCAGGGCGGTACTCAACTGCGTGGCGGCAGTCTTTACGGCATCCCAATCCAGGCGTTCCTTGGTGACGGCATTGACGTACGCGGCCAACGGCTCCCGCGGCGTCTTCAGTAGCGGGGAGAATTCCTTCGACTCAAAGACCCATTCCCACGTCGTGATGTCTTCAGGGACTGTCCCAGCACACTACCGGTCAGCCTTGAATCGAAAATCCCCGATTCCCTGGGTATACCTGTCCAGTGGAACAAGTGAAGGGTGGCCAGGTTTTGACTTACTCTCTATCCGCGGATGAGGAGACTTGAACAGCACCATGATTCACACACACCAGCGACTCGCAACGCCAGCTCCATACATACAAAAGGACAAGAGGGATGGATCAAGAAGATCAAGAGAGAGCAAAGAGATGTGCGTCCGGCTATGTCGGCCATGATTACCGGGTGATGGGCGTGCAGCGCAGGCAAAACGGTCAAGTTGGATGCGGAGAAACCTACAGGCAAACACTGCGATACTTCCCAAGACCTCGGCAAAGCGGCGATTCCAACTACATCCTCATGCCTCATTGGGGTCATCGCCGACCAATTCTGCCCACACAGTCTATATCCATAATTTTGTCGGTGAAACCTCATCCCAGAACATGGTTGAACACTGTGGTTGGTACCCCTTGATTGCCGTTTTAGGCGCCGACAGCGGTAGACTGACTCGCACTTTCAAAACCTCCCGTCGTAGCGACACCCGAGTCAATCCTCCTCCTGTCAGTCGAGACATCTATTTCCTGCTCCTTCGCCTGTCTCACAAACAAGCGGAAATCAACCTTGGGTCCATCGTGCCAATTGCCTGCATCGTCACGTTCTCTGGCCGCGGGCATGTTCTCGCCACTGACAATGCACAACACTGTCATACCCCGTCTGTACTTCAACCCACTCAGTAACTTGGGTGTGATGAGGAAGTATTGACTGCCGCCGTCGTCCGCCGCGATATCGACCATTCGGCCATGCACCATGCGTTCGTTTCGGGGGTCCATGCCCTGGTTGATCTCGTCGACCACTCGGAAGGGAGCTCGACTTAGACTCTGCAGAGCCATGAGGTAGAAGATGGTACTGACTGCTCTTTCACCACCCGACTGCCGGTGACTGTCTAGGAGACTCAGTGGCTCTTGCTCCCGGAACTTGACGCTGATGTGGATGGCCCAGTTAGCAAAGTCCAGCCCGTTCTCTATTCCGCCGTTCTCCTCGGTGCAATCAGCGGGATTTTCAGAGGATGCCTTGTGCACCGCAACCTGGCCAGCACATCCGATGCGTGCAAAAGAATCGGAGAAGGCGTCGTTGATCTTAGACACCACTTCCTCCAGTCGAGGTTCCCATTTGGCCCGGATGGTGCCAATGGCGTGTCTAAACTCCTCCCGGCGTCGATCGCCCTCGTGAACTTTGCTCTGTAACCTCTCAATTGTTTTGGCTCGTTCCTCAAATTCAGCGATGATACCAGCATTACCACCCTCGGTCAGCTCCAACTTAGCCTTCTCGGCGTCGATCTCAGCGTCCAGGTTCTCTTCGGTTTTGACCGTTTGGACTATATAATCCATAAGCTCAATCAGGCTGCTGTCGCCTTCCTCTGAAGCCTTTTCGCTTTCTGCCCTCAGTTCGTAGGCGACATCGCGAATGGCGTTGGCTCGCTTGCGCTCCTCAGTGAAGAATTCGTTTGCAGTATTTCGCTCGGCCTCCTTCTCTTCTATGCTACGGAGGATGTGATCGTTGTGTGTTTTCAACACCTCAAAATCCGACTTTGCCTCCAGGTGGAAGATCTCTGCTTCAAGCAAGCGCGCCGTCTTCGACTTGATGTCTCTCGAGGCATCGACAAAGTCGAGGACGGCTTCCGTTTTGTCCAGGAGAGCGGCATCATGGCGGTCGCTGAGCTCATTCAACCGAGCCCTGACCCCACTCAGCGCTTCGCTGAGATTGCGTATCTTGTCTTCGTAGCTTTGGATCTTGGGATCCAAGGCATTCCATTCTGCGAGGGCCTGTTGTTTGGCGCCCTTTTCTCGCTGCTTGGCGTCAATCTCTTCGTGAACGAGTCTTTGATTCTCCTCGAGTTGCGCGATTTCTTTGTCGATGCCTTCTGATTCCGACTTCAACATTCCATGCTCGCCTTTCACTTCATTCATCTGTCGTTGCAAAGCGGCTTTTCTTCCCATGTCCACCGGCTGTTCGGTCCACATTCTGGCTTGACGTATGTCGTGCACTCTGGCCGATGTGCCTGCTGCACCATACTCCGCGCGTCGAATGAAATGATACGTCTTTCTCCCAGCAGAATAGCTTTGTATAGGTGTCTTTGCCACATCATCATGCTGCTGTTGAGTAAGCTCCCTAGAACTGATTCCACACCTGTGGAGGGATCTTTCAAAGCAGAGTTGGGCCAACACGGTCGGCGGACCCTGCAAATGATCCAAAGCCCAGCTGCTCAACCCGAACCGCTCCATTTCCTGCCCGGTCAAGGGTGGACGGAATTGCTCCAGGCTGTCAGTGGCGCACTCACGCAGGCTCACGTCGTGGAGCTTGAGACCTTGAAACAACTGACGTTGAAGAAGAGTGAAATCGGCTTTGTTCTGAACTGTGATGAACTTGAAGTCGCTGATTTGCAGGAAAGACTCGACCACATCGGCCATGCGTGGATCTTTAAGCGAGCATTCCACGATTGGAGGTCCGTACACATGAGCAGTGAACTCATCGCGGTGGTCCTGAATCCACCTCCAAGCTTTCAAGGTGTCCCGTGACAAGTTCTCCAGTTTACCTTCTTGTTGGCCAACTTGCGTCTCAAGTCCTGCGAGCTGACCCTTCAGGACTTTGAATTGTTTGACCGATCTGTCAGCTCGATCTCCCAATTCTGTCCTCCGTGACTCGAGGTCACTTTTCCGATCATCCAATGCTCGCAGACGCGTCCTCAGCTCCTGGATCTCGCTATTCATGGCTCGAGAGTCGAATGCTTCTGGAGCCTCCGCTTTCTTTCGCCTCAGATCCTGTAGCTTCATCTGTTCTCGTTGTAACTTTGCCCTATTTTCGGGAATGCTCTTCTTCTCTGCCTGGATTTCGTTGTTCAAGTCGTTGATGACACCTTGTTTCTCCTCGACGACCCTTGCTTTGCGCTCGCAATCTTTGATACTTGCACTTAACTCCTTCTCACATGCAGCGTTGAATGCTCGTGCCTTGACTTCGTAGTCTTTCTTGGCGTCAAGGCTTCGGAGGACAGGTGCCGCCGCCTTTCTGAGGCGTTTGAGCTCTTCCGCTAGGTCCCCCATCCTATGTTTCGCGGCCAGGAAGTTTGCCTTGGCTTTGTGGTAGTGGACCAACGGTCGGAATTTCTCCAAGCCCGCAAGTCTCTTTTTGACGACAGCTCTTTCTCTCATGCGTTCCACTTCTGCCTGTTGCATTGCTTGTCTGTTCTCCAGGTTTTCCAGTTGCTCTCGGGCATCTCTGTCATCCGTCATGCCATCGCTCTGAGAGCTGCGAAGCTTCTTCAAGTCCTCGTGCCATTTGATCATTTCTGGACCGGCCACGGCTCGCTGCGTGCTGGTGAGCAACTCAATAGGACTCATTTGAGCAAACTCGACGACCTTGTCCTGGGGGAGAAATTGGCAGAGATTGTCGATCTGGATGTTGAACGAGTTCGCCAACTGTTTGACAGCAGCACCTGAAGATGCATTTCCATTCACAAAAAATTTGGACTTGTTGCCTTCTCTTTGTATCACCCTTTTGATCACCGGATTCTTGCGCAGCTTGGTCGTCCGCTGCAGTTCAATCTCGATGACGGCCTCGCGGGAGCCGTGCTTGACGAATTCTGCAGGTTCTTTCGCGCGTCCGAGATACTAGCATGCATAAGTGAAATGGTCAGAGGCAGTACTCGACCCGCAACTCACATGAGGCGGCCACCCAAGGCCTAGACAAATTGCGCAAACAAGTGTGCTTTTCCCGGTTCCGTTCGGCCCAATAACCATGTTCAAATTCGGCCCAGGAAAGAATTCAGCGGAGGTATAGGTGACAAAATTCGTAAGTTTGACCCGGACAATGGCGCCAGGCTGGTGACCTTTCGCACGGCTGGCAGTGTCATTGCTACCACCATTGCCCTCAAGATGTGGTTTGCGTATGGCCGAGGGGGTGGTCAGTTGCCGTATGGGTGAGCCGTCCTCGTCATCGTCGACAGAGGTGGCATGTCGTCGTCTACGTTTGCTGTCATTAGGGGCGGTGGACGAAGGGGTACCCGGTCTCGACTCATCGTCGTCAGAGTCGGGAGGTCTTGACCGCCGGGTAGATCGAGGAGCCATGGGATTTCTGTGTCTCACTTCGAATCAGGACGTCGGAGGGTGTGGAGGTGGGGGGATACCACAGGAAATGTGAAGGCTACGAGTCGACAGGATCTCGACGGACGCGGGTGCGCGTGGGCGTGACGCGACACATGTGACCGTTCGAATATGCCAAGAGGTGGGAACAAAGCTAGTACACTAACGCCTCGGCTAAGTTACTAGCAACGTCCTTTCCCTACCTAGTACCCCCTCCTTTATCAATTACTAGGTACCGAGTACCTAATGGACTACCAAGATTCAGCATGCTGCTTGGTCTAGCATCAGCCATCCTTCTATGAGAGAGTCCATGTCGGAGAACAAGGATGGCGAACAATTGGACCCTCTGCTTGCGAAATGCAACCTTGGTAGACACAGTGATCTACTGTGCGCTGCACATATAGGATTTTTTTCGGCCCGCCTATATCCCTTGTTCGCGCATCAAACACCTAATGTATCGTCTCTTATACACCGCAGGGTCGAACAGGTACGTCTTATCGACGAAGAAGGCCCCAGTTATATCACCAGCAAGTCACATCAGAGCCATTTCACCTGCTATCTTTTCTTATCTCCATTGCCTAGACAGAGGTACATGACGCTCCTGACGATGTGACAGATCTGCGCGAGAACGAAAGCCTACAGCCGAAGTACGGCACTCTGTTGCCTCCTTACAGTTGTACATACTGCAGATGCAACTTGCATTATTTTCAATCGTCAAAGGCCGCATTTCATACCGTTGCGCAGTTGGACTGGCTTGACTGGCGCGGAGTTGATCAAGGCTTGTTCCAGCCGATTCTTCCACCCCTCTGATTGGACGCCGTCCCGATTAGGCCTGGGGAGGGGGAGGGGCTTTCCCTCTCCGCATGCTATGAACGCGCGGGACCAGTCAATAACAATACAACTGGGATCCCCGTCCGTCCATCTCAGCTGCTGTCTACCTACAAAGTAAAGGCGGGGTTTACTCGGTATATCATTGGTACTGGAGCGTTTCCTCCCAAAAAAACTGGAGCAAGTCTTGATTCCCGCTATCAGTCGATAACATGAGCAACAAAAAGGTAAGTGACCACGAGCCAGGACGACGCTTATCTATCTCAAGACCCAGTAACAGCGTTTCTCCGCTGCGATGCTCAGAACCGTGGGGGAGCAATTGGATTAGTCCTGAAAGTAATCCTCGGATCCTTACTTGTGCCATTCCCCGGGTAACAAGGTGATTGATTGTCGTTTTCTTGGAACTTGTTATAAAATGCCGGTATTCAGGTTTTGAGCTTCTGTCGAGTCGCAAAACACCCAGAACACTCTTCATTGTCTCTGGAAAAAATCACTGAGCCGCCCGCTTTCTGCCTTTCTTTGGCATAAACACAAGGGAGAAGAATCTCGAGTTCCGACTTGGTCCATCATCATGCCCATCTATCTGTCCATGCAGCGGGTGCGCTTCTCGAGCCCGGACGCGTACGAGAAATTCAAAGTCCTCTTCGCCGACACGCGTCGTCACCTGATGACACTGCCCGGCTTCCTCCACCTGACCTGGTGGGAGCACCCGGACGACCGGAGCTGGTACAACGAGTGCAGCTTCTGGACGAGCCGCGGCGCCCTGTACGACTGGCACAAGAACGTCTACCACAAGTACTGCAAGACGTGGGCCGCCAACGGCGCCATCATGGAGGACATTATCACGAACTTCGAGCTGGTCGGCACCCGCCTCCTCCGCATCTGTCCTGTCTGCAACCTGGCCCAGGACAAGAAGTATGACCTGGCCCAGGAGCAGGCCGTGCTCCGCGAACAGTGCCCTCAGTGCGGCTTCCATTTCCCCGTGCTCGAAGAGACGCCGTCCAGCTTTGCGGTCTTCAAGGACGCCATAGTCCCCACGGAAGACGGAGCGGACAAGAAGGATGCAGAGGCCAGTTGCCCCCATGCAAAATGAGGCTTGGAGGTGGTCACAGGTCAGATCTGATACACCTATGATCGCAATGTACGAGGCGATATGACGGCCAGGGTGATACTTGCGAAACACCTTCACTATTAGGCTGCTGAGAGGAGAGAGACTACGCCTTCGGGCTCGCAGCGGAAGGTTCTCGTGTTGCGTTACCGGCGCTTCACCATGTTAATAATTTTGGTATATGTTGCAGAATCAAGGCCGATCAGGGCAAAGCTGTTCCCTGAAGAGATCGCGATATCCTGTGAACGGGTTGGATACGAGTTCAGGTGATATGCTGACCCGGCCATTCACACGAAGCATCAGGATCGCCTCTAGCAGAGAACATACGATACTAACGAAAAGCAATTTCTTCATGCCTTCATAATTCAGAGCCGTCTCACATTATGCAGAATATATTTTCAGCTTGATAGGATACTGACTGGCCAGACTCCGACCGTCTTATCCACCAAAACATTTTGCTAGTCCAGATCCTCAAGTTCCTCAAGCACCATTCGTGTCGTGTTATCAAGCATAACTCCTGTCATCTGGCGAACATCGAACATGTGTTTACCACATAAAGATAGAGGGGTACTACCTCTTCCATATACCCGGCCCAACCATCCCATGCCTTGATCAATATACTTAAAACACGTTGAGACTTGCCTGTGACACTGCCTAAGAGTTGAACTTTCCCAGGGCTATACTTTTGTTTGCCTACTATTCCCCTAACCCATAATGTTAATGGCCTTCTACCGTCGGAATCATCAGTAGAAGTTACCGCGGGGGACCTAGTGATTCAAGTTAGAAAGGAGTGACATCAAGACTTGGAAGTTGTATCTCACCGCGAGAAATATAGCAGTCGTGATCGCTCCAATGACAAACGCAGTGATGAGAGCTTGGACGAAGATGGTGTCTTGGATCTGACGCAGCGCAGGCTCCTGGATCCAGACTTCGCGGTCAAAGATCTTGCGTATGATGTTGCGCTTCTCATATTTGGCTACCCAAGGCTCGTCTTCATAGCTATTGGAAGAGCCCAAGCTGTCAAACGAAGTTTTTTTCTCTGGAGAAGCGTCATCTTCATCACCGAAAAGCTCCCATGGCCGAAGATGTCGGTGATGCATGCCATGCAGAACCTATTCCATTAATGGGTGCCTTGAGAGGGAAGATATTTGGGTAGGACTTACAACGCACATGCCCTTCCAAGCGGCAAACAGGGTCGCAATGCCGATAAAGAGACCGAGAAAGACCAGTGCCCGCCAGCCTCGATTGGCTGAACTCAGTGTGATGACAATGCCGTAGACGATGCCGCCAACGATTCCGGCCACACCTAGGAATCTTGCAAAGGCCTGTCTCGGTTTGTTGCCGTTACAGATCGTCCAGCGGATGAAATTCGGATGAGCTTGATGACGAAGAGTCCATTCGACCGTAGCAATGACATCGCGAAACGCTGAAGGGTGAGTGGTCACAGACAGGGCCTTCACGAGGACAGCTTTCTCCTTAGCTGACAGATTCAGTAATCTCGCCCCACCATCAGCTAGATAGATGGCGATGATGCGTGAGATTTCCTCCCGAAAAGGTTGGATGGTGACTGATTTCACATTAGTGCAACCAAACACACAAGGACCTCTGTCAACATACACGGCTGAAGAGTTCCCGCTTCCTCAAATGCGATCTCGGCTCTTTTCCCGTGCTCGGTGGTTCCTGTTCTGAGAGTCGTACCGTCCTCACTGTAGCCGAGATTCGAGGGGACCAGGCTGCCTTGGTCTGTGGCGGAGACTGAAGAGGTTCTGGGAGGCGTGTTGAATGGATTAGAAGCAGTGTCCGGGGGAGCGAGTTTCGCATGGGGATCGAAATCTGTCCCTTTCAACACTGAAGCAGCAGCACTTGTCATTTTCTTGGGAAGTTTCTCTTTTTCACCCTGCGTCTTCTCCGCCAATGCTTGGTCTGCAGTCCACTCAGGGGCAAGTTTTTTCTCGTGGTCGGAAAGCTCGTTGAAGCGCTTGCAATAGTCGTGATACCACAGGTAGAATTGCAGATTCTCGGCGTCGTACTCAATGTAACGCAGGAAGTCCATGAATTCACGCGTGGTCACAGGCTGCAAGATGAATAGATTAGCTGAGGGGCTATACTGGCAACTTCAGGAATATTCAACTCTTGACTTACAGGACAAGTTCCGCCGCTGATGATTCTGTCAAAGGAGAGGGCATCTGGAATGCCATAGGGGCAGCTGGAGCCGGAATTGATGGACTCGACTCGGCCGTCCGACTCGGACCCAAGCGAATCGCGGGAGGAGGTAACATAGGCCGGACGACGGTATGATAGTGAGAGGACCATGTTGGTTGAGAGCGGTGATATCTCTGATGACAAGCGACAACGTACACGTCTTCGGGGACAGCTGTTCCAGGTACAATCTGAGGTAGCACAGGATAGCCTGTGACCGAGGGTCAATCGCACGTGGGAGGACAGGAAGTATCAGCTGCTCGAAATATGCTTGACAGCTTTGCCAGAGGCGTTCAAGGCTTTCAAGAGGCAATCAACGGGTATTTTGCGGGGGAAATTGAAAGTGCCAATGGGAGAAAGAAGGTAAAGCTAGAGTAAACGATCTGGAGGGAAGGTAGCCAGAGCCAAAGTCGATGTCGTGCTCTGCAAAGTCCAAAGGGAGATAAGTCTCTGGTCGTGCCTGCCGCAACAGACAGAGTTCACTGAGGCACGCGGGCAATGAGGCAGGTTTATGTTCTACGTGTCATACCTGCTGAGAGGAGATGCATTTGAGGAGTTCATGGTGGCTGCTCAGGTCCCGACAAGGTTCTGGCGAATGGGTATCAGGGAGACACAGCGCCATGGCTGGCAAAGACATGCATGCTGTGTGTCCAAAGGAAACTCGACCCATCGAGAGGCAACCTGATCCCCTGGTCCTAGTCAGGGTCTTTCGAAAGTAGCGACAGGTAGAAGCAGCAAGGGGGGAAAGAAGTCTCTCCTCCTTCCGAAGTGGGCTGCATGAGAGAAGGTTGGGTGTGTGGGTGCCGTTGAAGGCAAGGAGGTTTGCCTGATGCGTGTTGTTTGTCTGTTTCTTAGTCCACGGTCTACCTGTCATGCATTTACAAAGTGCCATGGCTGGCAAAGTTCGGGATCGGTGAAGGCGAGGGGCATCTGAGTCAATGACAGCGAGCAGTGATGCCAATTGGTGGCACAGGCAGCAGATCGGCGCGATCGCATTGGCATCGAGACTCCACTCGCTAAGCTAGCGCCCACTAGTCTACGCCATTTCAAGCACGGTAGCCAATGGTGTCGCGTTTTCGGGACATCTAAGAAATCTTAACGAGCTCCACCGCGTCATGGCCTCGTGTCTCAATGCTCTTCCACTACATTTTCACTTTTCTCACACTTGGTCTCTGTCTTCAGCAAGGGTCGGAGGTCCGTGGCCACTGTCAAGGCCTCAAGGACGTTGTACCGGTGCTGTTCACCACCAAACCACCGAGTATTGCTCCGATGGCAGTCTCCAAGCTCAATCGTCTTCAACATGGCGTCGGCAGAGCAGATGTCAAATGCGGAGTGTCAACTCGGCAAAAGGTACGAGTAGATGATTATTCTATCTCCTCAAGAAACAACTCTGAGAAGGTGTGAGAGAGCTTGGGCCACTGTTCCCCGCCACTCGTATTCATCCAATGGTCCAGTCGTGGCACTCTGGAATCTGGAACCCTGGCCCCGGTGTCAATAGGCAAGGCACTGGCAAGGCCCATGATTCTCCTCAAATCATAAACCACTTGTTGCTCCTCCCATCCCGTGGATGGTCAAAGCGCCAGGAGTAACTAAAATCAAAGTCAACTTTTTGTACCTGAATCCCCTGGCTCAGCCGTGCGAATGATTGGGATTTGGCCATTTCAGGTTGAACTCAAAAGATTGCATGTGCCAGAACATCGTGATTTTCGCAGTCACACCTGAAAACGCCCACGCCGGTAGCCTGAAATGGATACCGACATTCGCACATGGCCGTTTCCAGCCATGGTGGATCTTGATCAAGTGCAGACTGAGATATGCCAGTGGGACGAAACTCTGTCTTTCTCCGGAGCATAGCGGCGATGGAAGTTCGCCAGCTTTACTACTGTACGAGTACGTTGTCTTGGTCGTCCTTCCAAGTTGGTACACCACCTGGAGAACGTTGAACTGTTGACTATCTAGGCCCTTGTTGGAGGGTTCTGGACAAATTTCCGTCAGCGCCTCTCAAGCCTGTCTGCTGTCAACATATCCCCTCAGCTTGGCCAGACTTCTCCCTGTGTAACCTATCAAAAGAGGCTGGCATCTTGGAGTTCCGTTTCCGGTATAGCTAACACGAAGAGGTTGCACCTGTCACACTGTCGACTGTCGTTGACCAAGAAGTGCCACCTCATTCCTCCCAGCTTCCTCATCAAATTCCGGGTAGCAAGCCTAGCCGAACAAAAGTCGGGCTTCACACAACTCCTTTGCAGCTCGTATCGCGCCTCAAACCAACGGTTCTGAAGCAATGGCATACTTTCTCTGGTGCAATCAATCAACGTGGAAATGTTCTTGTCTACGAGGTACTCTGAATCGTGGTCTAGTGTAGCGAGCTGAACGCCACCCACAAGTCACTTGAGCTGCTAGTTTGATTGACCCACGAGACAAGGAAGGGAGCCTCTTCGCCTATCAAGGAACCCATTCAGGCTAGTATTCCCACCTTCCCGTGTGTCTGGGGTCATTTTGAGAATAGCGGAATCACGAATGCCAATGAGCCCGCTCGCTCAGTTACAGGAAGTCCTTCCGGTTCGCTAATTTTGGTCCAAGCAGTACCAGTTCGGCCATCTCTTCCATTCAAGGGTCAAGGCGACAACCGTCTTGGAAGATTTAGCCAGGCACTATCAGGAACTTCTCAGAGAAACTTTCGGTGGGGATCCGTTTCCTGAATTCCCATGTGGACCAGATGGTTACAGATTGTCGACAGATTGCCACCGCGGCCATGGCAATCAAACTCTCGCTAAAGCCTTGCCGTTTGCAGCGATGAGCTCCGCCAAACCCCAGACAGACCTTCACAGACTCAGCCCATGTCCACACTCAGGGGGGAGTTTATCTGTATGTAAAAAAACATGGCCTAAATCTCGACCTCTATCAGGTTTAGTGGCAAACAAAGCTGCTTGATGTCTAGTCCCTTCCCTTGAGCCATTTCCATTTGCCATCTTCGATCTAGTGTGGGTTGAGGGCTGAGATCACATCCACACCATGCTCCACCTTCTTTCCACAGTCATGTCTGTATCAACTTATCTGCCCTTCGGAGTGAGCACATCTGCCGGCGTGTGGCTTGACTAGCCCGATCCCAAAATGCTCGTCTCCGGCTATTCGAACACGACAAGGTGGCCACACACCACCAGATCGCCGAGGAAAGGGTAGACGCGGGAGCCACGAGTTGGTAACAGCTTCCTTCCCGCGTGGAGCGCATCACTGGTCTAAACCCACGTGCCTGTTCCTGTACCTCGCAGCAGTGGTTCATCCCTTGCAGCCAAGGCCGAACTGGCTTTTACTTACATATCTTTTTCGAAACTTGCGGACCTATGGGATATGTAAGGGGCACGGCTATGACCGTCGAGTTTACAGAGTGCTTCACCCGAATCTCTAATGAGAGAACGAAAGGACGGAAAGCTTCTTATGCTCAACTTCTAAAACACTGGCCGGCGTGTCTCACGCAAGCTTCTCATGTCGACGCTGCTTCATCGCAAGGGCTATGCCAGAGTTTCTTTTGCAGCTTTTCGAATCGCACATGCTTTGTTCCCAAAGATGGCAGGACAAACGACTCATTGTTTCGTGCACTGGAAGGTGTGCAAGTTGAGTTGTTCCAATTGTCTGCTATATTTGGAGTCTCTTTGTGATCATTGATTATAGGGTGGTAATTTTTACTCGGATTGCAATGACAAAGACAGCCAGACCTGTTCTAATGCTAACCTCTAGGTTATCAATGGATACTTCCCTTCACCGGTTGAACATGGACGCCCATCCGAACAGCAAAATCGACCCTTTTTAGTTTCCAGCACCACCCTCGTGCGCGTCTCTTCACCCAATCAAGGTTTCCATTCTTGCCTCATACCACGATGTTTTCCTTGTGGCGCCGAGACGTTTCGACGTGCCCCGAATATCAGAATTATTACCACTGTTCTGCTGTTCCATACGTCGGCTGTTGCACACACGACCCTTGCAGTACTGGCGTTTGTGCAGAAACCCCTCCTGATTCCAACCCAGGCTCATGTGGAACAGGTGTCACTGTCACTGTGACCCAAACAATCCTTCAGGGCGCTGCTACCAGTACCGTCAATACTCCGACTAGCCCCTTGGATATGGCAACAGGTGAGGGGGATGGGACATCTGCCGACCAAAGCAGTCCCATTCCCAGTGCAATTGGTGCTCCCTCCGCGCCGTCCAGTACACAAGAATCCTCCATACCTTTCCCGTTTATTCCAATATCAGCCTCCAATACCACCTTGACAAGCGTAGCACCAGGTACCACCATGACCGTGCACCTCGTCCCTGCCACTCCCAGCTCCAGTGTCGATGCCGTCGCCAGCGCTACTTCTAGCGAGTGCCCAAAACCAACGGCATCTTCAACAACAGAATCTACGCGCACGCCTCCGGCAACGATCGCTGGAAGTGTCATTGGCTCCATGGCAGGGCTGGCCCTGATAGTCACACTTCTCATTTGGTGTTGCCGAAGGAAACGAAAAATAAAACTAACCTTCAAGCGGAAAGTGCAAAAGACTGACCAGGAAGAGCAGTTGAACGAGCTACAGTCTGTCAGAGAAGAAAGAGATCAAGCTCTTCGACGACTCGAGAATAATGACAAGGCGCTTCCAAGCCCGCGTTCATTTGACTTTGGCCTTCCTCCAATACCAAAGAACTCGAGTCCCGTAATGCCGCAGCAATGGCTATGATTCGACGGGCAAGGAGGTAAATCCCAGATGTCAAGCAAGACAGTTCGTATAGGTTTTGAATCAGTATGCCTTGTACATAGCGAAAGATTGTGCTTGCATTTCCTTCCGGTCTTCATACAGCTTTGACTATACTTGGTTCCTCTCTTTCGCTTGGAGAGGCTTTCCTGCAGGGGGTATCCAAGCAAGAGCCACCAGACTGACGCATTCGGCAAAGTGCCTTGGCAGCCACGCAGCTTAAATTTATGTCCTCGTCTCAATCAACTCCTTCAAGTCTTCCCTCTGTACTTCTTTGTGGGGAGGATGAGCTGCCGTGCTACTTGCCTCCTGTCTGGGTCCTGTCTGTGTGGACAATCCCAAAGCCGCCAAACTCAACAGGGGAGAATCCCTTGGCATCAATGACCTTGTTCCCACCCTTTGTTTGCACTTCTGTTGACCATCTGTGTTGAGTAGGAGAAGCTATCTGGCTCTTGATGCCTTTGATGCAAGTGGAACGTGCAGCTTGTAGATGCCCACTTCTCGTTTTACCTCGATCATGTTGCCCAAAGAGCCTATACTGTACGAATGCTTGAAGATCTCCCTCTCTCCCCCGGAATGGAGGTGCAGTCTGGGCACTAAGGACTCCGACCTCATGGCCGATGCCCAGTGTCCTTCTGCTGATAGATGCCCTCTGCTCTGCCTCAGCAGACCCGTAAGTTATGTCCGTGGGATCTGACCCTCGGTGTGAAAATGGGTGCGAGGATGGCTCCTGGCCTCGAAAGTCCTCCTCAAGTGGGCCATTCATATGCAACTGGTTTCAGCATTCTGACATCTCTCCCGCACCGGTGGGCAGGGTTGCCAAAAACGCCCTTTTGCCATTTTGCACAAAGTCGGCCAGAAGGAAGTACTGGGTCTGACAGAAAATGCCACCGAAGCCAGTCGAAGCGACCATGTACGCTATAAAAAAAGTCAAGGGGTTCGCTGGTCACGCTGCAACACGAAGAAGCCCAACCGATTCGGAGACTTTATCCAAGACCCAAGTGATGATGTGGATGATGACCAACATTCGGCTGAAGAAGATAACGGCGAGCGCAGAAAGCAACAGAGAATTACTGCTCCCAAACAATTCATTCGTCCATACCCTCCATTCCAAGCACTGAAGCCTGTCATGGAAAATTTACCTCTCACGTCGGTTCCAGACACATTTGCATCACCTAATAACCTACCTTATGTAGCTGCCATGGTGCGGTTGGAAGCGGTCAAGCACCAGCGAAAGACTGCTGGTTGGGAGAACGACAAGTGCCATGACAATGACGAAGCTTGGTGTCGGTGCGGACGAGGGAATTGGAAAGGAGGTACAGGCTTCTCTATTGAGTGCGAGGACCCAGAGTGCCCTTACAAGTGGTGGCACTGGGAAATGCCTGACTTTTCATAGAAACGTGGATGTGTGCCGGATGCTGGAGTTCTAGATGTCTCCAATTCTTCAAACACTTTCCCCAAACTTGGATCGACGGTGCGACAACTCTTGACGGAATCGCCAACAAACCGTGGGTACCTGACGACATCAACCACGCTGTCGACACGGAGATCCTTGATGGGGACAACGATTTCTCATATGCAGTCTACCAAGCAGCCAGGTTGAGGCTCAAAGCTCGAAAAGAATCCATGTCCTTCATAGACTCCTAGAACACAACTAGCTTACCACCAACGAGTGCCCCGGCGACAGAGGACGCAAAGAAGCTGCTTCTGCAGATTGCGCACTTTGCGCACGTCCTGGGCATCCAGCCCCTGATGAAGGCGGCGATTCACGCCCTCTGCAGCGCCGTCCATCGCAGTCCCGAGGACTGGCTGGACGCTGACGACAGCAACGGCACCACCGCCCGTTCCCTCGACCAGGTCACCTTCGCGGGCAACCCTGCCAGGCGGTACCTGGAGACGGAGGCCTGCCGCCTCGTTGTTACGTCCAGCGGCCTGCCGTGCGATGGGGACGACGTGAGCCGGATCTGCAAGATCGACGAGGCTTCCCTGGAGGAGTTGTGGTCAGTGGCGGGGGGAAAGACGGCATGATGGCGATCGTCCTCGCGAACGAGGGATAGACGGATGGGAGTGGAGGGGTGGGAGGCCCAATGGTTGTCGAAAAGGCAATGAAGGGGCGAGCTACACGGACGTGTGACTGATGGTGAAGAGATCGAGCAGGAGAAAGAAGGTCAGGACGGACTTTTGGAAACCAACGTTCACCTCCAAACGAGGATACGAGCTGAGCGATGTCGACGGTGGTATTCTTCCTCACGAAGACAATGAGGACAAAAGCCTGCCTTGCCTATCTTCGATCCAAGTTCGAGGCATCTCTTGAACTTGTCTCTCGCCAACCAAGGCTGTTTGTTACGGTTGACTTCCTTTTCCCCTTCTTGTGCCGTCTCTGCTCTTTTTTTGACGCCTACCACGCAATAATGGTTGAAGGGATGAATGGCTCCTGACATCTCCCCGAGCGAATAGAGAGTCCTCTGTGAGTGTGCCATAATATTCCTAGGATTCAGATCCTCGACTGAGGCAGTCAAGTCGTCAGTTAGCCAGTTAGTCAGTCAGGAACAGAGAAAGAGTATGGCGCGGATACTGGATACTAGACACGGGCGCAGATACAGATAGAATAGATACTGGAGACGAAGAGAAAAAGACACTGTCGAGCCGGTAGACAAAACCAGTACAGAAACCAACACCTGTCTCTTCTACAAACACTCCGATGCCGACACCCCACACTCTGAATTATTTGGTCGTACTCGCTCCCTGCAAAAAAAAACCATAATATAAAAAATACGCCACACACCCAGACACAGAAATAGCAA